GACGGCGCGCCCCCGTAAAAGGTCTCGCCGTTGAAGACCCAGTCCGTCGACGACTGCGACGCGGTCCCGCCGAGCGCGCAGTTCGGGAGCGTCGTCGTCGGCGCGTAGGTCGGCTGCGGCGTCGGGTAGGCCTTGCAGCAGCCGCAGCGGGTCCACGCGCTCCACTGGGCGCCGCCGTCGACGCCGCAGGCCGCGGCGGAGCGGAGCACGGTGCCGCCCTGGGCGTCGCAAAAGTCCGCGTCCTGGGAGGAATAGAGCGACGTCGGGCAGTAGGACGTCGTCGGGTTGACCGTCGGTTGGGGGAACGTGGGATCGGGCGTCGGCGCGGGCGTCGGCGCGACGGTCGCGACGACGGGGGAAGGCGTCGGCGACGGCGTCGGCTTCGACGACGGATTCGCCGTGGGCTTCGGCGTCGGACGCGGCACGGGGCTCGCGGTCGTCGGGCCGTAGGTCGGCCCCGGCGTCGGGGACACCGTGGGCTTCGCCGTCGACGGCGCGTAGGTCGGGCGCTCCGTCGACGCGGGCGCGGCCGTCGTCGGGGCATACGTCGCGGCGGACGACGCGAGGTAGACGACGGCGGAGATGCGTGCGCCCCGCGCCGCGGACGTCGCCGAGCAGTCGCAGGGGTAGCCGCTGCATGCAACGTCGCCGGCGCCGCAGGGCGCCGCGGCGCAGGCGCCGTCGCTCGCCTGGCAGGCGCCGTCGCTCGCGGACCCCGGGTCGCCGAAGTCGTAACTCGCGTCGTCGCCCGACGTCTCGCCGTAGCAGCCCGCGCAGACGGACCCGGAGCCGACGCAGCGGCCCAAACCGTCGTCGTCGAGGTCCCAGCAGCCGCAGTAGCTGTCGTCGAGGCCGTACTGGCCCGCGAAGATGGCGCACGTGTCGACGCCCGCGGCCGCGCACTTGGACGTACTGGCCCAGGTGCCCGTGGAGCCGTCCTCGCAGTACTCGCCGTCGGCGCCGCTCACCCAGTAGTAGCGGTCCGTCTCGGCGAGGGACGCCAGGGCGCCGAGCTCGACCTGCTTTTGCTGCGCGAAGTAGTCCGCCTTTGAGTACGTCAGCGTCGCGTTGCCCCGGTGGTAGCGCGCGGCGTAGGGGACCGTGACCTCGTAGTAGCCGTCGGCGTCCGTGACGACGGCGAAGCCCGAGAGGCGCCGGCGCTCCCAGGCGAGAGCCACCTGCGCCACCTGCGTCGGCGACGACGTCGGGCAGTCGTCGCCGTCGACGGCGGCCGCGACGGCGACGCCCGCGACGCCGTCGGCCCAGCAGTTGCCGCCGCAGCCCGCGGCGACGACGCGGCCCGAGTAGACGCGGGCGAGCGACGTCGTGGCCTCGATCTCCAGCGTGTGGACGTCGCCGACGTTCGTGTCGCAGGCGCCGGCGACGGACGACAGCGAGAAGCCGAACTCGTAGACCTTGTCGACGCAGCGCGGGCAGAACGTGAAGTTCGCCACGGCGACGGCGACGTCCGCCGCGGCGCCGCTTAATGTGACGACCGTGTCCTGGCCGCTCACCGCGGACGTCTGCGCGACGCCCGCGACGTCCTGGAAGGCGAGCTCGCCGTAGCCGTCGACGGTCGCCGTGACGGTCGTCGCGCGCGCGTCGTCGCGCGCGGCCCGCCCGACGTCGAGCCCGAAGGCGTTAGCGTAGCGCTTGCAGCGGCCCGACGTCGCGGCGACGTCGTCGACGTCCGTCTCGTCGCAGAACGTCCAGCCCGCGGGGCACTTGCCGTTCATCGTCGACAGCGTCGCGCAGGTCACGAAGCCCTCGTGGAGCCCCGTGCAGACGTCCTGGGTCGGGTCGACGTCGCCGAGCCAGAGCTGGCAGCCGCAGACGCTCGTTCGCTGTAAAATCTTCGTGAGGCGGACGTCGCAGCCGGCCGTCGGCGCCGCGGTCGGCGCGGGGCTCGGTTTCGGCGTCGGCGTCGGCGTCGGTCTCGGCGTGGGCGCGAAGACGGGGGACGCGCTCGGGGCGCCGGGCACGGGCGTCGGAAAGGGCGTGGGCTGGGGCGTGGGGGACGACGTCGGGGTGCGGGAGGGCCGCGGCGTCGGCGCGGGCGTCGGCGCGGCCGACGGCGCCGGCGACGGTCTCGGCGTCGGGTGCGGCGTCGGCCGCGGCGTCGGCGACAGCGTCGGGGCGCGCGTCGGCCGCGGGCGCGGCGCGCTCGTGGGCCGGGGCGTCGGGTCGCCGGCCGTGGGCCGCGGCGTCGGCCGCGGCGTCGGCCGCGGCGTCGGCGCGAGCACGGGCGCGGCCGAGGGCTCGCCGGGCGCGGGCGTCGGCGCCGGCGTCGGCCTCGCCGTCGGGACCCGCGAGGGCCGCGGCGTCGGCGTCCGGGTCGGCTGGGGCGACGGCGGCGGCTGCGACGACGGCCGCGGCGTCGGGAACTCGCCGACGACGGGGTAGGGCACGGCGAACGTCGGCGCGCGCGTCGGGCCCCGCGTGGGCCGCGGGTCGCCGTGGGGGTCCGGGATGGCGCAGTCGTCCTCGTCGCCGCCGTCGGCGCAGAAGGGGCAGACGACGTCGATCGTATCCGCGTTGTCGTAGTCGCACTTGAGGTCGCCGGCGCCGATGCCGCGCGCGATGCCCCGCGCGGCGGGCCAGCGCGTCATGGCGCCGAGGAAGACGACGAGGACGACGAAGGCGAGGAACACGGCGAGTAGGACGCGCTTCGTGTTGCGGTGGAGGCAGATGACCGTGGAGTCGTCCGTGATCTCCTTGGCGAGGTACCTGGCCGCGAAAAGCAGCGCGAGGAGCAGCAGAAAGACGGCGAGGCCGAAGAGGACGACGGCGAGGCCGCTGGCCTCCAGGGCCGCCTTCAGGGAATCGCAGCAGTCGCCGTTCAAGCAGCCGTAGTAGTTGGCCTTGCAGCCGCACGCGGAGTATTTGGCCGCGCCCTTGCGGTTCGACTCCCACGCGTAGACCGGCGCGGACCCGTCGGCGCAGGACCGCACGGAGAAGAACTCGCCGGGCCCGCGCGTCGCCTTGTAGGCGAGGCTCGCCGCGTCGTAGACGAGCGCGTCGTTCGCGTACTTGCGGCAGCCGAGGAGCGCGTCCCACCACGACTCCGTGAGGAACTGGAGGACGTCGAAGCAGTCGTCGTCGACGGCGTCGAGCTTCGCGTAGAAGCCCGCGGCGAAGAGGAGGATCAGGATCAGCCAGGCGACGGCGACGACGGCGACGAGGCCCATGTACGCCCGCAAACCCTGCTTGTTCTCGTAGTGCGCGACGCAAAACCCGAACACGCCCAGCGCGACCAGCGCGCAGCCGAAGACGACGACGGCCCACGCGGGCCCCTCGGGCGGCCCGTCCACGCCCGCGGCGTCCAGGCCGCTCAGGTAGAGCAGCACGAGGGCGCCGCCCGCCGCGAGGACGCCGCCGAGCACGGCGAGCGACGCGTTGCCCCATTCCAGCGCGGACTGGATGATCTCGTAGAACGTGATGATCTTCGCCGTCGCCGCGACGGCGCCGGCCGTCAGGACCGCGACGAGCACGAGAAACACGCCCGCCGTCGTCATCGCCGCGACCATGGCCGCGCGGCCGTCGCCCTCGCTCACGTCGCCGAAGACGCGCTCGAAGCGGTCCGGGTGGCGCTCGTACATGGACGACGCGTAGGCCGCGCCGTGGGCCGTGTTCGCGCACATGAGGACGCCGAGGAGGAACGCGAGCGCGCCCGCGAGGAGCGCGAGGTAGAAGTAGGCCTCGAGCAGCTCCTGGCCGACCGTGTCCGCGGGCACCTCGCCGGCGTTTTCCCGGAAGAACTTCTTGATGTCGCCCTCGACGCGCCGGCCGCCCGCGACGGCGAGGCCCGCGACGGCCGCGACGGCGACGCCGACGACGCCGCAGCCCAGGAGGTAGCCGAAGCCGAACGTCGCGTAGTAGTAGAAGCCGAGGATCGCCAGGGCCACGCCCGCGAGCAGCAGGACCGCGTTGACGGAGAGCACGCAGGCGATGTTCATCTCGCGGTCGCGCACGTACTCGAGCGGCGTCACGTCGCCCATGAGCTTCTTCCGGAACTCGCCCTTGGCGCCGTAGCCGGAGCCGTACGCGCCCGCGCCGTAGGACGCCTTCTCCTCCGTCGCGGGCGGGTCGACCGTCTTCGGCGGCTCGGGCTTCGGGTCGGGCTTCGGCGGCTCGGGCGGCGGCGCGACCGGCGGCGGCTCGTACGGTTTCTCGTAGCCCGGCGCGGCCGCGGCCGCCGCCGCGTACCCCGGCGTCGGCTCCGGCGCCTTCGGCTCGTAGCCCGGCGTCGGCTCCGGCGCGGCGTAGCCCGGCGTCGGCTCCGGCGCGGCGTAGCCCGGCGTCGGCTCCGGCGCGGCGTAGCCCGGCGTCGGCTCCGGCGCGTACTCCGCCTTTGGCTCGTAGCCCGCTTTCTGCTCGTAGCCCGGTTGCTGCTCGTAGCCCGGTTGCTGCTCGTAGCCCGCTTTCTGCTCGTAGCCCGATTGCTGCTCGTAGCCCGGCGCCGCCGGCTCCGCGGAATAGCCGGCGGAGGCCGGCTCGTAGCCCGCGGACGGCGCCGACGCGCCGGAGGCTCCGGCGTACGCGTCGCCGGCGCTCGAGCCCGCTCCAGCCTCGTAGCCCGCCTGCGCCGCGTCGGGAGCCGCGTAGCCCGGCTCGCTGTACGACGGCGCGGCCGTCGCGCCCTGCTCGTAGCCGGGCGCCGCCGCCTGTTCCGCGCCGTAGGACTCATCCGTCGGCTGGACCTACGAAACGAAACGACTGCGGCCGCCGCCAAGGAATGGATGAAACGAGACGCTGCGGCGCACGCGCGCCATCGCCGAGGCACGCAGGCGCCCGGAGCTGCGGCGTCAAGGGGGCAGCCCACCGACGGCGCCTTTTATCGGCGTCCAGCGCCGGTATAGTTCGAAGTTCATCATGGAGTCCACATACCTCTTGAAGTGCCCTTGAACCTCGGACGCGCATGGCTCCTGGCATGGCTGCGATGCTTAGCGCCCCGCGCGCTGCGTCGCGCTGCCCTCCCGGTCGTACGGGGGCTTTTGCGGTCAGGCGGCGGCGCCGGACTTGGGGCGCCACTGGAAGCAGAGGACGAGGACGAGGACGTTGTCCATGGTGCAGCGCTTGCGCGCGGCCTGGATGCACTTGCTCGCCGCCTCCGTGCAGAGCTCCTGGGTGACGGAGCCCGAGGCGAGGGCCTCGCCGATGGTGTCGTAGACGATGCCGACGGCGTCGGCGTCGGAGACGACGTCCCAGAGGCCGTCCGTGGCGAAGATGGCGAAGTCGTCCCAGCCGGGCTTGAGGCTCCGGTCCGTGACCTCGGGCGTCGCGGAGATGAGGCCCGGGTGCTTCTTCAGCGCGAAGTCGCCGAGGGACCGCGACACGGCCAACAGCAGGGGGCAGCTCTCGTGGAAGACGCGGTAGGCGCCGCGGTGCACGACGCGGCCGCCGTGCGCCTCGACGCGCGCGCGCTCCGCCGGGACGTCGGGCTTGTGGTCCGTCGTGAGGCGCTCGCTGAGGCGCCGCCGCCGCCCCCCGCCGCCGAGGACGCAGCGGCTGTCGCCGACGTTCGCGAGGCTCAGCTCCTCGCCGCGGAGCACGGCCGTGCACGCCGTCGTGCCGTCGCGGAACCGTCTCAGGATCTCGCGCTCGCACTGCTCGTAGGCCGCCTCCCACATGGCCGCGTTGCTGGAGCCGCCCGCGGGCGGCGCGACGTCGAGCCGCGTGTGGAGCGTCGCCGCCGCGTGCTCCGCGGCGCAGGGGCCCGCGTGGCCGTCGTAGACGCCGACGAAGACGCGGCCGTCCGCGAGCTGGATCACGCTGGACCGGTCCTCCATGGTCCGCTTCTTCCCGATGGTCTCGGCGACGCCGCAGAACGTGCGCATGAGGCGACCGCCCGTGGACGCGTCCTCGGCGAGGCGCGGCCGCTTCTCCGGGGCGGCCGCGGCGTCGTCGGGGCGGTGGACGCGCTTCTCCTTGCCCTCCTGCTTCTCCTGCTGGAACCGCGCGGACGTCGCGCTGCCCATGCCGCCGCCCGCGACCCCCTGCGACTCGTCGAGGTCGTCGAGGAACGACAGGCGCCGCGGCCGCTGCGCCAGGCCGGCGCCGCCCATCGGCGTGGATTCTATCGTCGTTTTGATGATTTAGCGCGCTGTGCAACATCCGCCGTTGTGAAGAAACGTGAAGAAAGATCCGCGATCGTTCCTCGAAAAGGACCGGAGTTACACGAAAGTTTACACGACGGCGCGCCACCAGGTCCAGTAGCGCCGCTCCGGCTTGCAGACGTCGAGGGCGTCGCCGTAGCACCGGCTCGCGAACTTGAGCTCGGCGGAGCCGTCGGGGACCGTCGTCGCGTACTGGTAGGCCATGAGGAGCTGGAGCGCGCGGATGAAGTCGAGCTCGTCCGGGCGGAGGCCGATGTGGCGGAGGACGCGGAGCTGGAGCGCGCTGAGGCTCCGGGGGAAGGACACGGCGACGTAGACCGTGAGGGAGCCGCGCTGCGTCGCGTTGCCGAAGACGGGCAGCCCCTCGCCGGGCAGCTCGTGCGTGAACGACGAGAACGCGACGCGGTCGTGGCGCACGTCGAGCCGCGCGCCGTCCAGGCCCGTCAGCTTCTTCGAGAAGCCGTAGAGCGCGTCCAGGAGGCCGACGCTCGCGTTGCACCAGACGTTCGCGCCGTCGACGGACCGCGCGAAGCGGCCGTGCGGCGCCGCCTCCACGACGACGACGAGGTCGCCGGCGTCGCGGTGCGCGTGCTCGTCGCCGAGGCCGCGGAACACGATCTCGTGGCCCTCGGGCGCGCCCGGCGGCACGACGACCGTGACGACGTGCGTCTCCGCGGCGATGCCCTCGCCGTCGCACGACGCGCACGGCGGCCCCCGGAGCTTGCCGAAGCCGCCGCAGGCGCCGCAGAGCGACTCGAAGGACTGGCGGAAGGGCGACGGCGGCCGGCCCGCCGCGCCGAGGGCCGGGGCCCGGCCCGTGCCGCCGCAGAGCGGGCACGTCGGCCGCCGCGCGGGCCGCGCGGAGCCCGTGCCGTCGCACGCGCGGCACCTGACGCGGCGGCTCAGGGTCAGGTTGCGCGTGACGCCCACGAGCAGATCCTCCATGGTCACGGTGATGGGCACGCGCGTCGCCGACATGGCGCGGACGCCCGTGCCCGCGAAGGAGAAGCGGAACGCGCCGTGGCGGAACCGCGCCTCGACCTTGACGGGCAGCTCCGTGTACTCCGGCGGGCCCTGCTCCGCGGCGCGCGCCTCGGCCTCGGCGTCGGGCTCGTCGGCGCCCGTCGCGTCGTAGGCCCGCCGCCGGTCGTCGTCGCTCAGCACCTCGTGCGCCTGCGCGAGCGCGACGAACTTCGCGACGGCCTCGGCCTTCGCCTCCTCGGACAGCGTCGAGGCGAGCTTGTCCGGGTGGTACTCCTGCGCGAGCGCCCGGTAGGCCTTCTTGATCTCCGCGGTCGTCGCCGTGCGCGCGACGCCTAGGACCGCGTAGTAGTCGACGACCTCGCAGCGCGCGAAGGCGACCAGCAATAGCAGCAGCCGCCGCAGCATTGGCCCGACGCGACGACGCGGCCCGCACCGCCTAACGTTCCGGCCTGCTCATGGCGGCGTTGGCGTCTCCTCGCAGCCGCTCAAGGCGCGTCGAGGGGGCTGCTCAGGCACAGCTGCGAGGGGGCTGCCATCGCAAAGCGGCTTTAGGCGCGTCAACATTACTGCACTCGCACTGCAAATTAAAGACCAGCGCTGATTGTAACTCCAAAGCTCTCTCGAAGCGCCGCCGTCGTCGACGCCGCCATGGCGTCGCGGCTGCCCGACTTCGGCGGCGGCCGCTGGAACAGTCCCGTGCGGAAGAAGGCCTTCTTCAAGCGCGAGAAGCCCAAGGCCAACATCTTCGGCCTGCAGACGGCGAGCGTGGGCAGCGGCGCGTCGACCATCGGCCTCGCGTCCATGTCGACGCCGCCGCCGTCGCGGGGCCGGGGCCGGAGCTCGCGCGACGGCGTGAGCTCGGGCGGGTCGCGGTCGCCGTCGCCGTCGGGCCGGAGCCGGAGCCCCGCGAGGGCGCCGCGGCCGCCGTCGCTGAGCGACCTGCGCGCGCTGCCGCCGCAGGACGTCAAGCTCGCGGACCTGCGGCCGAAGACGGCGCTGCTGCCGCGCACGCTCGAGCCCGCGTCGCCCGCGCACGTCGCGCGGCCGAAGACGGCCGGCGGCCGCTCCGACGAGCCCCTCGCGCGGTTGCTCTTCGAAGCCGCCGCGGACGCGGAGCGGCGCAAGGACGACGCGGCCCACCTCGAGAGCGTCGTCGCGCTCGCGCGCCACGCCCAGGCGCCGCCCGGGCCGCGGGCCAAGACCGTGGGGAGCCTCCTCTCGGAGCGCGCGGCGGACGCGGCGGACAACGGCGGCCAGGACGTGCTCTTCTACGAGGACGGCGTGAACCGCGCGCCCGCGCTCTGCGAGGACGTGGACCGGCTCGCGGAGGAGGCGGCGCCCTTCCGCGAGGCGCTGTTCCGCGACTCGGCGAGCCCGTCGCCGGAGCCCGAGGCGGCGCCGGAGCGGCCCGAGTCGCCCGCGGGCGCGCCGCGGCCCGCGGCGGCGCCCGCGGCGCGCGGGGGCGTCGACATCGGCGACCCGCTCCTGCGCTTCGACGGCCCGCCCCTGTCGCCCGGCGCCTACGTGCCGAAGCACCTCACGCACCGCGTCGTGCCCCAGTTCGCGGACTACGAGACGCCCTACTGCGGGCCGTGCATCTTCTTCGACCACCCCAAGTGCCTCTTCTGCCACACACTAAAGCTCAGCCAGGCGCACCGGCTGCCCCTGTCGCGGCTGAGCCACCTGCTGCAGATCGCCCAGCCGAACATCACGGGCAAGGCCATGGCGGCGATCCTGGGCAAGTACGCGCGGACGGACCGCTTCGCGGAGGACCTCAACGCGCGCCTCGGCTGGCGGCCGCCGCCGGTGACGTTCTGCGGCGCGCACCAGAGCGAGCGCAACAAGCTCGACGACGAGCACAGCCGCCACCTGGGCATCATCTCCACGCTGCGGGGGCGCATCACGCAGCACGAGGAGGACGGCGCAAACATGCGGAACAAGCTCGGCGGCTCCGAGCGGCAGTGCGAGCGGCTGAAGTTCGCGGGCAAGATGCTCGAGGACGAGATGGGGTCGCTGGAGGCGCGGCTGCGCGTGCTCGAGCGCCAGCTCCAGGAGTGCCACGCGCGCTGCGCGGAGAAGGACTCCATCGAGTTCGGCCTCCGCCGGGAGCTCGAGCGCCTCGAGGCCATCGTCTACGCGGAGAAGGCCGACGTCGCCGTCCAGGCCGAGCCGCCGCGGCCGCGCCACTTCGGCACGCAGACGCTGACGAAGAACGAGAAGATCGCCGCGGGCATCGAGGCGAAGAAGGTCGAGCACCACGCCGCGGCGCAGACGGACGGCGACGACCGCGCGGAGCTGCCCGCGCTCGGCGACGGCGTCTGCCCGACGTGCGGCGCGCGGCGCGGCGGCGACGCGGGGTCCGCCGACGACCGGTCCTACGCGTCCCAGGGGTCGCGGGGCCAGAAGACGGCGACGCCCAAGTCCCAGTTCGTCGTCGACGAGCAGGCGCAGATGAAGCGGCGGCGCACGTCCATGCTCGGCCAGCTCGCGGAGACCAAGGTCGGCCAGAACCGGCGATTGCTGCCCGTGACGGGCGTCACGGCGACGCTCTACGACATCGTGGAGAAGAAGGTCATCGCCGAGCACGCGGCGCGGGGCCAGGGCGCCGTCTCCGAGCCCTTCGCGTCCTTCGTCAAGGAGTACTGGCACAAGAAGGTCGGGCTCAAGAAGCTCGCGAAGAAGAAGATCGCGGAGATGGTCAAGGGCGTGTCGAACTACGTGGACACGCACTGCCGCGTGACCTGGTTCGCCTACCTCATCGGGCTGAGCCCGAACTACCTCGACGGCGAGCCCGTGCCCTGGGTGCCGTGGATCCCCGCGGCCGTCTTCGACGTCCTCGCGAACATCTTCGACGCGGCCGCGGCGACGGGCATCGGCGAGTTCCTCGCGAACTACGCGCCCGACGGCTGCGTGCTCGAGCGGTCGCGCGTGCTCCACGGCATGATCGGGTCGTCGGGCGTTTTGGACGACAAGTGCAAGCTCCAGGACCCGTCGACGTGGCGGCGGACCGTGCTGAACCGCATGATGTCCAACACGGCGATCCAGAGCTTGATCAGCGCCGTCGGCCAGCTCGAGGAGATTAGCGCCGTGCCGGAGACGGGCGGCTCCGCGCCCGTGCGCAAGGGCCTGAACCTCGACGCGGTCATCTTCACGATCCTCGAGCACACGGGCCTCGCGGTCCAGTCGCACCAGCTCAGCCTCACGGACGCCTTCTTCAAGTTCGACCAGGGCGACGCGGGCCTCGACGAGGACGAGTTCGAGCGCCTCTGCCGCTGGGCCCTCGGGAGCCAGGCCGACGGCATGGACTTTCGGATGTACTACTCGCGCATCGAGGAGCTCGCGGACGCGGGCTTCCTCGGCGGCGTCAACGACGACAACATCAACGACGCCGAGACCTTCCCCATCGTCATCATGCAGCGCGTGGAAGATTGTCCCCTCGCGTACATGGAGAACTGCCGCGACTACTGGAACGTCGACGAGGACTTCGACCTGCCGGGCTTCGAGAGTACGCGCGACCTCGGCGCCGCCGCGTAAATTCTTAGTCTACGAACCGGGACCCCATTGGCATCCCACCCCATGATCACCTACTCGCGAAGAGGGGGGAAAGTTACGCTGCAGGGTCCGGCTAGGGGCGGAGGCCTCGCGTTTGTGGGTGGGGTCTTGTTGTTGGAGGCGAGACGCCCGGGGTCCTGGCGCGGACGTTGGGAGGGGGGTTCATTCAATTTGGAAGCGAGGCGCCCGAGGTCCTGACGCGGACGTTGGGAAGGGGTGATCATGCAAGGATTGAAAAGGTCCGCGCATGTGGCGGGCCGCGGCGCTGGTGCCGCGGCGCTGGCGCGTCGACCTCGGGGGCGCGCTTCGGGGTGATCGTCGCTTCGGGGGGATCATTGGGCCCAGGGCGGGGGCTTGGGACGGGCCCGGGCGAAGGCCTTTTCTTTCGGCTCGAGGCCCTGCTTCCGCCGCTCGAGGTACTGCTGGGCTTCGTTCTTCCACTTGGAGAGCGTCGAGACGGCGCGGTCGAAGCGGCGGTTCGACGTCGCCATGACGACGAGCTCCTGGTTCGTCACGTCCACGGTCGCGAGCTGGTGGACCGTGTGGATGTTGACGGCCGCGAGGCGCGAGACCTTCTTCGGGCCGAGGCCCTGGAGCGTCGCGCGGTCCAGGGGGCAGTCGAGCGGGTCGCGCGGCGAGGCCGGCGGCGGCGGCGGCGGCGGCGGCGCGCCGTCGTAGGACGACGCGGAGGACCGCGAGTCCACCGAGGGCCCGCGGCCGTCGTAGGCGCACTCGAAGGAGGCCCGGCCGTCGAGCGCCGCGCGGGCCGCGTCGCCGCGGCCGTCGAAGCCGTAGGCGTCGCGGTCGCGGGGCGCGGCGTGGGCCGCGGGCGCCGGCGGCCGGCCGTAGTCGTAGCAGACGGGCACGTCGTAGAGCACGGGCACGCCGAGCGCGACGGGCCCGGCGTACGCGGCCGCGGGGTCGCGGAGGCGGTCGCGCGCGACGATGTCGTAGTAGGCCGGCGCGAGCGCGCGGCGCTCGGCGTAGGCCGGGCCGTGGTGGGCCCGGAGGTAGTAGTCGGCCGGGTCCACGGGGCCGCGCTGGCGCGCGTGGTCCATGACGCGGTGCTGCCGCGGGTCGGAGAACGCGCGCGACCGCGCCCACGCGGTCGCGTGGTCCGGCGCCGCGTAGGGGTCGTGGGCCGGCGGCGGCACGTGGTCGCGGGCGTCGCGCAGGTAGCCGTAGGGCGGCGGGCCGCGGTCGTAGCGGCCGTAGTCGTCGTAGGCGCGGCGCGGCGCCGCCGCGTAGTCCGGCGGCGCCGCCGCCGCGGACGGCGGCGCCGCCGCCGCGGCGGCGCGCGGCGCCTCCCGGCGGGGCGGCGGCGGCCCCGCGTAGGCCGGCGGCGGCACGGCCGTCACGCGGACGCCCGAGCCCGAGCCCGAGCCCCCGTCGCGGTGCGGCGGCGGCGCGGCCGGCGCGGCGCGGTCCGCGCCGCGCTCGGGCGACGGCGGCGGCGGCGGCGGCGCGTCGTCCGCCGGCGGCGCCTCCTTGCGCTCCTGGAAGCGGTCGGCCTCGCACTTGACCTTCTTGAAGCAGGGCGCGGCGTCGATCTCCAGGAGGCAGCTCAGGAACTCGAAGTCGTCGACCTCCTCCATGGTCTGGACGAAGACGGAGCCGTCGACGTCGCGCACGCGCTCGCGGCCCGTCGCGCGGTCCACGTGGGCCGCCCGGGGGTCGACGAAGCTGTAGCGCGCGGCGACGGCCGGCGCGAGGCTCACGGCGCGCGGCGCGGCGTCGAGGCGCCGCTTCGCCGCGGGCGCGCGGTCCGCCGCGGCGGCGGGCGCGGGCGCGTCGTCGTGGCTGCCCGCGTGGGACGCGGAGTCGCCGTCGTTGCTCGACGACTCGTAGGGCCCCGCGGCGTCGTCGTCGCCGCGGCGCGCGGCGTTCGGGTCGAGGCGCGACCGGTAGGGCCAGCAGGGATGGTCGCTGTAGTCGCTGCTGAGCTCGCTCGGCAGGTGGTCCGGCGACGACAGGCCGCTGCCGCCGCCCGTGGACGCGCCGGGCGACGGCGCGCCGGACGACGCGAAGCGCCACGCGGGCCCGGGGTCGCCCGCGTCGCTGCCGAGCTCGCTCGCGGAGTGGTCCGGCGAGTCGCCGTCGACGACGACGAGCTCGTCGCGGCCGTCGCGCGCGACGCCGAGCACGCGCGTCGCGTAGCGCGCGGGCACGTCCGCCGCGGGCACGACGGCCAGGGCCGCGTCGCGCGGCGCGAGCAGGAAGGCCTTCGCGTTGAGGAACGCCGCGCGCTCCGCGGACAGGGACCCGCGGGGCTCCTCGCGGAACGCCGTCGCGTAGAAGGCCGCGGCGAAGAGCGCCGCGCCGTGGTCCGTGCACTCCGTCCGCCAGCCGATGGCGCTGAGCCCCGCGCCCGCGATCGCGCCCGCGAGCGTCGACGACTGGCACGAGTTGCAGACGACGACCTCGACCTCGTCGCGGTAGCGCGAGATCGTCGTGACGACGCGCTGCACGGACTCGGCGACGAGGGGCTTGGCGCTCTCGCCCGTCGGGCCCGTGACGCGGTCGCCGAAGAGGTGGTTCGCGCAGCCGTGGCCCGCGAGGTGGATCCAGATCCGCGTCGCGACGCCCTCGGGGAAGTCGCCCGCGGGCCACCGCGTCGCCGCGTGGAGGCAGTCGTCGAGGTCCGCGAGGTTCTCGCACTCGACGATGCGCACGTTCATGGCCTTGGCGCAGCGCATGACCGCCCGGAGCTCCTTGGACAGGTTCGCGAGGTCGCCGCCGAGGTCGCCGCTGCCGCTGCCGCGGACGAGGACGATGGACCGGGGCCGCGCGCACGTCAGCAGCGACAGCTCGCCCTTGGCGGACCAGTCCTGGGCGGAGCCGCCGAACTCCTTGTCCTTGGACGGCAGCGGCCGGCGGCGCCGCGTCACGAACGAGAAAGCCGCGGCCGCGAGCGACGCCGCGAGGACGACGGCCGCGGCGACGGCGGCCGCGGCGACGTCGACGCCGCGGGCGTCGGACGACGCCGCGCCGGCGGCGCCGCAGTCGACGGGCCGCAACGGCTCGAAGCCGTGGCGCGCCATCGCGTCGCAGACGAGCGCCGCGGCCGCCGCGGCGCCGTCGCCGTCCGCGGGCTCGACGCCCGCGGCGCGGAGCGCCGCGCGGCCGTCGTCGTCGAGGGCCCAGGCGATGGCGTCGCCGGCCGCGCGCCAGGCGCCGGGCTCGTCGCGCAGGGCGAAGACGAGCGGCGCGCCAAAGGCCGCGCGCGGCGCGTCCGCGGCGTCCGCGGCCGGGCCCCGCGCGTGCGCCTTGACGACGTCGACGGCGACGAGCGCGCCCGACGCGAGGCCCGGCGCCGCCGCCGCGGCCGGCACCAGGCCGAGGGCGCCGCCGTCGGCCGCGACGGCCGCGAGGACGTCCGCCGGGTCGACGTGGGCCGCGTACGCGTCGTCCCGGAGCCGCTCGTCGTCGCGGCGGAGCACGGCGGACGCGAAGTCGTCCGCGGCGCCGCTGTCGGCGGCGTCGGGCCCGTGGACCGCGATGGGCGCCTCGGCGCAGGCGTCGCCGCCGAGGTCGCTCCACTCCGCGCGGCCGTCGCCGTCGTTGTGCGGCGCGACGTCCGCGACGTCGACGCCGTCGCGGTAGAGCCGCGCCTCGTCGTAGGCCGACAGCGCCCAGCGGAGCTGGGACGTGGCGATGGCCGCCGGCGGCGCGCCGCCGTCGCCGCCGCGGAGCCGGCGCGCCGCGGCGCCGCCGCCGAGGCACGCCGCGGCCGCGCCGCCGGCGCGCGCGACGACGACGAAGGGCGCGCGCCCGAGCGTCGCCGTCGCGAGGGCGACGCGCTCGAGCCGGTCCGCCGCGCCGGGCTCGCGCTCGCCGTAGCCGCAGCCGGGGAAGGCCTCCGCGTGGGCCTGCGCCGCCTGCTCGTTGCGGAACGCGCAGCCCTTCCCCGAGCACAGCGCCTCCGTCTCCCAGACGTCGGACCGCGCTCCCGCGACGCACTCGAGAGCGCCGTCGTCGCCGGCGGCCTCGACCTCGACGCCCGCGATGGGCGCGCGCGCGAGGGCCGCGCCGGCGACGCGGCGGTCGCAGACGGCCGCGAGGCCCGCCGTCGAGCCGCGCGCGCCGAGGAACGCGGCGGCGACGTGGTCGTCCGCCGCCGTCCAGAGCTTCGCCAGAGCCTCGACGGCGGGGAGCGCCGCGGGCGACCCGTCGAGGGCCAGCGGCGCGAAGTCGTCGAGGCGCGCGAAGTCGACGCGCGCGCCGCGGCCGCGGCTCCCGTGGTGGTCGACGGAGTCGCGGTCATAGCTGGGCCGGCCCGCGGGCGCGGCGCCGATGCCCGCGTAGGCGCGGCTCGCCGCGCGGTCCGCGGCGCTCGGCCGTGTGAAGAACATGTCGCTCAGGTATTGGAGCGCGCCGTCGCCGAGGAGCGCGTCCGTGGCGACGCACGCGGGCGACCACGCGTCGGCGCACGCGTCGAGCGCGGACTTGAGGACGCCGAGCCGCACGGTCCGCGCGAGCCAGGGCGCGCCCGTGGCGTTGCCGCCGCCGGCGACGGTGAGGGGCGCGACGGCCTGGGCCCAGACCGCCGCGGCGGACGCGCCGACGACGCCGACGGCGCCCGGCGACTGGAGCGCGGCCGCGAAGACGTCGACGGCGCGCTCGCCCGCGCCCGCGGCGACCCAGGTCTCGTCGTGGGCCCGCGGCGCGCAGCCCAGGGCCTGCGTGAGCACGCGCGCCGGGCCCGACGCCGGGTCGCGGCCGCCCGCGAGCCGCAGCGGCGTCGCGGCGAGCAGCGCGGCGCACCCGTTCTTCGAGCTCGGGCCCGCCGCGGCGTCGAGCCACGTGCCGTTGCCGCCGCAGAGCGCGCCCCGTAGGCCCTCGCGGTCGAGGCCGCCGCCGGCCTCGACGCAGGCCGCGAGGTCCGAGTCGCGCCGGGCGACGAAGACGAGCTCGTCGAAGGCCACGGGCATCCAGACGACGGCGCCCGAGAAGGTCTCGTCGCAGGCGCCCGCGGCGCAGCGCACCACGGGCCAGCCCCGGCCGCCGTAGGTCTCGCAGGGCGTCGTCGTCGCGTTGGGGACCCAGCCCGCCGCGTCCGCGGAGATCGCCGCCGCGCCGTAGCCCGCGCAGACCTCCGCGGCCGCGAGGCCCCCCCCGGGCGTGCTCACGGCGACGAGGTCGTCGGCGCCCCCGGACGCGTGGAGGGCGAGGTCCATCCAGGCGACGAGCCCCACGTCGTCGCCCGTCAGCGCCAAATCCAGGGGGGCGTCGCGCTCGTGGGCGCCCGAGCGCGAAAGCAGGGCGAGGGCGAGCCCCCGCCCCGCGGAGGTCCGCCGGGGCGCGGGGGGCGCCATGGGGGGGCGAGCCCGCGCCAGGAGAGTTCGCGGGGACCGCGGGGGGCTGCCTTTTACGCACCGGGGCGCGCCCGGGGCATCACGAGCTCAGATCGTCTTCGAAGCCGCCAAGTCGGCAGCCGATCAGCCAATCTGTAGTACCATCTGCAAGAAAGATCGGAAAAAATAGGTCGAGATATTGAATTTGAATAAAGTATCCTTTTCCATCGGAACCCACATTGAAGCAGGCGTCAAAGCCGGCGCCGCCGCGGCGCAGGCGCGCGCCGCGTCGAAAATCGTCGATTCCGAGGGGGCGTCCCCCGACGCGGCGGCGCCGCACCCGAGCCGTGCGCGGCGTTAGCGGCGCCCCCCCCCCCCCCCCCCGACCTAGACGTCCCCGACGCCGTCGGCGAACTGGCGGCGCACCTCGAGGCTCGTCTTCCAGGTGAGCTCGCAGTCCGCGCGCTGGACCGCGTCGTAGATGGCCAGGAGGACGCCCTCGCGCCACTCGAGGAACTCGTCCGTGTCCGAGCCGAGGTAGTGGCACTCGACGTCGATCTCCGGGCTGCCCGTGTCCGGGCAGTAGCCCTCGAGGTAGACGCGGATCGCGTTTTTGTTCTCGCGGTCGTCGACGGCGCCGTCCGTCGCCGCGAGCGTCTTGCGGATGTCCGTGACGAGGGCGTCGACGCGCGGCGCGTCGGCGCGCCGCAGCCGGAGCTTCGTCTTGAGGAGCTGGTGGTGCACGCGGCTGTAGTTGATCGTCGTCGCCTCGGCGATCTGCGCGTTCGGGATCGTGATGGCGCGGTTGTCGTAGCCGCGCATCTCCGTCGTGTACCAGCCCATCTTCTCGACGTAGCCCGCCCGCCCGTCCCCCAGGTCGACCTCGTCGCCGACCTCGAAGGGGTCCGTGACGGCGACGAGGATGCCCGAGACGACGTTCGAGAGCGGCGTCTGGCACGCCAAACCCAGCACGACGGACCCGACGCCCCCGAAGGCGAGCACGCTCTGGAGGTTCAGGCCCGTGCGCGCGCAGACGTTCTCCAGGCACAGCGTCCAGACCAGGGCCCAGCACGCCGCGGACGCGACGCGGTCGAGCGTGTCGAACCTCGCGCGCTGGCGCCGCGCCCAGGACAGCGACCGCGCGAGGAAGACGCGCTTGAGGCCGCAGACGAAGAGGCCGCCGGCGAAGGCGTAGCCCACGGCGGCGACGACGGGCTGCAGGAACGCCGGCACGGGCACGCCGAGCGCCTGCCGGCACACGGCGCAGCCGAGGTCCACGGCGTAGAACAGGGGGTACCAGGTGCAAAAGAGCGTGCGCAGGGGCCGCCCCAGGGCCCGCACGAGGGAAAATTCGCGCCGGAACCGCTTCTCCTCGTCGTCGGCGAGGCCGCGGCGCAGCGGGCCGGCCGCGCGCCGCGCGACGGCGGACGCGCGCGCCGCGAGGCCCTTGGGCGTCGCGACGGCGTAGAGCAGCGCGATGGCCAGCACGTCCAACGGCTCCACGAGCTCCGTGATGGCCGCCAGGGTCTCGCCGCGGGCCCCGCCGCCCTTCAGCAGGCCCTCCACGAGCTTCACCGCCCCGCCCACGATCGCCGCCGCCTCGAAGGCCTCGAAGGCCTCGACGGCTGGCGCCACGGCCCGCGCCGTCGTCAGCGACGGCGCGCGCGACCGCGGCGCCGTGAACGCGGCGGTGTGTGCCATTAGTAGCAGCACTGCTGCTCTGCGAAGCGTGGCCATTGCCATCACACCTCCATGTCAACGAGTAGTTCACCTTTGGCCGCGAGTAGTTCAACGTAGCAGCCTAGATCGCAAGCATGGCAGCCCCGTCGACCGCGGAGCTCGTCGCGGCGCAGGGCTACGGCTACGACGTCGTGCTCGTCTTCGAGCGCGGCAAGGACTGCTGCGACGACGACGTCTGGCGCAAGTGGATCCGGCGCTTCCAGGACGTCGGCATCGAGTGCTTCGCCTACGCGTCCATCCAGAACGACGAGGTCTTCGTGAAGATCCGCGCGAGCCTGGCGGTCCTCGAGGCCTGGGCGGAGCGCATCGACCACCCCGTCGAGTTCAACGCGTCGAAGCTCGAGGCGGAGATGCGCGGCGCCGCGGAGGCCGCGGGCCTCGAGGGCTGGGCCGTCCCGAGGAAGGCGACGCGCTTCAAGCCCTTCAAGTACCAGCGCGGGCCCTACCGCGGAAAGCACCGCGCCCTGTACCGGGAAGTTCGAGGGGTCGGCCACCCCTTCGGCGCGCTCCACCGCGCGACGCTGCTGAAGCTCCTCATGGACGCGCCGAAGGAGGCCGGCGGCGCGGGCTTCGGCGTGCTCCGGCGCCTCAGCCGCGGCACGATCGCCGGCTACCTCGTGCTCCACGACGCGCGCGAGCTCGAGGCGCTGTCGCGCGACTTCGTGCGGTCGCGCGCGCTCCTGCCGAACCGGCTCGACGTGTCGATGATCAACGAGTACTTTGGGGAGCAGCTGGGCTTCATCTTCTCCTTCCGCCAGCACCTGACGACGTCGCTCACGCCGCTGGCGCTCTGGGGCGTCGTGGTCTACGCCGCGACGACGGCGCGCGGCGACGTGAGCTCGTGGTGGACCGCGAGCTTCGCGGCCGCGTCGGCCATCTGGGGCGTCGTCTGCATGCAGCTCTGGCGCCGCGTCGAGTCGACGAACCGCATGAAGTGGGGCGTGCAGGACGCGCGGCTGCGGAAGCTGCCGCGCGCGGGCTTCCACGGCGCGCTGCGGCCGTCGCCCGTCGACGGCCTGCCGGAGCTCTTCTTCGCGCCCCACCGGCGGCGGCGCAAGGTCGCGGAGAATCTCGCGCCGGCCCTGGCTCTCATCGCGATCTTCGGCCTCAGCTTCTGGGGCATCACGCTCCTGAAATTCCGCCTCGCGGACGAGCGGGGCGGCGCGTCGCTCGCGCCGGCCGTCGTCAACGCCGTGTCCATTCAGATCCTGAACTTGGCCTACGCGAAGCTCGCGGTGAAACTGACGAACCGCGAGAACTGGAGGACGGACCAGGAGCACGCCGACGCGCTGATCCTGCGCATGTTCCTGTTTCAATTCGTCAACTCGTTCTCGCCGCTCTACTTTACGGCGTTCGTGCGGCCCTACGTGGGCCACGGCGGCTGCGACGGCGACCGCGACGGCGCCGTCGCCGGGAGCCCGGGCGACGCCTGCATCCACCTGCTCTCCTCGTCGCTCCTCGTGCTCTATTTGTCGCAGATCTTCGTCTCCAAGGTCACGGAGCAGGCGGTGCCCCTCGCGATCGAGCACTACCGGCGCTGGGCCGAGAGCCGGGGCGTGCGGCGCGACGCGGGCGCCGAGGTGCGCTTCTCGCGAGCGGAGCTCGAGCGCTTCCCAGCGTCCTGTGGCCGTGACGAGTTTCGAGAGATTTGGGGTGGGAACGCGACGAGAAATTGTCACCGTCGTGCTTGGTAGGCTCTTCCTCGGCGAGATCGACCCGGAGCTGTTCCACGTGAACGCGATGGCGGCCGTCGTCGTCGAATTCGGCTACGTGACGCTCTTCGTGGCCGCGTTCCCGCTCGCGCCGCTGCTGTCCTACGTCAACGGCTGCGTGTCCCTGCGGTCGAACGCGCACGTGTTGATGTACCGGAGCCGGCGGGCCATGCCGCGCGCGTCCGAGGGCATCGGGAACTTCAACACGATCTTCGACCTCATGACGCGGATCTCCGTGGTCACGAACGCCGCGCTCCTCGTCTACGTGTCGAGCATCAATTACCTCGACGCGCTGACGCCCGTGGCCCGCCTCTGGATTTTCATCATCTTCCAGTACGCGCTCTTCTCCATCCAAACGGCGATCGACATCCTCGTCCCGGACGAGATCGACGACGTTCGCGTCCAGCGCGACCGCGGAACCTTCTTCCGCGGGGTGCTCGACGCGGGCGAGATGGTCATCCCGGCGACACGCGACGAGGCCCACGACGCGCCGTCGCACGACGTCGAGCTCCACGGCCGGGACGACGGCGCCTACTACGCGCACTGGATCTCGGGCGCGCTCGCGGCCGCGCGCCAGGACGCCGCCGACCTCCGGACCGCGGGCGGCGCCGTCGACGTCGTCTAGGGCCGGAGACTGGTCAAACGACGACGCCAGGCGCCCGTGCAAACGAACCCGCTCGTTGTCTCGACACGCTCACCTCTCCTTAAGGACCGTGTCCGCGGCCCTCGACGCGAAGACGAGGACCGTCGAGTGGACGTTGCCGTTGGGGATGCGCGGGATCGCGGACGCGTCGGCGACGACGAGGCCGGCCACGCCGCGGACGTTGAGGTCCGCGTCGACGACGGCGGCGTCGTCGTCGCCCATGGCCGCCGTGCCGACCCAGTGCGAATTCGCGAGCGACCGCGCGCGGATCCAGGCGTGGCGCGCGTCGGCGCCCCGCTCCGGCGGCGCGTCGACGAAGGCGACGGCCGCCGCGAGGGGCTCCGTCCTCGCGAGCCGCCCGAGGAAGTCGACGCCCTCGAGGAGCGCGGCGGCGTCGGCGCTCGTGACCCAGGCCGTGTCGGGCCGGCAGCCCTCGCAGCGGGGCGCCGCGTACCAGGACGCGTTCCGCGGCCCGCGCCGGATGATCGGCGGCGCGTAGGGGTCCGCGGCGTCGAGGACGACGCGGTGCCGCGCCTCGGGCCGCAGGAGCGCGACGGTGACCAGCGCCGTGTTCCGCGCCGTCCAGACGCCGCGGCCGAGCTCGTCGACGTGGGGCTCGCTCTGGCCCGGCGAGAAGAGCGTGAGCTGGAGGTCCGCGGGCTCGCGCGGGTCGCACGCGGAAGACCGGAGGAACGCGCCGACGGACGTGCCCGGCGACGCCCAGAGCGAGTCGCCGCCCCGGGCGCCGAAGAAGGCCGCCAGCGGGCCCGGGTCGCGCCAGAAGGCGTCGCTCCTCAGCTCGAGCTCGAGCGCAACGGCCGGGTGGTCGTGGAGGCCCTCGCCGACTTTCGGGCCGCCGAGGCCCGACGCGAGCAGGAGCCGCGGCGTGTTCAGCGCGCCGGCGGCGAGGACGACGGCCCGGCGGGCCTTCGCCGCGACGACGCCGCCGCCGGGGGCCGCGTACTCGACGCCCGCGGCGCGCCGGTCGTCGTCGACGAGCACGCGGCGCGCCGTCGCTCCGGCGACGACTTTCAGGTTCGCGAGCCCCAGCGCGGGCTCGAGGAGCGCCGCGTAGGCCGACGCGCGGCGGCCGCGCTCGTCGATGTTGAAATGGTAGGGCCCGGCGACGTTCGCGTAGCGCGTCGTCGGGTCCGCGTTGAAGTCGTCGACGCGGCGGAGGCCCGCGGCGCCGCACGCCGCAAGCCACGCGGCCGCGAGCGCGTCCGACGCGAGGCACGGCGCGCGGCGCGTCGCGACGGGGCCGCGGAAACCCCGCGCGGACGTGCCGTTGCGGCCGCCGACGAGGCGCTCGAGCGCCGCGTAGCGCTTTTCGACGGAGGGCCACGTCCAGCCCGTCGCGTTCCACGCCTCGACGTCCCGCGGCGTCGCGCGGACGTAGAGCATGGCGTTGTGCGCGCCGCTGCCGCCTAAAACGCGCGCGACGACGCCGTTGACGATGGGCCAGTGGAGCGCGGCCACGCGGCCCACGTCGGACCAGAGCCGCGGCACGTCGAGCGGCGACGAAGGGGTCTCGTCGCCGCTCGGCGGCGCGACGCGCGCCTCGGTCCAGACGGCGCCGAGCTCGTGCGAGTTGCCGCGGTAGGGACCGCCGGCTTCCAACACCAGCACGCACCAGCCGGGCCGCTCCGCCGCGAGCCGCGCGGCGACGACGCTGCCGGCCGCGCCGCCGCCGACGACCGCGACGTCCGGGCGGTCGAAGTCGCAGGTCCTTCGCCGCGACACGAAGGCCGCCAGCGCGCGCCCGAAGCGCGCGCAGCTCAGCGCCACGGCCAGCGCCGCGAAGGCGAGCACGCCGTGGCGCCGCCGCAGGCAGTGCCAGGGCCGCGGGCGCGGTCGTCGTAGTTCGACGCCGGGCACCGCGCCGTACGCGCAGTCCGCGGCGGACGGTGTTGCTGTGGAGGCCGGCGCCGCCGGCTGCGGCCGCGATGGCGTCGTGCGCATTTGGGTACTCGATCAAGAGGGGCGTCTAGACACTTTCATCATGCGTCATGTCCGAGCTCCTATGCGCTGGCCAGGGGCACTCACGACCTCTTGAAAGAACCGTGCAGCAGTTGCAGCAATTGTGCACCTTGACATACAAGGTTTGCGAATGTGAGAGGGTGATATGATGCTATGGCAGCCCTCGGTATTGGATAGATGATGCGGGGCTCGTGGAGGACGACGCGTCGGGCGAGTGCGTCGTGCTCCAGCAGGGCCGCGACCTCCGTCAAGCCCATCCTCCTCCTGCTTCTCCTCGCGCCACCCGGCGACGCCGATCGGCCCGTGCTCTTCCAGCACATCCCTGGCACCGGCGGCTCGTCGCTCATGACGGCGCTGCGCCGCTACGGCTGCGCGCGCGGCCTGTCGCTGTGCCCCGTCGTCGGCGGCGTGCGGAAGCACGGCCCCGAGGACCCGCGCTGGGCTTCCGTCGCGGCCTACGACGTCGTCGCGTCGCACCTGCCGAGCGTCGACGCGGCGGACGCGTGGAGACTATCTCACCCCGGCGGCCGCGTCCTCACGGTGTTGCGCGATCCGGTCGTCTACGCGCACAAGCACGACCCCGGCGCCGCGCCGCGCCTCGACGCGCAGTACCAGTACCTGCGCCACGGCTGGCGGCGCGACGCGGCGGCCGAGCCGCGGGCCGAGATGTCCCCGGCGGACGCGCGCGCGTTCCTGCGCGCGCGCTTCGACGTCGTCGGCGTCCTCGGCGCGGGCACCGCGACCCACCTCTTCGACGCGTTCGTGATCCGCGCGGGCCTGGCGCTGAGCGGCGAGCCCGACGCGCTGCTGTACGTGCGGCGCAACGTCCGCGACGAATGCGCGGCGCCGCGGCGCCTCGGGGGCCGCAGCCGCGAGATGCGGTCGTGGGGCCTCCTCGCGAACGAGCTCCGCCCCGCGCCGAACGCCGCGGCGCACGAGCGCCGCGTCGACGCGTTCGTGGTCGGGCTCGGCGAAGCGTGGCGCAACGGCTCCCGCGCGGCGCTGCGCGCGGCGCTCGGCCCGGGCGGCGACGCCGCCGCGCGGTTGCGCGCGGCGGCGCGGCTCGTCGACGACGCGGACCTCCGGCTTCCGGCGGACGTCGCGCTCGTCGTCGCCGCACTGGCCGACTACGCGGACGGCGACGACTGGGCCCGCCACGGTGCGACGTTCGCGTCGCGGCTCGCGGCGCACCGCCGGGCCAATGCGCACCGCGAGGGCGGCGGCGCGTCTTGCGCCCGGGGGTCCCCGTTCCAGTTCGCGGCCAACTGCACGGCGGCCCCGGACTAACGCGTTAGACGAACTCCCGGTTAAACGAAGCCCCGGTTAGATGAACTCCCTAGGCGCCGTCGTCAGCTCGACGCGCCGCGTGTCGCCGAGCGGCGCGAATTCGGCGGCGGAGTCCATGCTGGTCGCCATGCGCCGATGGCGCCGCCGGTCGGCGTAGTGCCTCGCGAGCAGGGCGACGAGGCCGGCGACCGCCGCGACGAGGACCGCGGCGGCGACCTTCAATCCGACCGCGGAGCGGCGGCGCACGATCACCTCGCGCTCCGGCGGCGGCGCCGCCGCGGCGCTGCGGTTCGTCGCGGGCGCCGAAGAGGGCTCGTACGTCGGGCAGTACGACGGCGGGTACTTTTCGCCCTCCTCCTCGCCCTCGTCCTCGCCCTCGTCGTCGTCGCTGCCGTGCGAGAAGATCTCGCAGACTTCGCTGACGCCGACGTCTACCTCCGCCATGACGCACACTCCCTCGAACGCGCGGCCGCCCTCGACGAGCACGACCGACAGGCTCGTCACGTCGAAGGGCTCGCTGGCGCCGGAGACGCGGATGCAGCTCCCGCGGCGCGCCGTCGCGCAGGAGCACTCGAGCACGGCGCCGTGTCTGTCGGACGCGAGGGCCATGACGGGCGCGTCGGCGCAGTACGCCAAGCAATCTCCCACGTCGAGGCCGCGGCAGTCCGCGGGATCGCGGCCGTCGCAGTACAAGTCCGTCTTGGCTTCTCGCAAGTCGACCTTGTCGTAGCAGCGCCGCGCCTCGAGCGTGTACGTTTGCGTCGGCGGCCGCGTCGGCGAGGCGCTCGGTCGCCACGATGGGACCGGCGACGGCGCGTAGCTCGGAACGGCAGTGGTGGGGGAATAGCTGGAGGGCGCATAGCTGGGAACAAGCGTCGACGACGGCGCGAGGGTCGACTGCACCACGCTGAGCACCGCTACCATGAGCAAGCAGCCCATCGCGCGAAGATGCACCGCACGTGAAGGGGTCGTGAAGGCTTCAAGTCGAAGCTATACCCATGATGGATGCAGGCTGCCGGATGTAGATGCCGGATGGCGGGCCTTCCAGGCCCGTGGCTCCGCGTCGCTTTTGTGGCTTGGGTGGCACAGGACGCGCGCTGTCAGCCGAGTGGGGCGTTTTACTTGCATGTTCCCGGCACCGGCGGGTCCACTGTCTCGACGGCGCTTCACTACTACGCCTGCACGGTCGGTCTGAGGCGGTGTCCCATCACGCGAGGCGTGAAATATCACGACGCGAGCGACGCGTACTGGGATGCGCTTCGTGGCTACGACGTCGTCGCGGCGCACGTGCCGGTCGGGCCGTTGCTCCTCCTTCGTCTCTTTGAAGCCCGCCGGGTAGCGGTCGGGCGTCGTCCAGCCGCCGTTGGATGCGGTGGATTCGAGTAGGAGCTGGGCCGAACGCGCGTCGAGGCGGCGGCGCGAGTCGAGGGGAGGCGTGGTTTCGGCGCTTGCGGCGCGGACCGCGAGCGCGACGGTGAGCAAAAGCATCGCTGCGAAACGCAGGCCCGTCTCCCGCAGCGCGTCGCCGGGGGCCCAGCGAGTGCCGGCAACGCTGGGTTAGGGACGAATGCTCTGCAATAATGGTCAGGTTTTTAATGACATCGTTGAAATTACAGTGAAAGGTCGCAGAGTCGTGAAGGCATCGTGACATTCAAGGTTTGCGAATCTGAAAGGGTCTTGTGATGCATATGGCAGCATCGTGAAGCCGCGATCGCATCATGATGCGGGGCAGCATTTTGCTGCTCATGGTGTGCGCGAGCGCTCGACTCCGCGGCACCCTGCCGCAGCGCGTGCCGCACAAGCGCGGCACGCCGGCGCCGAGCCCGCAGCCGACGGCCTACAGCTGGACCGTCAAGGGCGATTTCGCGACGTCGAGCTGGTTCCTCTCCTTCCCGCAGGATCGCGGCGCCGGCAGCGCGATGCGCGTCGTCCAGAACAACACCAAGGGCACGGCGCTCGTCTGCGTGCCCCCCAAGTGCGGCAGCATGGCCGTGCTCGAGGTGCTGCGCGGGCGGCGGCTGGAGTGGTGGGGCCAGTCGACGAAGCTCCGCTGGGACGGCATCGAGACGGACCCGACGAGGATGCCCGACGACACGCACCGCGCCGTCGGTGCGTGGCTCGAGGACGCGGGCCGCGTCCGCGTCGCGATCCTGCGCCATCCCGTGGAGCGCATCCTCTCGTCGCTGCGCGCGTTCGGCAGCCAGGAGTTCTGCCCGAGCTGCCAGACCGGCGCCTTCAAGGCGGCCACGGCGAAGCTGCCGACGAAGTTCCTGCGGCTCCAGGCCATCTACCTCCAGTACGCGACGCACGACCTCTACGACCAGCAGCGCCTGCCCTGCGACGCGCAGCGCGTCCTCGTGAACCAGCACTTCCGCGCGCTCCGCTGCTTCTGCGCGTTCCAGCTGCCGGGCATGGCGAACCGGACGCGGCTGCTGAGGTTCGGCGACGCGGCGGACATCGAGAGCCTCGCGACGATCGTGCCGGACGCGCGGTCCTGGAACCGGCGGCGCTTCGGCCCCGGCGCGTCGCTCTCGGGCGTCGAGTTCCTGTCGCCGCGGCACCGCGCCTCGAGCCACGTCCACAGCTCGCGCACGACGGACGCCGTCGAGACCTACAGCGCCGAGCTCTTCGCCGCGATCACGCGCGCCGTCGCCGACGACCTCGCCTTCTTCAACGGCCTCGGCCTCTTCGCGGAGCCGTACCCGCCGTAATTCATTACCACGGGTCCGCGGGCGGCCGGTTGAAGCGGAGGCGCTGCGTCACGACCGCGGCCTCGTAGCGGGCGCAGGCGCCGACGGTGATGTTGTTGGCGAAGGGCAGCTTGTGGGAGAGCTGGGCCATGGACGGGCCGCAGGCGCGGACGACGCGCGTCCGGAGGACGTGGCGCTCGACCGCCGTGAGGTTGTAGGTCTCGCAGGCGTCGTACGCGGGGTCGTTGCGCGCGCGCGCCTTGGCGTTGTCCGCACGCGGGAGGCCCAGGAGCCGCGCGCGGTAGTCGAAGCTCATCTGCGGCCCGCAGCAGCGCCGCAGCACGGACCAGTAGCGCATGTACTCGAGGACGTCGTCGCCCGCGCCGTCGTCGAGGCCGAGCTTCTCCGCGTACGCGAAGATCTGCACGTTCGAGCCGCAGCGCTCGAGGTACTCGTAGAGCTGCACGTGGGCGACGGCGGCGCCGAGCGTCTCCGAGAGCTCGGCGCGCGCCCGCTCCGCGTCGCGGCCCGCGTCGGCGCAGCGCGGCCGCCGGCCGCCGCCGCCGCGCGCCGTCGCGAAGAGCAGGAACCCGGTCGCGTTGGCCTTCTGCAGCGCGCCGCGGAGCTGCGCCTCCTTGTGCGCCTTGACGACCTCCGGCGGCGCGCCATCCCTCAAACAGGCCGCGGCGCGGATGACCTGCAACTGGAACGTCGTCGCGGAGCGCGGCGGGCCGTACTGGATCAGCGTCTCCCGCGCCGTTCCCGCGGGAACGAGCAGCAGTAAGAGCCAGATCATGGCGCATGCACGCAGATCATGGTGCACGCAGAACATGGCTCAAACACGCAGCCCTCGCGAAGCCCATCGCGCCAGTTGGCTTTGTTGAAGTTCAAACACGGGGCAGCGTGCCTCTTATGGACGATGCGAGTTGCGCGTCTCCTGCTGGCAACATGGTGCACCATCCGTGCGAAGAAGCAGCGGCCGCGCGATGCCTGCGAGGCGGCGCTCGGCGTGCTGGCCTGGCGCAACCCGGGCATCATGGATGACTGGTTGGGTCGCTCCGGCTACTGCCCATCCGTCACTCATGGCGTCTCCGTCGCTGCGCGCGTCGACGAGGCGGCGCCGGAGGCCGCGGACGACTGGGCGCCGTGCGCGACGCCGCCGCGGACCGTGGCGGTCGTCGTCCGCGAGCCCGTCGACCGGTTCCTCGCGGGCGTCGCGCAGGCGACGGCGCCGGGCACGGCGCACGCGCGCGCCTGGGCCGCCTGGCGCGCGAGCCGCGGCCGCGCCGCCTTCGACGCCGGCGACGCCGCGGCGGCCTACGCCCGGGACGTCGCCGCGGGGTTCCGCCACGCGGCGACGCAGCCCGTCGCCGCGCGCGCGAGGCGGGGCGGCTGGCCCCGGGCCGTCGCCGCCGTCGCCCTGCGCCGCGTCGAGGACAATCGCACGGCGCCGGCGTTCGCGCCGCGGCCGCGACCGATCTCCCTCGGCTTCTGGGCGCCGTTCTGCGGCGCCTTCGCCGCGGACTACGCGTGCCTCGGCTACGAGACGCCGCGCGAGTGCGCCGGCGGCGTCGTCGACGGCGCCCACGGCCTGCCCGCCGCGGCGAGGGACGCGCCGGCGAGCCGCGCCGAGGCCGAGGCGCTCCTCGAGGCCTACCGGCGCGGCCCCGTGGGCACGTTCGCGCGCGCGACCTACTTCTGCCCGCTCAAGGCGGGCAACGGCGTCTTCGGCTTCCTCAACGCCTTCGCGCTCGCCGTCGTCACGAACCGGACGCTCGTGGCGCGCTTCGCGAGCCCGCCTGACTTCGCGGGCAACAGCGAGGCCGCCTGCGGCGCCGCGCTGCGCCTGCGGCGCTGGGTCGCGCGGGACGACGGCGCCGCGAACTGGTCGACGGTACCGGGCTGGCCCGCGAAGCAGACGGCCGAGGCGCACATCCTGGCGACGCCGGGCCTCGACGAGCTGCCGGCGACTTTTGTGGACTTTGGCGTCATGTACGGCCACAACGCGGCGGCCGCGGCCATGCCCGAGGCCGCGCGGTGCCTGGGGGCCGCCGCGCGGCGCCGCGCGGCGGCGCTGTTCCGCGGCGGCCTCGACCTCGCCTACGGCGTGCTATTCCACGCGGCCTTCGAGCTGGCCCGGCCCGTCCCCGTCGACGCCGACGCCGGCTTCTCCGTGGCCCTGCACTCGCGGCACCGCGCGCGCGCGGCGGACGACGGCGCCGACGTGTCGCGCGAGGCCGCGTGCCTCGCGCGCGTCGTCGGCGCCGCGCGGCGGCCCTGCGTCGTGCGCATCATGTCGGACCGCGCCGCGACGCGCGCGAACGTGTCGGCCTTCGCGCGCGCCCTCGGCTGCGCCGCGAAGACCGCGGCCGTCGGCGCCGCGGCGGACGAGGCGGACTTCGCGGAGCACGGGCCGTCGCGGGCCTTCTTCGCGGACCTCGCCGTCGCGGCGGCGGCGACGGACGGCCTCGTCGCGACCGTGAGCTCGACGGCGTCGAACCTCGTGGCCGCGCTCGTCGCGCACGGCCACAGCCGCCGCGCGCGAGCCGCGCCGCTCGCGCGCTGCCTGCTGACGTACGGCCCCGCGCGGCCCTGGTACCTGCCCTACGCGGGCGACGCGCCGCGGCGGCCGGGCGACGCGCCGACGCGGCCGGGCGACGCGCCGCGGCGACGCCTCGCGGGCGCCGAGCGGTGCGTGACGGTCGTCGCGGCCACACGCAACACCACGCCTCCCGACACAGACGCGGCCGGCTGCGCCGTCGTGCGCGTCGCGCACTTCGACGGCCTGCTCGCGTCCGTGGATCGCTACGACGGGAAATACGGGCGATTCTCCGGCGAGGTGCCGTTCTCCGCCGCGGACTGGGCGGCGGCCCTCGCGCTCGACGGCGACGGGAGCCGCCTCGACGCGTGGGCGCGCCTCGCGCGCGGCGTCGAGCGGTGCGACGCGGACGCGCGCGGCGCCTTCGACGTCGTCGTCTTCGGCGGGTCCGTGACCGGCGGCCGGAGCTGCTGGAACCCGACGTTTCCCTTCGACGAGGGCGCGAACTGCTCCGCGTGGCACCGGTTCGAGGCGTGGCTCCGGTGGCGCTACCCGCGGTGCCCGGGGCTCCGCGTCGTCAACCGCTTCGAGGGCTCGACGACGACGGCCTGGCGCGTCGTCAACTGGGCCGACGTCGCCGACGCCGTCGCGCGCGCGGCCATGGTCGTCGTCGACTTCAGCGTCAACGACGACGGCGACGGCGCGGTCTACGCCGAGGCGCGCGACGCGACGGAGAGCCTCGCGCGGCTCGTCCTATCGGAGGGCGCCGTCCTCGTCGTCTTCGTCGCGATGCGCAAGCTCGCGGACGTCGACGACGGCTACCAGGCCGAGGTCGTCGCGCCGAACGCGCGCTACTACGGCTTCCCCGTCGTCTCGTACCGCGACGCGGTGCGGTCCGTCGCCGCGCGGCGCCGGCGCGGCGACGCCGGCGCCGTCGACCCGGGCCTCCTCTGGCATCCGACGCGGCACCACCCGAACTGGTGGCCGCACCAGCTCATGGCCGACGCGATGGCCTACGCCTGGGAGGCCGCCGCGCGGCGGACCGTCGGGGAGGGAGCTCCGGCGGCGCCGGCGCCGCTGCCGCCGCGGAACTTCACGGCGCGGCTCGGCGCGGCCGTCGCGGCCTGCGGCGGCCGCTACCTGTCCGACTTCGCGGCCGCGGACCTCGCCGCCGCGGGGCCCGCCTGGCGCCTCGTCGCCAACGGGTCCAAGTCGGGCGTCGAGGCCGCCGCGGGCGCCGCGGGGTCGCGGCTCCGCGACGCGGCGCGCCGGCTCTCGCTCGAGGTCCGCCTCGGCCCGCGGCCCGCGCTCCTCGTCACCGCGCTCGCGTCCTACGAGACCTTCGCCGACGGCGTCTTCTGGCTCGACGACGACGTCGCCGCCGCCGAGGCGGCCCTCGCGGCGACGGAGGCCCTCGAGGACTTCTGCGCGCCGAAGCCCTGCGGCCCGCGCGAGGCCTGCGCGGAGAAGCTCCCCGAGTGCGCGGCCTTCGCCGCGGGCCTGAGCCCCGCGCCCCACGTCGTCCGCGGCGCCTGGCGCGACCGGTCCACGATGCCGCGCACGTCCGTGTTCTTCGAGCGCGCGGAGCTCGCGCCGCCGACGCGGCGCGTCCCCGTGCGGACCTTCGTCCTCCGGCCCGGGTCGCGCTTCGCCGCGCCGGGGACCCACGCGCTCCACGTCGTACCCCGGCCGCCGCGGTCGCCGGCGTCGCCGCCGGCGAAGTTCCGCCTGCTGCGCGTGCGCTCCTGCTGATGTCCTTAGCTAGCCTAGCTCCCGGAGCAGCGCGGAGAACGACGGCCGGTCGCGGGGGTCCGCGCGCATCATCCGCGGCAGGAGCCGTCCGAGCCGCGCGGGGCCCCGCACCTTGGCCCCGCGGCCGCTGCGTGGGCCGCTGTCGCCCGCTAACTTGACGTCAACGTTGCACAGGCGGAAATCGCAAACTCTTATGGCAGCCAGAATTAGGACGCGTTGAGGCAATCGCACAGCCATGGCCACCCCGCGGCGCATGAGCCACCTGCTCCAGGACGCGGCGCACCACGCCTACATGGACAGCGTCAAGACGCGCATGTTCGTGCTGGGCCTGAGCTCCGGCTCGACGCTGACGCTGTTCTGCGTGTCGATCCTGGTCATGATGTTCAGCTACGACCCGGCGAGCGGCGGCATCCACGAGATCTGCGGCTGGCCCTACCCGCTCTTCCGGTCGTCGTTCCTGCTCTGCCTCTGCGGGCTGCTCTACGGCGGCACGCTGTTCGCGTGGCGGCGGTGCAAGGTCGACTACCGGAGCGCGCTCGACGTGTCCCCGTTCGTGACCTACGACACGGTCCTGGCCTACGCCTACGCGTGCTTCATCGCCGTCTTCTCGGCGTTCCTGGTCTACGCGCTCCTGCTCATGGCGCCCGGCGCGCTCGGCGCGGACGTCTCGGCGTTCCGCGACGCGCTGCCGGCGCTGGCGTTCCTCGCGCCGGCGCTCTTCCTCGCCTGGCCCGCGGACCGCGCGCCGCTGAGCCTCGCGGCGTCGCCCGGCGCCGTGGCCGCGCGCCGGGGCCTCGTCTTCGACCTGCTCCTGCCCGTGCTCGCGGGGCCGTTCCGCCGCGCGACGTTCGCGCGGACCTTCGTCGCCGACGTGCTCTGCTCCATGCCCAAGATCTTCGCGGACATGCAGTACGCGACCTGCGCGCTCGGCGCGTGGCTCGTGGACCCGGCCGGCGACACGCTGCGCGCCGCGCCGGCGACGTGCGGGCCCGGCCTCGCCTACGCGCGCGTCGCCGTGTTGTTGCAGGTCGGGCCCTTTCTGATTCGCCTGGGCCAGAGCGCGCGCGCCTTCCGCGACGACCCGGCGGGCCGGCGGAAGAACGCCGCGAACGCGGCCAAGTACCTCCTCGCCGTCGCGCTCGTCGCCGCGTCCGTGCTGAAGAAGGGGAGCCCCGGCGACGCGTTCTACGCGCGGGCCTGGCTCGCGCTCGCGCTGGCGTCGACGCTCTGCAACTTCCTCTGGGACGTCTTCATGGACTGGGGCCTCGGCCGCGGCCGACCGAAGAAGTTCCCGGCGCCGTTCTACGCCGTCGCCGTGGGCACGAACTTCGCCGCGCGCCTCGGCTGGGCCGTCTACGTGTCGCCGGACCAGACCCTCGTGGCCCAGCACGTGATCCTGCTCCTCGGCGTCGTCGAGGTCGCGCGCCGCTTCCAGTGGGCGCTCATCCGCGTCGAGCACGAGCACGTCAAGCTCCACCCGGGCGAGGACGACGCCGGCCTCCGGTTTTCCCAGCACACGCCCTAGTCCATTAAATTCGGCGCGGTAGTCCCGGACGACGCTGAGGACTGTGTGCGCTAAAAGCTTCTTCATTGACTTCAACCTCACAACATTGCAGTCAAACTTAGAGCCCGCCGGGGTAAAATCGAGCGAATGTCCTCCGTGCTTCATGATCGACATTGTGCAGCGTTTTGGCGGCGCGCTGCGATGGGATGGCCGTCTTTGAGGGCCCGCCGCTCCGCGAATATGCAGAATTGTGCAACGATCCCAGCAGCTGCGAGGGCCGCAAGGACGAGGGTGAGGCACATGCGAAGACGCGACGCTCATACGACCGCGTGGCGACTGGAACGGGGAGGTAGAGTGGGTGGGAAGCGACGCGCTGCCCCCTCGCGACCCCTCTAACATAGTTTTCGAGCCATCGCAGCAGCGGAGATCGTTCGTCATCGACCCCGTCGCGTCCAGCGCGGCAGGTTCCTCGGGGGAGCCCGAAATCGTCGAGTCCACCGGGCCGAGCTCTGACGGCGTTTCGTCCCGACGGTGGCCGTGGGGTGTCTGGGGCTGCCCCTGCCGCCGGACATGGTCTCGATCCGTTCCATACCACCATGGGGTCGGGTCCAGACCATCTCGGGCGGCGTGGGCCCACCCCAGGCGCCTCGGGCTGCCCCTCGGGACCTCGAGCCGACCGACGTCGGGTTCGACGGCTTCCGCATGGTCGACGCCGCCCCAACCGCGCTGGATCCGCGTCGTGGCGGGTCGACGCCCGAACGAGGGCGTTTGGGGCGGCAGCGAGACACCTTCCCCAGTGCCGATCCCGGCGCATAACGCTCAGACGCCATCGCGAGCGCCGCGAAGAAAGCCCATGCAACGACGGCTTTTGCTGCACTGTGCCGCTTCAACAGGGGACAAACTCAGAGTAAATACCCCGGCACGATGGCTGCATCGAGAGCCCTCGTCATCGTGCTCGTCGTCCTCTCCCAAGGAACGACGGCGATGGACGGCTTCGTCGTCGACGCCGCCGGCGTCGCGTCCTGCCTCGCGTCGGCGCGGTCCGTGGCGTCGAGCTGCGGCTGCGCCGGCGGCGGCGCCGCGCGGTGGGTCGACGACGCGCGCTGCGCCTGCGACGCCGACGCCGCCGCCGAGTCCTGCGACGCCGTGCTGGCGCGCGCGCCGGGCCGCGGCGTGCTCGTCGCGCCCGGCGGGCTGCAGTACGGCTTCACGACGGCGCTGAACGACTTCGTCGGCCACCTCGCGGCCGCGTGCGCCGCGGGCGAGCACCTGCTCTACGGCGGCTTCCTCGTCGACGGCACGGCGAAGCGGGAGACGACGCCGGCGCTGCCCGTCGAGGCCTTCTTCGACCTCGACCCCGTGAACGCGGCGCTGCGCGGCCGCGGCGACTGCGCGCGGACGCGCGTGCTGCCCGCGTCCTGCGCGGCGCGGCACATCAACGCGACGCGGTGCCACGCCTCCATGGACTGGGGCAAGGCGCCGTTGGCCCTCGACCTCAAGCAGACGCTGCCCCTGTCGCTGGGCCCCGCGGTCGCGGCCGCGCGCGCGCGGCCGCCGCCGCCCGCGCCCTACGATGCGGTCCACTTCAACCTCGACTGCGACTGGCTCCTCTACCTCGAGCGGCGCAACGGCACGCGCAACCGGCTCAACGCCTACCGGCGCAAGGGCCACCCGGAGGCCATGGCGCGCGCGCTGTGCGGCGGCGGCGACGCGGACCTCGCGCGCCTCGGCGCCGCCATGGCCGCGAGCTACGCGCGGGCGACGGCGGGCGTCGGCGGCGACGCCCCCTGGCTCCTCGTGACGCCCATCGGCAAGGTCGGCCACGAGCAGACGGCCTGGGTCCTCGACGCGTACCGCCGCGCGCTCCCGGCGCACGCGTTCTTCGAGAGCGGCGCGCGGTCGAGGCACCGCGAGCTCAACGCCGCCGCGGAGCTCGGCCTCCTCCTCGGCGCGCGCAACTTCGTCGGCCTCTGGCACTCGACCTTCTCCAACTTCGCGCAGCAGCGGTTCCTCCGGCGGCCCGCGCCGCCGGCGAACGCGACGGCGCCCAAGCTCATCTGCCGCTGCCTCCGCTGCTGCCTCTCGGACACGTTCGAGCCGAGGCGCCACGCGCGCTTCGGCGACCGCTAAGGCGTTACGCGGCCCGGCCGGCGGTCGACGCGGTGCTCCGCGACGCGCCGCGCCGCGGGCACGGCGGCGACGCGGTCGAGGAGCCGCAGCGCCTTGAGCGCGTTGACCTGGAGGCCCCAGTGGACGCCGTCGAAGGTCATGCGCCGCCACTGCGACCCCGGCGTCGCGACGAGGGCGCGCGTGTCGTCGTAGGCCGACACCGTCGGCGCGGCGCACGCGGCGCGCATCGCCGCGGCCGCGCGCGCGTGGAAGTCGAAGACGCGGTCCGGGCCGTCGTAGGGCCCGAAGCTCGACGGCCGGAAGTGCGTGTCGAGCCAGAAGAGCTGGGCCGCGGCGCGGTCCCGGATCTCCGCGTCGCCGCCGCAGAGCGGCCGCGCGAAGCCCGCCTCGAACGCCGTCGCGTTGTAGCTCAGGTGCTTCGGGCCCTTGGCGCCGCCCCGCGCGCAGGGGTGCGCGCCGAGGCCGTAGGCGACGACCTGGTTGCGCCGCAGGTTCACGAGCGTCACCTCGGGGCACGCGGCCTCCGCGAGGCGGAGCCGCGCGCGGCCGCCGCAGACGGACAGCCGCTTCGCGACGAAGAGCCGGCAGGCCTGGCGCGCCTCCTTGGCGTGCTCGCCGAACTGCTTCGCGTAGTGGCAGTTCGCCGCGCCGTCGGCGCCGGCCTTGAGCGCGCCCGCGCGCAGGTCGCCGCTCAGGAGCAGCGCGAGCGCGACGTAGACGTGCCGCGCGTAGCTGTCGCCGACGACGAGGATCGACAGGCCGTCGACGGCCGCGCAGAGGTCGCCGGTCCGCGGCAGCGCCGGCGCGGCGAGGCGCGACGGCGAGCACGTGTGGTTCAGCGGCGGCGCGCCGCAGGCGCTCGCGTTCGCGGACCAGCGCGCGTCCGTGCCGGCCCGCGCCACGGCCTCGGCGTCGGGCATCAGGTTCTTCAGGTAGCCGACGGGGCCCGTCCACTCCGCGTCCGCGCCGAAGAACCACAGCGCCTCGTCGTCGCACGTTGCGGCGAGCAGCGAGGCCGCCAGGATGGCGGCGCGCAGGCAGCCCATCGTACAAGCCTACGGTTGATTTTTTGCATGCACTTTGAAGTTTGAACGATGGGCAGCCTTTCGAGGCGGCGCCTGCTCGCGCTCATCGCGCTCGTCGAGGGTTGCACGCTCATGCGGAAGCACGCCGACAAGCGCGTCGAGGTCGTCCTGCCGCCGCGGTCGTGCCTCGAGGCCGACAACGTCACGTTCTTCCGCGGCTTCACCTGGGATAGCGTCGGCGGGAGGATCGCAGAGTGGCCCTACGAGGGCAGCCCCTATCCCGAGGGCAGCTACGACGTGAGCTCGTGGGAGGCCGTGCGCGCGCTCGACGTCATCAAATTAAATTTCGGCGGCGGCCGGGACAAGCACCCGCGCGCGAACTTTGAGGGCTACGTCGCCGTCGAGGCGCTCGGCGACGAGGCCTCGACCATGGGCGGCCACTGCGCCGCGTCCTTCCCCTGGTGCGGCTCGCACTGCGTGTGTTACGACGCGGCGAAGCCGCTGCCGCTCGGCGACGCGACCGTCGCCCACATCCTCTGCGAGCACGTGCTCGAGCACATCCCGGAAACGCGGCTCCCGGCGCTCCTCGAGGAGTTCCACCGGGTCCTGCGGCCCGGCGGCTGGGCCCGCGTCGCCGTGCCCGACTACGGCCACCCGAGGCACGCGCCCCTGCGCGACGAGGGCCTGCGGCTCGGCTTGCCCGACGCGACGAACCCGCGCCACGTCACGTTCACGGACTACGCGCTCGTCGAGCGGCTCGCCTACGGCTCGTCCTTCGAGGGCGCCGTCTTCTACGAGTACTACGGCGGCGACGCGGCGACGCCCGCGCTCCACCGCATCAACTTCGACAAGGGCCTCGTCAAGCGGTCCGCGAGCCACGCCGCGCCGGGCCGGAAGGCGCCGCGGTCGTCGAGCGTCGTCTTCGACCTCGTCAAGCGCGACCCCGCGGGCGCCTCCCGGGAGCGCATCGCCGACGGCGACCGCATGCTCCGCTACTACGACCACCCGTCCTTCGGCGCGCCGCACCGGAAGCGGCGAGCCGCGCACGTCCGCGCGGAGCACCGAAAGCGCGGCGACGCCTAAGTCGCGTTCCTCGCGCAGAGCGGTAGGGGCCCCGCGCTCGCGGCGCGCACCGTGGCGCAGAAGTGGCGCAGGGGCGCCGCGAAGACGTTTTCCCGGAGCTCGCGGAGCGCCGCGGCGTCCGCGTCGGGCACGGCCTCGACGGGGCCGGCCTCGAAGCGCGTCGCGCCGTCGGCGCGGAGCGCCTTGGCGACGTTGAGGCGCTCCGCGAGGACGACGTCGCTGTAGGCGTGCCGCGCGAGGCCGAGGAAGTCGTGGAGCGCGTCGAGCGCCGCGGCGTCGAGCGCCTCGAGCTGCGCGACGTAGACGCGGTCCGTCGCGGCGAGCCAGACCTCGAGCCAGTCGCCGTAGAAGCCCCGGACGAGCGCGTTGCCCGCGGCGCGGTAGGCCCGGGCGAGGCAGCCCTTGGCGCGCCACGACGCGCCGCCGTCGGCCGCGTAGATCTCCGCGCCGCAGCCCGCGCGCGCGAGCTGCGCGCGCGCGACGGCGGCCTGGCCCGCGAGCCCGTCGGCGCAGGCGTGGCGCTTCGGCGAGCCGACGCTTGCGCAGGTCATGCGCAGGTAGGACCGCGCGCGCCGCGCGGGCTCGCAGACGACGACGACGAACCTCGGCGGCGCCCGCGACGTCGCCAGAATGTCCGCGGCCGTCGCCGCGGGGTCCCGCGAGTCGCAGCCGTAGAAGAGGCACGCCGTGAAGTCGCCGACGAGCGGCGGGTCCGCGCGGTCGCGCGGGCTTTCCAGCGCCGGCGCGAAGTCCTCGAGGTAGGCGTCGTAGCCCTTGACGCGCTGCGGCGACCCATAGAAGCGCGGCTCCTTGCAGAGCAGGGCCCAGGCCTCGGGCCGGCAGAGGGCCGCGCTCCGCGTGCCCGCGTAGCGCGCGGCGCGCGCGAGCTGCGCGGCGTACTCGTCCTCGGACGCGCGCGCCGCGGCCGGCGGGTCGCGCGCCGCGGGGAAATGGGCCGCCTCGTCGCGCCGCAGCGCGGCCGTCACGCTCCCGCGCGGCGCCGCGGCGGCCGCGAGGTTCGCGAGCGTCGACGCCCGGAGCGCGCCGTCGTCGCCGTCGCCGGCGATGGCGTCCCAGCGCCAGAGCAGGTCCGTGGCGACCTTGTCGTACATGTACCACGCGGCGAAGGCCTCGTCGAGCCCCGCGCCGTCGCGGGCGGAGGCGGTTAGGTCCGCCGCTCGCGCGCGCGCCGCCTCGATCCACGCCGCGTACGCGCGCCTGTTGCCCGTCGCCGACGCGGGCGCGACGCGCGCCGGGTGCGTTGCGAGCGTCGCGTTGGCGACGTAGTGCATGCGGCGGACCCACGTCGTCGACTTGCACGTGGAAGCGACGTCGGGATGGTGGAGTAATATCGAGTGGAGCGTCGACGTGCCGCATTTGGTGCAGCCGATGGCATAGAACCCCGGCGGCGCCACGACGCGGCCGCTGGCCGTGCGGACGCTGGCGCGCTGCGCGCACACGCCGATGACCAGCAGCGCCGCCGCCAGCAGCCGACGACCGTCATGCCTGGGAGAGCAGCCCATCGTCCACCTCGAGAACTGCAATAGCACATGCACCATCGATGCAAGGTTAGGTCCAGGGGTGTCCGCGGTGGCAGGTCGCGTTGCCCACGAGCTGGTGCGCGAGCTTGTCCGTCGCGTGCGTGCAGCACGCGGTGCCGTTCGAGAGGCGCGGGCATTGCGCGAGGGCCGCGTCCCGGGTCGCCGGCGCGCGGTCCCGCGCGCGGACGCCGGCCGCGCCGTGGGTCTCCTCGAGCAGCTCGGCGCAGCCGCGCGCGCTCGCCGCGGAGGGAGGCTCGCCGCGCCAGGCGTCGAGCGCGGCCCGCCACGCGCGCGCCGCTTCGCAGTAGAGCTCGACGTCGAGCCAGAGGTCCTCGAGGATCCGCGGGCGCAGCGCCTCCGGCGGGAGCGCGTCCTCGGCCTACGCCGCGCGACGGGTCCCCGGAATCCCTCGGACGCGCGACGCCGGTCTCGCGCCAGGTGCGACTTCCGCACGTTCCGGTTCACGGCGAGCGGCGCGGGGCCCGGCGCGCGGCCGCGCTTCGTGGGCTTCGGCGGCGGCCGGCCCTTCCAGAGGATGGGCACGCGGTCGGCGTCGAGCGCGCCGAGGCCGAGCTTGGCCAGGAGCCATCCCTCGGCCTCGTCGTCGAAGGCCTCGACGGGGACGACGGCGTCGAAGCGGCCGAGCGCGTCGCGCGCGGCCGCGAGGTCCTCGCGGCTCAGGGGCCGGAGCCGCGCGGACGCCGGGCACCGCTCGAGGTCGTCGCGGCCGAGCGCCGGGCCGGACACGCGGCACTCCGCGCGCGCCGGGTCGCAGCCGCCGCAGGCGTCGGCGGGCCAGGCGCGGCACGCGCGGCCCGGCGCCGACGCGAGGCCGAAGACGCGCGTGAACGGGTTCGTGAAGTGGTCCTCCTACGCGGCGCGGGACGTCGGTCCGTTGCGTTCGGGGCGCGCGCCGGTCGCGCCTCGTCGAAGAAGGTCGGCTCGCGGTCCGCGCAGTCGAGCCAGTCGGTCCAGCGCCGCTCCGACGCGTGCTGGCGTCCGTCGCGGTGGAGCGCCGCGGGGAAGAGGCACCGCGCGTCGAGGGCCGCGTGGAACGTCGTCAGCACGCAGAGCCCCGGCGCGAGCGACGCGACGCCCTCGAAGAAGCCCGTCATCGTGCTCGACCCGGCCTTGTGCACGCGGTGCAGCAGGACGGCCCGCGACGACGCGTTCCACGCCGCGGCGCGCGGCGGTTCCGGCGCCGGCGCCGCGCAGGGAGCGCAGAGCTGCGAGCGCGCGCACGTGTCGCTCGCCGTCTCGCATTTTCTGCCCCATTTGCGGCCTCGCGTCGGCGTCTGCTCGCAGTAATGCTTTTGCGCGTAGCCCGCCGGCAGCTGCGCGCGGCGCGGGACGCAGACGAAGGTCGCGTTCGTCGTCGCGGCGGCGGCGGCGGCGGCGGCGAGGACGAGGACGAGGACTCGCATGTGTCACATGCTGCCCATCATCGATCGGAGGTGTGACATTGTGTCAAATGCGAGCTGCCCATGCTAATGAGCTGCAACACCTCTGCAAGTCGAGGAAAGCTCCGACCAGGCGCGCGGGCGGCGACGATATCGATTCGGTGTTACGGTGCGGTCTCGAAATACGAGGTCGCCCAGTTGAGGTCGCCGTCGACTGGCGGCTGGGAGAGCGTCCTTGTGGTAATCGGCCACACTTTCGCGGCTTTCAGCATGATGGAGGGCGCTAAGTCCCCACGTTAAAGCACCCATAATAATAATAATAATAATACTATGGACTCGGAGTCCGAGTCGTACGGCGAGCAAGGCGGCCTGGCCCCTAGGCGACGCCCGGACACCGCGCGGGTTCCTGGACCTGGGGGGCTAGAGCAGGACGCTACGCGGCGCCGCCGGCGGGCGGGCGCACTCGGGCGGGACCTCGTACGCGAGGCACCCGTAGTCGTCGGCGAGGTAGCCGCAGAGGGCGGCCCAGGCGAAGGCGCTCAGGTCGGCGCGGTCCACGAGGAACGCGGCCTCTTTCGGGGGGCTCCTTCGGGGGGGTCGCGCGCTGACGTTGTAGCCGGCCTCCGCGAGGACGTCGTCGAGTTTGGTGGCGTCCCAGAGGGCGGCGACCTGGAAGCGCTGGTCGGCGACGCGAGCGTCGTAGGCGAGGAACCAGGACTGGAGCGCGACGCGCCGGTCGAGGCCCGTCGTCTCGCGTCCGACGCGATGGAGTTCGAGCCACGCGTCGAGGCGGGCGGCGGGCGACGGGAAGGCGCGGCGCGAGATCGCCTGGGTCGCCGACTCGCCCCTGCTGCGCTTCTCGGCGCTGCTGGCCATGAGCTGCGCGAACCCCCGCAGGAAGTTGTCGAGGGGGTCGGACACGAAGGCGAAGACCGGGGCCGGCGCCGGCGTCGGTTGCCGCCAGCAGCCGCGGAGGTCGTCGAGGGCCGCCCTCGAGTGGTTCCGGTCCTGCGTCTCGAAGTGGAGCGGGCGCCCCGTGGCCGCGCCGCCGGCCGCGCGCTCGATCCGCAGGACGCCGTCGAAGGCCCGCGTCTCCGGGTCGAAGCCGCCCTCGGAGACGCGCTGGAAGACGGCGCCCCGCAGCCCGCCGGTCGTCACCAGGAGCATGTCGCCCCGGACGAGCGGCCAGCGCGAGAGCTGGACGACTTTCTTGCAGAAATTGAAGGTGCGAAGCTGCGGCGTCGGTTCGTAGATCCACGCGTCGCCGCCGCTCCAGTCGTCCCCGCAGGGCCGCGCGGGCGCGGGCGACGGCGGCGGGGACCGCGCGGACGCGTCGCCCAAGCCCGGGCACAGCTCGGGGTCCTCGGACGGGAACCTCGCGGCCGGCGAGGGCACGCGCCCGCGAAGGAAGGGCGCGACGTCCGCGTCCCTCGGGTTCTTCCTCTGGTCCGCGTCCCGCAGGCAGGCCTCGATGTCGTCGTAGTTCCCGACCGCGTCGCGCTGGGACTTGGTCTGCTTCTTCTCGAGGCGCGCCCGGAGCTCGCAGGCCGTCGAGCGCGCCATACCGACCCACTCGACGATCCGCTCCCACTCCCTCGGGTCGGCGACGAGGGCTTCGTACGTGAGATCCAGCGTCAACGGGGTCGCGACGTTTTGGCTGGCGCGGGCGAACGCCTTGTAGGTCGCCGCCCACTGGGACATGGACGACCGCATGCCGGAGACGGTGGTCGCGCAGTCCAGCCTCGCCGGCGGTCGACTCGCGATCGTCGCCAGGCACAGCGGGTCGTGCCTCGCCTCCCCGAGCGCGGGGCAGTGGAGGGTCGACGAGTGCTTGCTGATCTCCCGGTCCAGCTTGTTCTCGCGGTTCAGGAAGAACACGCGGATGCCGGCGCCGACTAGCGCGGCGGCGACCTGGCCGATCTGGTCGATCTTGAAGTACCGCAGGAGCTGGAGCTTGATGCCGAAGGCCCGCGGCGACCCGACGGGACACGTCTTCGGCACCGACGCGCATCGCTCGTGGCTCGCGAACAGCCACAAAAAGTACGCGCGCATCGCGTCCGGACCTTGCGCCACCTGAAACATGAAGCTGTTGTTCTTGTGCAAGTTCACGCCCACGCCTCCCTTGCCCGTGAAGTGCTCGCCCATGTCGCACACGCACGGGTGCGTATCCATCACCCCCGAGAAGAAGGTGCTGCCCCCGTGATATTCAGTCATGGACACGTACAGCGCCGGGGCGGCGGACTCGGCGGCCGACCGGACCAGCACCGCTGCGAGGGCGGCGCCCAGGACGGGACGCATCACGTCGACCAGCCGAGGCTGCCTAACAAGCGAAGTACAATGCAAGCATCATCGCGGCGGCCGAACCCGTGGCGCCTTTTGACTGAGTCTATGTTGAGCTGCACCTTGAACTCACTCAGCGTCGCTCTCTGCCGCTCTTGTGCCGGCGCAAGCGTCGAGCAAGCGTCGCCGAGTCGTTGCGTCGCGCAGCCAGCACCACCGCTGGGACCGCATGCGCTACTCCGCCGAGGTGTCGTTCGAGTTCGCGACGGAGCGCATCGCGGTCGTCGTCGAGGAGTCGCTCGCGGTGGACAAGGAGCTGTCGCCCGAGTCCTGCGAGCGCTCGAGCCGCGTCGAGGGCAAGGTCGTCGTCGTCAACTTCCGCGCGGTGGACGCGAAGCAGCTGCGCGTGAGCGTGGGCAGTTTCTTCGAGATGGCGGAGGTGGCCGCCGAGACCGTCGAGCTGCTCGCGTGAGCGCCGTGGCCCGATGAGCGGCGGCGGCGCGCTCCGCGCGTCGCTCGTCGTCGCCGCGGCGGCGGCGGCGACCGTGTCGCTCAAGGGCGGCCGCTGGGTCGAGGCGGCGCCGCGCGCCGAGTACGACTGGACCTGCTGGCTCATGAAGGCGAGCTACAACTGCAAGGACGACCCGCGGCGCCCCGTCGCGCACGCGTGGACCCACGTCTCCGCGGCGAACGAGACCTGGGCCGCGCTCGTCGGCCGGAGGGGCGGCCACTTCGACGTCGCGAAGCGCCTACGGCGCTGCGGCGACGCGACGCGCCCGGCGAACGTCGTCGTCCTCGGGAATTCGCTGATGCGCCAGGTCTTCGAGTCCATGGCCTGCGCGTGGCAAAACCGCGTCGCCGGCGGCCTCGTGCAGGCCCGCGGCCCGCGCATGGACATCGCGGCGCTGCGCGCGGGCACGCGGAGCAACGCGAGCGACGTCGTCCTCGCGCGCGTCTCGGCGGCGCCGCCGCCGTGCCACGGGCCGGCGCCGGACAAGTGGTACAAGGGCGCGGCCGTCGGCGGCGGCGACTGCGGCGACAACGCCGCGCGCGTCGACTTCGGGGACGAGCTCTCCATCTTCTTCGTCTTCCGGCCCTGGGCCTACGTCGAGCCCATCGGCGAGATCCTCCGGTCGAAGCTCGGCCTCGAGCTCGCGGAGATGGACGCGCTGGTCTGCAACGACTTCTGCGGCCTGTCGCACCCGAGCGAGAAGCGGCGCCACACGCACGTCGCGCGGCTCCGCCGCGCGGCGACGGCGGCCTGCCCCGCGGCGCGCGAGCTCGCCTACGTCGACTTCGGCCGCGTCCGCGCGACGATGCAGAAGCAGATGCTCCGCGACGTCGGCTTCTTGTACGGGGCGACGAACGCGAAATACGACGACGACGGCCACCCGTGCCTGCCGGGCCTCCCGGACGACGAGCGCGACTTCCTCTTCGCCGTGCTCGCGAACGACGGCCTCGCCGAGGACGGGCTCGCCGCGGAGCGCGAGGCCGAGTTTTGGAACCGACCGCCGTGAATCAGGCCGAGGTTTGACCGCCGTAAATCACCCGTAAAAAGCCAAGCACGCGTCGCAGACGTGGCGGTCGAGGGTGATGCCGCCCCAGTGGCGCCCCGACGCGCGCGTCGCGTTCGGCGGCGGGCCGCGCGCCGCGTAGCGCCGCCAGAGCGTGTCGTTCGCGAGGACCTCGTGGAGGTAGGCGGCGAGCGCGCCCGGGCCGGCGAAGTCGAGCCCGTTGATGAAGGGCGGGTAGTCCGCTTCCCGCTCGTGGATGAGCGGCGATCCGACGTAGACGACGACGGCGCCCGAGGCCCACGCGTGGCTCCACTTCTCGGTGACGTAGTCCTGCGAGGGCGCGCGTCGGGCCTCGCGGAGGGACCGGCGCCGGCGGACGCGCGTCGAGGAGCGAGTTCTCGACCGTGATCGCCTGCCAAGCATGACAATTTCTCGCTGTGTTCCCACCCCAAATCTCTCGAAAATCGTCACGGCCGCAAGGACGCTGGTGATCGCGAAGGGGTGCGCGGCGAGACCGTCGATCTTGCAGCGCTTGTTGAAGTCCGTCCGCGCGCCGCAGGCCTCGCGCCGCCGGCCGGGCGCGCAGGCGCCGTGGCGCTCGAGGGCGACGCCCGCGGCCTCGAGCTCCGCGAGGAACGCCGCGCGCCAGGGGACGCAGTGGCTCACGTAGACCGCCGACGACGGCGTCCGCCTACGGACGCGCGCTCCGAGCCTCGCGCCGTCGACCGCCGCGGGACGCCGGCGTCCGCGGCCGCGGCGGCGCCGCGCGCGCGGCCCAGTCGACGTCCTCGCGCCGGTGGAACTCGTAGACGACGTCCGCGTAGCGGCTGTACGTGAGCGCGAGCGCGCCGCCGCGCGCGAGCGGCCGCCAGTGCTTCGTCGTGCTCTCGAAGTTGAGCACGGCGGCGGCGGGCGCGCCGCCGACGGGCCGCAGGCTCCCGAGCGTGAGGTTCGCGTCGCCGAGCCCGACCGCGTACGCGCAGGGGACCTCGCACGCCACGTCGGGCCCGCCGGCGCCGCGCGTCAGCCAGCTCGGCGGCACCGCGTGGACGCGGAGCGGCGCCGCGCTTCGGTCCGGCAGCGCGCGGGGCGGCGCGCGCGGGCGCTGCTGCATCAGCGCGCGGAAGCGCGCCGCGCGGTCGCACAGCGGCTTGTAGGTCGCGTTGCCGCAGAGCGCCAGCGACTCGAGCGGCCGCAGGCCCTCCAGCGGCCAGTCCGGCCGCAGGCCGAAGCGATCCGCGGCGGCGGCGCCGACCAGGAGCAGCAGCGCGAAGCTCATGATTGTGTTCGAGATGCTCGCGATGGGCTGCCCATGCTAGATGCCCATGCTCATCCCATGAGGTCGACGCTGAAGGCAAATCGCAAATCATTCCGTGTTTGAAGGGCTTATACTTTCTGCCGATGGCAGCCCCTCACCTCTGCTCAGTTGGAGCTTGACTTTCCGACTCCATGGCCGTGGCCTGCTCCGTGGATTCGTTCCGGTGGATCCAGGAGGAGAACCACGCGGTCTACAAGGTCGTCTGTCGCGCGGCTGACGAGCAGTGGTCGGTCGAGCGACGGCACAGCGAGTTCGCTTTGCTGGCCAGGAATGCACGGGAGCGCGTCGGCGGCGGCGTGCCGGCCCTGCCGAGGACGCGCCGCGGCTGGGGCTTCGACCCCGACATGCTGGAACGCCGCCGCGCGACGCTCGACGCCTGGCTCAAAGCCGCGGCCGCGGCCGCGCCGCGCGAAGAGGTCGACCGGTTCCTCGCGCGGCCGCGGCGGAGCGCGGCCGAGGCGCGCGAGCCGGCAACAAAGCCGCCCGCGCCAAAGCCCGCGCCCAAACCGGCGGCGGTCGCGCCGGAGCCGCCGCCGCCGCCGCCGCCGAGGACGACGGCGTCGACGGCGGCGGCGGCGGCGCTATGGACGCTGCTGGCCGTGACGACGCTGGCGTTGGGACCCGAGGCGGGCGTGGCGTGCGCGGCGGCGGCGCTCCTGGGTTCGAGGGCCTTCGCGGCGAGCGCAGCGCCCGCCGCCGTCGAGCCGTCGCGGGAGGACCCGTCGGACGGAGCGGCGAAGATCGCCGACGAGGCGGTCGAGGCCGCCGACGCGCCGAAGAAGACGAAGGCCTTGCTGCTCGAGGAGGAGGACGAGACGCGGTCGCCCGAGCTGAAGGCGCTGCGGATCTTCGTCGTGAAGACGTACCTCGGCGGCGCGCCCATACCGCTGGCCCTGAACGACGACAACTGGCTCCAGGCAGCGTCCTGTGGCCGTGACGATGTTCGAGAGATTTGGGGTGGGAAAACAACGAGCAATCGTCACCGTCATGCTTGGTAGGCTCCAGGGCCTCCTGAACCGCGCGGACCGCCACGAGGAGTGGGCCAAGTGGAAGGTCTGGTTCGCCATCGAGTACCGGAACAAGGCCGCGGCCGCGGACGCGGGTCCGACGCGCGTCGTCGACGCGCGCCTCGCGCGCGTCATCGAGGACGAGGCGGGCACCGACGTGTCCAACGCGGACATGCCGCTCCTGACGAGCGAGCGCCTCGCCCGCGCGGGCCGCACGCTCCGCGAGGGCGGGCTCTACATCTACGGCCGCGACGCGGACCAGCGGCCGGTCGTCTGGTGCCGGTCCGCGAAAATCGACATGCGCGGCCTCGGCCGTGCGGGCGTCAAGGACTGGGTCGACGCCGTCGCGAGCCTCTTCGAGCTCTGCTGCCTCGCGTCCAACGGCCGCCCCAAGTACGGCTTCACCTACATCGAGCACTCCGGCGACGAGGCGAGCCGCATCCCGGCGTGGACGGGGCTCCGCGTCGTGCGCGGCGCTGTCGAGATGGGGCTCAAGGGCTTCCCCGAGCGCGGAAACTCGTTCACGACGCTCAACGCGTCCCGCATCAACCGCGTGCTCTTCGCGCTGGCGGCGCCCTTCATGTCGCCGCCGCTGCGCGCGCGCATGTTCCTCCTCCCCGGCGGCGCCGACGCGACGGAGCGCGCCGCGGAGATCCTCGGCGGCGCGCACAAGGTCCCCGACTTCCTCGGCGGCCCGCGCGCGCACGTCCTCCCCCGGACCGCGGACGGCGACGTCGACTTCGTCGAGCTCGTCGACCGCCTGCGCAAGGAGACTTAATTAAACTTCCGCGCTGCTTACGGCTAAGAGCGCGCGGCGCGGAGCGGGGTGGAGAAAGTAGTCGAATTTGAGGGGAGCTCGCGCGCGGCGCGGAGCGGGGTGGAGAAAGTAGTCGAATTCGAGGGCCTGCGAAGGGGGCGAAGACGGTGAGGCGCGGCTCCGGCGCGTTTGAAGCACACGCGTCTCTCGCATCGGGCGCGTCATACAGTATGAATACAATCCGAGATCTGTCTTCACGATGCCGGCATCTGACCTCCGGCTCAGAAACACAGGTGAGTATAAAATCCTCCGCAACCACTCGCGACGGTTTGTTCCGGACACCGGCGGCGCGCGACGTCGGCGCGCGTTGACCGCGCGTCGGTACCTGTGTGGCCTCGATTTGACGACGGCGCCGATTCGTTCCGCCGCGTCGTTGGTTATGAGACCGGTTCGACGAGCATTTTTCAACGCACGACGAGGCAATCTCCCGGGCATTCGGCCCTGGTGTGCCCATCGAAGGGGCGACCGGGAATTTGACAATAGCCCGGTGGGAGGAGGCGCGCCGCCAGTCGGAGACGTACCTCTGGGAACGGCGGCGGCGGCCGGTCCGCGTCGCGTCGCCTGCGCGAGGGCGCGGCTGGCGGAGGGCGCCCCGCAGGCGATCGTCTCTCCTTTGGCGGCGCGCGGAGCTGGCTTCATAAATCGATCGTTCTTTGGTGATTGTTCTTCGACATGTACGCGTTCAGAGTGGTGCATGAAGGTTTCATATCACAAGCCGGGGCGGCGCGCGCGGCTGGACGCGGGTCGGCACCTTGGCGTGTCGCGGCGTCCTCGCGGCGGCGCGGCGCGCCGGGTGTTTAGGGTGCGGCGGCGGCGCACGCTGCCTCAGCTCGTCATCGCCACACGCTCAGATGGGCGAGCCAGCCTCACCATCTCCTCACCGTCGGCTTCTTGAGGAGCACAAGCAGCCCCTGCCTGCGATGGTGCCCTGCGTAGTATGAACGCAATGCTGCCGCTGCTGCTGGCGCTCTGCGCAATGGCGAGCGTCGTCGTGCGGGAGGAGGAGTGCCCGAGCGTGCTGCCGAACTTTGCCGTCGACCTCTGCGGCGCGGCCGTCGCGGCGCCCGTGGCCACGGGGCTCGCCTCGGCGCACGCGGCGCCGAGCGCCTTCGCGAGCCCGGCGACGCTCGCGGCGGCGGCGTCGGAGCGGGCGCCGGCGCCGGCGCGCGCGGCGCTGGCCCGGGAGCGCCTGGCGGCGCTGCTCGCGAAGCCGCGGAAGCTCTCGGGCGTGAAGCGGCAGTACCTCGCGTGGTCCGGCGACTCGGCCGCGCGGGCCGCGCGCGCCGCGCTGGCGGCCCGGGGCTGGCGCGCGCCAACGAACCGCACCGTCGTCTGGGAGCTGCTGAGCTACGTCGGCGTCGGCAACGCGCTCGACGCCTACGCGCGCGCGGCCATGGAGGCGCTCTACCGCGGCCACGAGCTCGCGGTGCGGTGCCCCATCGTCGGCAAGCTCTGCGCCATCCTCGACTGCGGCCTCGCGCCGCCGCCCAAGAACGCGAGCATCGCCTGGGTGGGCCCGAAGCGCTACGCGGAGGCGACCGGCGAGCCCGTCGCGCTCTTCGTCGACGACTTCATGTTCAAGTGGCGCTTCAACCGCGTGCCCGACGAGTACCGCCACTTCCTGGACCTCCTGGCTCAGGTGCTGGGCTGCGACGCCTACCCGCGGAAGCTGCGCCTCGCCTGCGCGCGCGCGTCCCTGCTCCGGGACGCGGTCCGCGGGCCCCGCGGCCCGCTCCTCGGCGCGTCGCGCGAGTTCCTGCGCGACCACTTCGTCGGCGGCGGCTTCGACGCGGCCCTGGACGCGCCGCGGGCGCCGCTCGCGTCGGGCGGCGCGCCGGCGCCGCCCTACGCGCTCGCGCTGCACCTCCGGACCCTCGACTTCATCGAGGGCGCGAACAGGTCCGCGCGCGGCGACGGCGCCGCGGTCGCCTGGCTGTCGTCGCCCGCGGCGGCCGTGGCCTGGACCTGCCTCGAGCGGCGGCTGCGGGCCCTCAAATTCGGCGCCTGCGGCCCGCGCGCGCTCTACGTCGCCGCGGACAGCCCCGCGGCGAAGCGCGCGTTCGCGGCCGCGATCTCCGCCGCGTTCCCGGCCGCGGCCGTCGACTACTTCGACGGCCTGAGCCCGCCCCACTACAGCAAGTGGTTCGCGCCCGTCACGCGCGCCGGCGCGCTCAAGCCGCGGGACTGGTGGTCCCTCGTGGGCGCGGCCGCGGACTGGTACTTCCTCGCGTCCGCGGGCGCGGTCGTCGGCCTCAAGGGCACGCGCGGCGCGTCCTTCAACGAGCTCCCGTCGTCCTTCGCCCGGACCGCGTCCCTCTACGCCGGCGTCGTCGACTTCGACGTGCTCTCGAACGCGGCCGTCGCCGGCGGGCGCGTCGCGTGCTGCGCCTGGGAGAGCTACCGGCGGTGGTAGGGCGCGCGTTACTTCGACGCCGCCCGCGTTCGGGAGCTGGGGGGGGGGGTCTCGGCGCCCCCTAGCCGCCGCCGATGCTCTTCTTGATCTGGCCGCCCGGGCCGGCGTGGTCCCAGCCCTCGGGGAGCATGTCGTCGTAGCGGTCGTCCGACCAGGGCACGTTCTCGCCCTGGGCCTCGGCGGCCATCTCGACGGCCTCGAGGTCGAAGACGGACGTCGTGGCCTCGTTCCACATTTTGTCCTGGAGCGCCCGGGGGCTGTCGCAGTCGCCGAACAACTCCGTCGCGACCTTCTCGGCCTGCGCCGCGATGGCGCGGACGCGGTCGGCGAGGGGCGCGCCGTTGTCGTCGACGTTCCCGAAGTCGGCGATGAGCTTCAGGCAGGCGTCGATGAACTTGGGCGGCTCGACCTCGACGCCCTCGGCGGTCGTCGCCGCGTCGTCGCCAAAGCCGAGCGCGATGGCCTCCTTGGGCTCGAAGGCGCGCACGAGGAGCTGCTTGCGCGTGTCCTCGTCGTCGCTGCGCAGCAGGGCGCGCAGCAACCGGATCTCCGGGCCCGTCTCGCGCTTGTCCATCTCGTCGCGGCACCGGGACGCGAGATTCTTCATGAGCTCGGCCGCCTGGGCGCCCGCGGGGCCCGCGGCGGCGGCCTGCTGGCGGTTCGCCTCGAGGAGCTCCACGAGCTGCGTGTCGACGCCGCCGGACACGGCGAGCTCCGTGATCTTGGCCATCATCTTCGACGGGTCGCCCGCCTTGAGCACGGACCCGAGGCGCGCCGCGGCCTGCTCGAGGCGCTTCGCCGCGAGGCCGTTGACGGCGTCGATGACGGCCGCGAGGGCTTCCGCGTCGTCGCCGCCGGCCTGCTGGCGCTCCGACGCCAGGGTCAGGAGGCTGTAGTCGCAGCGCTCGAACGCGCCCTCGACGGCCGACGCGACGTTGCCGTCGGCGGCCGCCGCGACGAGCGACGTGAGGAGCGCGTCGTAGGTGCGCAGGGCCTCGCCGCTGAGGCCCGCCTCCGTCGGCCCGACGTCGATGGCGGGGCCCGCGTCGCCGCCCTCGTAGACGTCGCCGAGCGTCGCCGCGCGCGCCGCCGCGAGCACGTCGACGGACGCGTCGCTCGCGGCCGCGGCCGGCGCGTCCTCGTCCTCGCCGTTGGCCGCCGCCATCATGCGCCGCTCGATCTCCTCCGCGTCCTTGCGCGCGTTCTCGATGGCCTTGTGCGTGTCCCGCACCATCTCGACGAGCGACTTGAGCGCGACGCGCTCCTCCATGTCCTCCGAGTCGTCCGCCTTGCCCTCGACGAAGGCGCAGAAGTCGTCGCCGTAGAGCTCGGGCGTCGTCGCGACGTCCAGCCGCGGGTCCCGCGACGAGAAGATCAGCTCGCCGAGCGTGACCTCGTGGTCCTGGTTCTCGGCGCCGCCGCCCGCGGGCGGCGTCGTCGGCGCGATGGGGTTCCCCTTGGCGTCGAAGAGGTGGCGCACCGTGGAACGCCGCAGCGCGATGCGCGACGCGGGCACGGCCGGGTGGTAGGCGCTCACCGCGGTGAGGCCCAGGAAGAGGACCGAAGGTTTCACACGCACCATGTCGTCGTCGCCTTCGAGCTGCAACATCAAGCAGGGTAAAGGTTAGCCGGGAGCTATGAACACAATGTCATACCCCCCTCGTCGATGTTGACAGCATTCCCCGTGGTCGCCCTCGCCTTGAGCGTCGGCGCCAGTCACGGGCCGTGCTATGCCGGTCAGCTCGCCGATCCCCCGGTGGCCGTCGTGGGCCTCAAGTTTTTCAAGTCCTATTCGTCGTCGATGCGGGAGATGCTCTACAAGTCGCTCGGCCAGAACCTCTCCTACATGGAGCACCACGGCCTGGCCCTGTTCCGGGCGGGCGGCCTCCGGTCGCTCGTCCCCGGCGGGCGCGTGCCGCTGAGTAAGTCGCCGTGTGGCGCGTCCCGGCCCATGCAAAAGCGCGTCGCGTTCTTCGCCTTCCTGCGCGAGCCCGCGAGCCGCTGGGTTTCGATGGTCCACATGCTCCACTGGCGCCGCCTCCGCGGCGTCGCCTGCGCCGACTACACGATCGAGTTGCTCGAGCCGTACGTCAACGGCTCGCGCCGGGACCTCCGCACGGGGGCGAACCCCTACGCGGCGGTCCTCGGCGCCGACTCGTTCGAGGCCGTGCCCCGGGCGCTTCGGGCACTGGCGCGGGACTTCGTCGTCGGCACCGACGGCAACGCGACCGAGTTTCTCGCCACGCTCGCGCGGCTGACCGGCGCGGACGACGCCGGCTTCTTCGCCCGCAACTTCGCCCACGAGCACAACGTCGGCGAGTACTGCTCGCTCGAGCGGCTGCCCGCGCTCACGCGGGGCTTCCTGCGGGGGCGCATGGCGCTCGACCACGCCCTCTACCGCGGCGCCGCGGAGATCGCGCGCACGCAGGCGCGCGCGCCGCGGCCGCCGCCCGCACACGTCGTTCGCGACCTCCTCGCGCGCCCGCGTTAACTGCGGCAACCTAACGCCTCCGCGCCACGTCCAGCAGCTCGTCCCCGAAGACCGCGGCCGCCACGAGCCAGAAGCGCCGCTTGGCGGCGGCGTAGAAGCGCGCCTCGGCCCTGCAGGACGTCGTGTTCATGAGGATCTTCCGCGCCTCCTTGGACACGGCGCCGGCGCCGCGCGTGCCCGTCGCCGGGTTCCGCGCGCTCGTGACCTTGGGGACGGCGTGGCCGTCGTGGAGGACGGCCGACGCGCCGGCGAAGAACTGGGGCAGGAGCCGCTCGAGGACCGCGACGGAGAGGTCGTACTCCTCCGTGAGGCCGACGAAGACGTAGTCGTCGTCGAGCGCGCGGACCGCGTCGGCGATGGAGCAGTTCCGGGCGCCGGGCGCGCAGAAGGCCTCGTGCTGCTGCGTGCTGCAGCCCAGGGGGCAGCCGTTGGCCTCGCGGAGGAGTACGCACGCGTCGAACTCCGCGCCGCCGCAGCCGCACGCCGTGTCGTTGAGCCGCGCGCGCTCGGACGCGAGCGCCTTCTGCCGCTTGCGGCTCACGGGGTCGACGAAGTAGTAGAAGAGGCTCTGGGCGCGGTCCACGGGCTCGCGGACGAGGGTGATCCACGCGAAGTCGTCCGCCGTCCGCGCGTGGCCCGCGTGGTTCATCCACACGCCGCCGGCCGGCACGGCGGCGAGCTTCGCGGCGAGCGCCGCCGCGTCGGGGTGGAAGGGGCCGGCCCGCGGCGGCGGCGGCAGGCCCCGCGCCGCGCGGACGCGCAGGATCACGTTCGTCAGCTCCGACGAGCCGGCCTTGCCGACCTTGTTGTACGCGAGCCTCGTCGCGCGTCTCGCCATCTCCAGGCGCGTTTCGGCGAAGGAGCCCGCGGCGACGCGGCACGCGACGAGGCCGGCGACGAGCCATCGCATTGCTCAAGAATGGGCTGCCATCACGTGCAAAATTGCGGCGCCCACTGCTTGACGTCAACGTGCAGTTTAATTTATGCAGCTATATATCTCGAGCTGGACGCCGCTGCTCGTCAACTTCAAGCTCGCTGCTCGATAGACCTCAAGCAGCCATACAAGGTTTGCGAATCTGAAAGGGTCATACAATTGTATGATGCATATGGCAGCTACCCAAGATGGTGCGATACACGCCCACCTGTAGTCGCTAAACAACACACGCGCATGGGAATCGTCGCGGTCGCGCTGCTGCTGGCCGCCGCGCGGATCTCCGCGAGCGACGACGTCGCGCGGGCCGCCGAGTACGACGAGATCACGCAGCGCTACGTCGACGGGGCCGTCGCGGCGCGGCGCGCCATGGCCGCGCGCGTCGGCGTCGCGCCGTCGCCGGCGCGGCCGTTCGTCTTCCTGCACCAGCGGAAGACGGGCGGCACGACGTTCCGGGGCCAGCTCCGGCGGCTCGCGCGGGAGCAGGCGCTCGGCTCGTGGCTCGCGTGCTACGACGGCGTCGACTGCCGGACCTACGAGCCGCCGCGGGGCGGGCTGGGCAACGCGTCCGTCGTCGGCGGCCACCTCTACTGGCCCCGCGTCGCGGCGGCCCTGCCCGGCGGCTTCGACTGCCTCACGATCTTCCGCGAGCCCGTGTCGCGCGTCGCGAGCTGCTGGAACTTCCGCTTCGTCCAGCAGCGCGGCGGCGTCGCCAAGTCGCCCTACGCGCCGTTCCACGCCTACAACGCGTCGGCCCTGCGGTCCGCGCTCCCGGGCGCGCGCAGCCGCCAGCGCGAGGGCTGCAACAACGAGCCGTTCCGCGTCCTCGGCGACTTCGGCCGCCGCGACGAGGACGCCGTGAGCTTCCTCACGGCGCGCGCCGGCGGCGGCGACGGCGCGCCCAAGGCCCTCGACGCGGCCCTCGCGCACATGCAGCGCTGCGTCGTCGGCGTCCTCGAGCGCTGCAACGACACCGCGGAGGCGCTCTCGTACTTCCAGCCCTGGCTCCGCGGCCTCCGCCACGGCTGCGAGAAGGGCCGCGGCCGCGTCCAGATCGGGAGCACGCCCCGGGGCACCCTCGACGACGCCCAGCGCGCCGAGGTCGCCAGGCAGAACGCCCTCGAGCTCCGCCTCTACCGCGCGGCCGGCGCGATGCTCGACGCGCAGCTCCTCGTCGCCCGGTCGCAGCGGAGGGACGCGTAAGCCGCGTTCGTGCTCGTGCTCGCGACGCTTCCACACGCGTCGCTCCCGATTTTATTTTTTGGCTCTTGGTTGAAGTCTTGCTTGCAGCGGGCAGCCACGATGATGGTCTACTAATGCTTCATCGCGCCGCGCTGCTGTCGCTGCTCCTGCGGCGCGCGCTCGGCGGGTCGCTGCAGCCCGCCAAGCCCTGCCCGAAGCAGTACGAGCTCGACATCTTCGGCGGCGACGCGCTGCTGCCGAACGGGACCTACGAGGTGAGCTCCTGGGCCCAGGTCCGCGCGCTGCCCATCCGGCGCCTCAACTTCGGCGGCGGCCTCGGCGACAAGCATCCGAACCCCAAGTTCCGCGACTTCGTCGCCGTCGAGAACGACCGGACGCCGGCGGAGGCGAACGCGACGTGGTTCTGGTGCACGCGCGAGCTGCCGCACTGCGGGTCGAACTGCGTCTGCTACGACCCGCGCCGCCCGTTCCCGCTCGACGACGAGAGCGTCGACCAGGTGCTCTCCGAGCACGCGCTGGAGCACATCGACGCCGCGAGCGTCGCCCTACTCTTCGCGGAGTTCCACCGCGTGCTCAAGCCCGGCGGCTGGGTCCGCGTGAGCGTGCCGGACTACGGCCACCCCGTGCTGCGCGGCCGCGTGCGCCGCGCCGGCGACCGGCGCGTCGACGGCGGCAACGAGAAGCACGTCGCGCTGACGACCTACGGCTCCATGAAGGCGCTCGCGGACGCGTCGCCGTTCGGCGGCGCGGTCTTCTACCAGTACTTCGACGACGTCGCCGACGCGGAGGCGCCGGCCTTCTACCAGCGCGCGGACGCGCTCGACGACGCGCGGGGATACCTGAAGGGCCTGCCCTGGCGGTCGCCGCGTGGCGCGCGGCGCGACGTCGCCAAGCTCCGCCACGGCACGAGCGTCGTCTTCGACCTCGTCAAGCGCCGCGCGCTGCCCCCGAGCGCGTCGCTCCGCCCCGCGCGCGCGGCCTTCGTCGAGAAGCGGGGCGGCCTCGGCCGCGCGCATCGACGACGCCGCCGGTGACGACTAACATGGAGTCCCGCCGGCGGGATACTTTAAGACCCCGCGCCGATCTCGTGGAGCTGGACGACGACGTCGGGGCCGAGGCCCGACTCCGTAAAGGCGAGGATGTCGTCGAGCGCGAGCTCGACGGCGGCGGCCTCGCAGTCGTTGACGCCGTAGGACACGCGGAACCCGTCGCGCGTCGCGTCGAGGCTCATGACGAACTGGATGACGTCGCAGCGGCCGCCGTCCGCCGCGGACGGGAAGCAGAACGCGGGGCTGACGGCGAGGACGTCGTAGGGCGGCGCGTCGCGGAGGAGGAAGAAGTGGTGCCGGTACGTGTTGCCGTGGATCGAGCCGCCGGGCTCGAGCGTGTGCGCGGGCAGCGCCGACTCGTCGTGCGTGTGGCAGACGCCCAAGCGGAGCCCCGGGAGGCGCGGCGCGAGCGACGCGGGCGAGACGTTGTTGTGGGCCTCGAGGCCGCCGACGACGAGGGGCGGCGCCTCGCCGGCGGCGGCCGGCGGCGGGAGGCCCCGGCGCACGTCGGCGCCGCGCGGCGCCGTGAGCCAGTAGAGCACGCGGAAGGGGTCGGACCGCGCGCCGGACCAGACGATGCCGAAGTTCTTGCCCATGCCGTCGAGCCAGGGCCGGGCGACGTCCGGGTGCTCGAAGCGCTCGAGGCGGCCCAGGACCTTGGCCGCGTTGCCCGGGAAGGGCTCGAGCGCGAGCGTCGAGAGGCGCCACGTCGCGCCGCCTCCCTTGTAGTGCATGCCGTGGAGCAGGACCTCGTCGCCGTGGCGCTCGAGGCGCACGTCGTGCATGCCCAGATTGACGACGCGGCCCGTCGGCTCGACGATGCGCGCGACGAGCTTGAAGGACGCGTCGAGGAGGAGCGCGTAGGACTTCATGCCGCCGCCGAGCCGCCGGCCGTGCTGCCGGAGCTGGCGGCACTGCGACTCCGCGAAGCGGAACGCCGCGACGTAGACCGCCGCCGCCGGCAGGCGCTCGCGCATCGCCTCCGGCAACGCGACGACGCTCGGGTTGAACGCCTGGCCGATGCCCGGGTCGTCGAGCCGCGCGGGCGCGCCGAGGACCGCGACGCCGAAGCGCCGCGCGTCGAAGGACGCGTTCGCGATGTAGGTCGCGGCGGCGGCGCGCGGCGGCGCGGGCGGCGGCGCGGGCGCGGGCGCGGGCGCGGGCGCCGCGACGGCCGCCGGGACCGCCGCGCCGGCCGCCGGGACCGCCGCGCCGGCCGCCGGGACCGCCGCGCCGGCCGCCGCGCCCTTCTCCGGCTTGAAGCACACCTTCTTCCCCCGGTCGTCGAGGCGGCAGTCGGCGTCGTGGAAGTTGCAGTCGATCTCGGCCGTCGGCGCCAGCACGCGCACGCGCCGCGTGCCGGGGCCGAAGAGGACGAAGCGCAGCGGCATGACGTAGACGGGCGTCGAGTGCCGCGCGAGGTTCGCGAGGAGCTGGCCCTCGCGCATGCCGCCGACGCACTCCCGCCGGCAGTTCTTGACCATCCAGGTCGACGCCTTGAAGGCGTGCGCGAAGTCCGTCGCGTGGACCGCGGGCTCGGCGGGCGGCTCGCGCGCGTAGAATGTCGGCGCGAGCGCCGCGGGTACGACAGCGAACTCGTCGTCGATGTTCACGCACTTGGCGCCGCCGTTGGTTTGCGTGAGCTCGACGGCGGCGGCGCAGCGGTCCGGGTAGACGCCGCAGGTCGAGCCCTTCATGTGGTCCGTCGTGAAGGGCGCGTCGCCGGGCTGCCAGAGGAGCGTCCGCGCGCGGAGGCCGACATGGCCGGGCGGCACGGTGCCCGGCGGCGGCATGTCCGCGAGCCACTTGACGTCGGGCCGCGAGTGGAGCAAGGTCGTTGCGCCGTCGTCGCGCGCCGCGTAGCGCTCGTAGCAGACCTGGGCGCGGCGCATGCCATAGTTGTCGGCCTTGAACGCGTAGCTCCGATTCGCCGGGACGTCGAAGCGGTCGTGCGACACGACGTTGAGCCGCTCTCGCACGGTGGTGTTGACGTAGGCCTCGTCGAACTCAAGGTCCGTGCAGAGGTACGTCGCGTAGTCCAGCCCCGCGCGCGCGAGGACGTCGACGACGTGCGTGCCCCAGGTCGCCCAGGTGTCGCTGGCGACGAAGCCGCGCAGCTGCCCCGACAGCAGGATCGCCACGTCGAGGGCTTGCGCGTGGGCGCCGAGCAAACCCAGCCACGCCCAGCAGCGGCGCATCGCTGTTTTAAAGATGCGATCGACTCTCAACTGCTGCCCATCGCGCGTATCAACGGCATCGTCGGCCTGCAACATCCGGGGAGTTTCTCAGCGCCGATAGCTTGGCCGAGGCTGCCCTCCGACGTCGACCATGGCCGCGGAGGCCGAGTACTCGCTCGAGTTCTACGAGGAGGAGTCGACGGCGGCGAAGGAGTCGCAGAAGCTCAGCTTCGAAGACTCGCACCTGCTGCAGAGCAACGACGAGCCCCTCTTACTCCAGAGCGCCAGCAGCCCGGGCCTCGACGCGGCGCTCCGCACGACGGCGCTGGAGGACGGGTCCCTGGCGCGGAGCGCGAGCCAGCCGGCCGTCGACGACGAGGCCCGCCGGGCGGCCGTCGACTACGACGACGCGCGGCGCGCGGCGGCCGACGAGTCGCCCGCGTCGCCGCGGACGCTCCTCCGCATGTCCAAGGCGCGCGCGTCGTCGGCGGGCCGCCGCACGGAAACCAAGGCGCCGTCGAAGCCGCGCTGGGGCACGAACACGTACCGCGAGCCGCCGCCGCGGTACCCGGCGTTCGTGCGGAAGAAGAAGTTCTCCGACGCGAGGCGCGACGGCGACGACGACGACGACGACGTCGTCGCGCGCATGGAGCGGCGCGAGGAGCGCCGCCAGCAGACGATCCACAAGCTCCGCGAGGAGAAGCTCGCGCGCGAGACGGCGCCGCGGCGGCGGCGCCGCGGCGGCATGATGCCCGTCGACCGGACGAAGCGCAAGCACTCGCCGCCGCCGCGGCCGACGAAGCGCGAGGCGGCCGTGGGCATCGCGCGCGGCGACGACGTCCTCAAGCGGTCCGAGAAGTGGGACTTCGCGCGCCAGCGCAAGGTCCACAAGAAGCGGAGCGCCAAGGTGCGCGCCTTTGCCCGATCTTCGCCGCTCACGGCCGTCGTAGGTGCGCCGCGAGATGGCCATGCCCGAGGCCAAGGAGTGGAAGGGCAAGACGGAGCGCCAGCTCAAGGCCGAGGGCTTCGCGGCGACGAAGAAGAAGTTCATCGACAAGCCGAAGATCATCGACGCCGAGTTCCCGCCCGAGCGAGGCCCGGCGTCGGGAAAACGACGCGCGCCGGAGGAGAGCCGCGCCGCCGGAGGAGAGCCGCGCCGCCGGAGGAGAGCCGCGCCGCCGGAGGAGAGCCGCGCCGCCGGAGGAGAGCCGCGCGCCGTCGACGCCCGCGCGCGACGCCGCCCCCGGAGCCCTCGGGAGCCCTTCGGAGAGCCCGCGGGACCCGCGGTCCCGCGGCCGACGCGCGCGAACCCGCGACCGACGCGCGCGCGCAGGCACAACTCGCGCCTCCACGGCAAGCACCTCAAGCGGCTCAACAAGCACCGCATGCGCACGGTCAACACGCCGTCGCCCTGCGACGGCTACCCGGACATCTACTGCTGCGACCCGCACCTCCCGCGCTGGAACTTCGGCGACACGTACGACCGCCACATGGTCAAAAAGTGGGACGTCGAGTGGGGCGGCCGCCGCCACTACGCGGCCAACGACTGCTTCGAGCGCCCGAACGTGAAGCGGGCCAGCATGGTGATCTAAGAAGTGGTTATTTGTCCGGCGGCTTCGGCGCGAAGCCGTACTTGGCTTCGTCCGCGTCCGGCGCGGGCGTCGGCGGGGTGCGCTTCGCGAGCGTCGCTCGCAGCCGCGACCGGCGGGCCTCCGTGTCCTCGACGTCGGCCTTGTTGGCGTGCAGCGCCGCGCTCGACGGGTAGCGCTCGCGCACGTCCTCGTCGTCGAACGGCGTCCGCGCGCCGCGCGTGAAGACGTCGCCGATGCGCTGCACGGAGTTCTTGCCCGCGGCCAGCGAGCAGAGGAAGCTGAACAGCGCGCCCGTGCCCATCGTGATCAGCGCGTAGTGGTTCGGCGTCTTGATCTGCTTCGGCAGCTTCCCGAGGTGGCGCAGGCCCAGCCAGCCCGTCGAGCCCAAAAACACGCCGGCGACGCCGCCGCCGATGCCCGCCGTCCACACGTTGCGCCGCACGTCCGCGACGCGCCGCACGTCGTCCTGGCTCATCGTCTTCGGCGGGTTGAAGGCGCTGGACATGGTTTTTTCGGCTCTGGAACGGCGATTTTTTCGCCGCGCGCGTTCAGAAGCTTGGGTGCTCGCGGTGGTGCTGTTTGTGTTGCGTGTCGCTCGACGCGTTGGGGATGCGGGTACGCTGCGCTTCAGCCACGAACGCGGGCGCACCTCGGCACACACGCTCGGCTGAGGAGGGCAAGAGCCGCTTCAACGTTAGCCTAAGGCGACGGGCCGCGGCTCGGCCCTCAACTCGGTCGATTTGGTCGTCGCCGCGACTTGTCGGTCTTTGCGGTGTCGCTCAGGCCCGCGCTCGGTCCCCGAGGCGGCCCCGTCGATCCCCGGCCCCGGGCACGACCTCGTCGGTCCCCCGGCCCCGGTCGACGCGTCCCCGGTCGCCGTCCCGCCCTCGGCGCGGCCGCTCGAGGCGGTCGGGCTTCAAGGTCGTCGTTGGTGACCCCGCGGCGGCGTTCCCGGTGTAAACGATGTCGACGATGGCGGCCACGTCGGACGCCGTCGACGCCGTGCTGGAGAAGCTGCTCGCGGTGCGGGGCGAGCGCCCCGGCAAGCAGGTCGCGCTCGAGGACAACGAGATCCGCATGCTGTGCGTGCGCGCGCGCGAGGTGTTCATGAGCCAGCCGATCCTGCTCGAGCTCGAGGCGCCGATCAAGATCTGCGGCGACATCCACGGGCAGTACCACGACCTGCTGCGGCTCTTCGAGTACGGCGGCTTCCCGCCGGAGGCCAACTACCTCTTCCTCGGCGACTACGTCGACCGCGGGAAGCAGTCGCTGGAGACGATCTGCCTGCTGCTCGCGTTCAAGATCAAGTACCCGGAGAACTTCTTCATCCTGCGGGGCAACCACGAGTGCGCGTCGATCAACCGCATCTACGGCTTCTACGACGAGTGCAAGCGGCGGTACAACATCAAGATGTGGAAGACGTTCACGGACTGCTTCAACTGCCTGCCCGTGGCGGCCATCGTCGACGAGAAGATCTTCTGCTGCCACGGCGGCCTGAGCCCCGAGCTGCAGCAGATCGACCAGATCAAAAAAATCATCCGGCCGACGGACGTGCCGGACACGGGCCTGCTCTGCGACCTGCTGTGGAGCGACCCGGACAAGGACATGGTCGGCTGGGGCGAGAACGACCGCGGCGTGTCCTTCACCTTCGGCGAGGACATCGTCGCCCAGTTCCTGCGCAAGATGGACCTGGACCTCGTGTGCCGCGCGCACCAGGTCGTCGAGGACGGCTACGAGTTCTTCGCGCGACGGCAACTCGTGACCATCTTCTCGGCGCCCAACTACTGCGGCGAGTTCGACAACGCCGGCGGCATGATGGCCGTCGACGAGACGCTCATGTGCTCCTTCCAGATCCTCAAGCCCGCCGAGAAGGCCAAGCGCCAGGCCATCGGCGCCGCGAGGCCCGCGACGCCCCCGGCCAGGAAAGGCCCCTAGGGCGCGCGCCGCGCCGACGGCCGCGCGCCGCCGCCGCCTCGCGCCGCCGCCGCGCCGGCGGCGGCGGCGGCCGACCCGACGACCCGCCGCGCGCTCTCCGAACGCCCCCCACAAACTCCGCGCGGCGGACCCACTTCGTCCCGACGAAACCTCCTCGTAACGAACGTACTTACCTACGCCCGAAGATGAACCCTCGAACCCGAGCCGGAGCGAAAGCCGCGCTTATGATAACATATCCCGTGGCCGGATCCGAGATCCGAGTCGTCGGGCCGCATCCAACTATTCAGTGGTCGGTTGAAAGACTCGGCTTCACGAATCCGTGTGACACCTTGTGCCGCGGCTAACTTCGCGGCTAACAGGCAAGTTCCCTGGGGGAGGTGGCTTCACTCACTTCAGCTTAGGCCGCCGGCTTCACTGAAGTTGGGAAAAAAAAAAAAAAAATACAAATTATGCATGTATGTACATGTACTCGTGATTAACCACGCGATGGTCGCGCGATGGAGCGCTCTGGTCCTCGCGAGCCTCGTTGCGGCGCCAACGCCGGGGCGCGCCTACGGCGTCCTGTACAACGCCTCGGCGCCGACGGTCAATTGCAACGGGTCGCCGAAGAGCGGCACGACTCTGCTGGAGTACATCGTCTATAGCCTGTACGAGCGGTCGGGGAGGACAAGCGCCCGTTGCGACCTGCGCAACAAACACTCGCTCCCGGCCGCGCTGCCGCCGTTCCAGGACTTTAGCAGCCACATAGACCCAGCGTTCAGCGTTTTGGCCAAGTGCAAGATCCGCGGCGTCCAGGACCTCTGGAGCAAGGCCTGCGTGAGCCGCCGCTACGTGAACGCGTCCGAGCTCGCGGATCTGCGCTTCCTCGTGATCGTCCGCGATCCACGAGATACGACGCAGTCGTGGATCGAGTGGAGCACGCATCCCCGCCCCGGCGCCAACCCCGGGATGCATCCACACTTCGCCAAGTGGGCGACGGAGAATGCCGCGATCATCTCGCTGCGCTACGTGTGGGCCCAGGCGCTTGGCGTGACGAACCCCACGATGGTCATCTTCTACGAGGACCTGATGGCGGACAAGGTCGCCCAGATCTTCCGCATCGCGAGCTTCCTTGACGCGGACGTCGGCCTGGAGGACGTCCTCGCTATCGTCAACGCGACCGAACCTGACCACATGCGCGAGGAGGGCATCGAAGTCGGCCGAGGGCATCAAAAAGGGGGCATCGTGAGCAAGAAAATCGGCACCCACCACTGGCGCTCGATCTACGACAACGCCACGGTCTGCCTGGCGACCAAGGGCCTCGTCGGCCGCGCGCACCCCGCGCTGCGGCTCCGCTGGCTCCGCGACCATCCCGACGACCGGCGCTTCCTCGACGACCCGGGCGCATCCTGCGGCGATTGATAATATCTGGACACCCGCCAGGCCCGGATCACCGCCGGCGGTTCTCGAGCTCACGCCGTCGGCGAGGATGCGAAGCCCTCCGAGTCGTATGATCATGCGAGTCGCCACCCTGCCTTGTCCTCGAAGCTGCGCGGCGCCCGCGACCGCCCCCCAAAACATGCTAACATGCCCCGCCGGCGTCTTGTTTAGTGTCGACGCGGTGCTCTGTGGGTCGCCCGGGCTGGCCTGGGGTTGGCCGGGCGCCGCCCTTCCAGTGGGCGGCACGGCCCGGGCCGCCGCGGCGACGAGCTCGAGGAGCTGAGCGCCTCGAGCACGCTGACCTGGAGGCCCCAGTGGACACCGTCGAAGGTCATGCGCCGCCACTGCGAGCCCGCGGTCGCGACGAGCGCGCGGCGCGTGTCGTCGTAGGCCGACACCGCCGGCGCGGCGCACGCGCTCCGCATCGCCGCGGCCGCGCAGCGTCCGGCGATCGCCGTTGAAGGGTAAGCGGCCTCGTTGAGGTCCCTGTTGAATTACATGGCCTGCTCAAGTTCGAAGCCTAGGTTGACTCGGAAGCGCCGTTTGACATATCCCGCCGGCGGGATATGGTACTTAAATACCGAATACCCCGCGCATCAGGAGAACGTGTTGTCGTCCTCGCCGTCGAGGGTCACCTCCGCGCTCGCCTCGTCGGGCTCGGCCGTGAGGTCCCCGGACCCGCGGCTGCCGCGGAACGCCTCCAACCCCCCCGCGGTGTCCATGACGCTGCGGATGCCCACCTCGTCGAGCGACGACCGGGAGCCGCGGCGGAACTTCAGCGAGCCGTCCTTGGCGAGGTCGTCGCGGTTGAGCCTGCCGGCGGGGGGCGGTCGACGACGGCGCGCGTCGCGTCGCGTCGCCGCGTCGGCGACCGAAGCGCGCGGCGGACGCCGGGTCGCGCGGGTCCGCGGTGAGCCGGAGGTAGTCCTGGCCGCTCGGGACCTCGATGGACCGGAGGCCGCGCGGGAAGTCGCGGAGCGCGTCCGACGTCTCGACCTCGGGCTGGAGGAACGCGTCGCGGCCCTCCTGCGGCGGCGCGTCGCGCGCGCGCGCGGCGAAACAGGGGGGGCGCGGGCGACGCGCGATCCAGTTCACGGGCGTCGCGAGCTGCGCGTCCGCGCGGAAGAGCGCGTCGAAGCAGCGCAGGATCTCGTAGGAGGACCAGCCGACGCTCGCGGGGTAGTGCATGATGACGCGGACGCGCTTGGCCGTGTCGACGAGGTAGACGCCCCGGAGCAGGTCCCGGAGCCGGCCCTCGTCGTCAGGCGCGCCGCCGGGCGGCATCATGCCGAGCTTCTTGCAGATCTCGAAGTCGCCGTCGTGGATCACGGGGAAGCTCACGCTGTAGCCCGTCGCGCTGTGCACGTCGCGGAGCCAGTCCTCGTTCGCGCCGGCGTCCGCGCAGGAGATGACGTAGACCTGGACCTTGCGCGCCGCGAACTCGTGCTTCATGCGCTCGAGCTCGCCGAGCTCCGTCAGGCCCACGGCGTTGCCCTCCTCGGGCTGCGTCACGACGAGCGCCCAGGACGACCCGAAGTGCTGGTGCATGGACGTGATGATGCCGTGGGTCGTGTTGCACGACACCTGCGCGGGGAGAGCGATGCGAGCGGCGCGTCGTGGTGCGCACGCACGTTCGGGAACGTGTCGCCGACGCGAAGGGTTTCGTGGTCGCCATCGTCGGCCATCGTGTAATGAAACCGGCTCGATGCGCGGTCGACGGTGAAGCCGGGGTGCTTCCGTGTCGGCGCTTTGCGCCGATGGGTACAAACTACTGAGGCCTCGTTGCCTCGCGCGCAAACCGCCAAATATCATGGACGACGACGCGGCCCTGCGCGGCGGCGACGTCGCCGCGCTGCAGCGGCGGCTCCACAGCGAGATCAACCCGGACTTCTTCTCGTCCAACTTCCGTCCCATGATGCAGCTCGTGTCGATCCTGTCCGCGGAGGCCCGGGGCCGCGCCGGGGCGCCGGAGCCGGCGGAGGAGGGCGGCGACGGCGCCGGGGACCTCAAGGTCTTCACGCTCGAGGGCTCCGTCGTGCGGCTCCGGGGGCTCGGCGCGGCGTCGACGGTCGACGAGCTCCGCAGCGCCGTGCGGCGGCGGCTCGGCGCGGACTTCGAGGACCAGCGGCTCTACGTCGACGCGGACCCGGCCGCGCGGAGCGGCGCCCTCGGCGCGGACGTGACCGTCGCGCGCCTCGACCTGCTCAACGACGGCGCGGCCGCGCTCGGCGACTGCGGCGTCTTCCGCGACGGCGCGCGCGTCGGCGAGGTCCACCTGCGGAACCGGGCCTACGAGACGCTGCGAAAGCAGCTCCAGGTCGCGACGGACGCCGTCGAGTCGCTCCTCGCGGCGCACTACGACACGTTCAACGGCTCCGTCGCGTCCGTCGAGCGCATGGCGGCCGAGTACGAGGCGCTCCGGGGCCTCACGGCCGACGCGCGCGCGCGCGTCGCCGACTGCCGCGACAAGCTCGGCCTGCGGCCCGCGGCGCCGGACGCGGCCCTCGCCGGCGACGATTCCGAGCCCGCGCCCGCGGCCGGCGACCGCGTCCTCGAGCACTGGGAGGCGCAGGTCGAGGCCGAGGAGGCGCTCCGCCTCCTCGCGCTCCTCCGTAAGGAAGCGCGGTGACGTTAGGCCGCGGCGTCGCCGCGCGCGGGGAAGGACCACGTGTTGTATGTCGGCGCGTCGTCGATCGCCGCGCACGTCGACGCGGGCCGCGCCGCGCGCTCCTCGTCCCAGCGCGCGGCGCACGCGTCGTAGGCCGCGCGGAGGTCGGCGAGCGCGAGGGGCGGGCTCGCCGTGCGGCGCGCCTCGTCGACGCGCCAGCGGTAGCACTCCACGGCGACCGCGAGGCCCGGCGCGGCGCCGTCGCACGCGCGCGCGACCGTGTAGGGCGCGAGCGGCGTCGGCGCGGCCACGGGCACGGACCGGTTGCGCATGCGCCAGAGGAGCCAGGTCCCGCCGTAGTCGAGCATCTCGCGGAAGTCGTCGCCGGCGGCGAGCGCGTCGACGAGGCGGAAGTACTCCGGCGCGGCGTCGCGGCTCGCCCACGCGACGTGGTCGTTCGCCGCCTCGGGGCGCCGGAAGCTGCCGACGACGCCGGCGGCGAAGGCGACGCCGCGCGGCGCCGACGGCGGGAAGATGGCCGCCAGCGGCGGCGGCGCGCCGAAGAACCAGAGGTCGGGCCGGAGCCGCGCGACGAAGTCGTAGCGCCGTCGCAGCGTCGACCGCTCGAAGTCCTCGACGAGCGCGAAGCAGCGCCGCACCTTCTCCCAGGTCGCCCACCAGACCTGGAAGGCCCAGGGCGGCCGCTTGTTGGGCCAGTAGTAGCCCCGCCGGAACTGCTTCGGGAACGGCCGGCCCGCGGGCAGCGCGTCCGGCAGCGCGTCCGCGACGAACGGGCCCACGTAGGCGTCCTTGGGCCGGAACGACGCGACGACGTCGAGCACGCGCTGCCGCGCCTCGCGGATGCTGGGCCGGCCGTGGCTGCTCCCCGGGTCGTCGTCCGCGAGGTAGAAGAACGCGTCGACGTGCGCGCCGGACGCGCCGATCGCGCCTACGGCGACGGCGACGATGACAATTTTCCCGGTCAAAACTCGTCGATGCACGCTGGGTCGCGCGGTCCCGGAGCGACGCCGCGACCGCGGGATGCGTCAGCGCGCGCGGGTGGCCGCTGAAGCAGTAGGCCGCGCGCGGCGCGTCGACCGCCGCCGCGCGGAACGACGGCTCGACGAACGGCGGGGGCGCGTTCGCTGCGCACGCGCCGTCGCCGCCGGCGAGCGCGACGAGCTCGGCGAGCGGCGCGGAGACGCGGGCCGCCGCGGCGCCGCCGACGGTGTAGGCCACCAGGACGTCGCCGCCGCCACGCGCGAGCGCCGTGACCTCCGCGTCCGCGGCGCACGCGCCGTCGCCCGGCGCGGGCAGGCACATCGGCTCCGCGCCCGCGGCGACGATGTCGAACGGCGCCGCGGGCCGGAAGAGGACGACGACGAAGCGCCCCCCCCCGACCGGCGCGAGCGCCAATAGCAAACCGCACTCCGCGAGCGCGAGCGGCGCCGCGTCGGCGACACCGACGTCGCGGCCGCCGACGCGGAGCGGCGCGAACCGCGGCGCGCCGTCGCCGCCGAAGCCCGGCGCGACGACGGCCGACGTCGCAGAGAAGCCGACGAGCGTCGCGACGGCGTCGCCGTCCCAGACGAGCGCGTGGGCCCGGAAGTGGCGCACAAACTCCGTGCGGTGCGCCGGGAGGCCGGGCAGGTCCCAGGCCTTGGTCACGTTCGCGACGACGAGGCACGTGCGCCGCCGCGCCGCGCCCGCGGGCCGCGCGTCCGTGGCCTCGAGGCGCAGCCAGAAGACCTGCGACGCGGCGGTCGCGCGCGGCGGCGCGCCGGACGCGGCGTCGACGCACGCTCGCCGTCGCCCACTTCTCGGCCACGACGCGGCCCTTGGAGTGCTTGCTCTTCGAGCGGAACCGCTCGCAGACCGCGAGGAGCGCGTCGCCGCCGCGCGGCGCCGCGTGGAGCGACACGTGCGCGCAGGCCTGCTCGTCGAACGACGTCCCCGGGAAGCCGAGGACGATGTCGACGCGCCGCGCGGCGTCGTCGATGAGGTAGAGGGGCGTGCGGTACTGGAGCCGCCGCCGCGCCGCGTCGCCGCCGAGGCGCCCGACGGCGGCGACGAGCGTCGGCGCGAGCCCCGTGCGCTCGAGGATGGATCGCCGCACCCGCGCCGGGATCGGCGCGAGCGACGCGGCGACGGCGGGCTCCAGGAAGCCGTCGAGCCACGCGCCGCGGCCGAGCGGCCGGCCGCCGCCGCCGCGGGCCGCGCGCGGCCGCTCGGGCGCGGCCGCGGCCCCGCCGGCCGGCGCGCGGAAGTAGCTCTCCGCGCAGCGCTCTACCGTGCGCAGGCGCAGCGCCTCGGCCGTGCGGCCCGCGGCGAAGTGCTTGACGACGCCGTCGCACTCCTGCGCGTCCGCGGACTGGAACGTCTTGTCGGGCACGATGGCGATGGCGGCCCGGAAGCGCGGCAGCACGTAGGTCTTGAAGGCGCCCTGCCCCGCGTACTTCCCGCCGACGCGGCACTGCTTCCAGCGCGCCGCGGTCCGGTTCCCGAAGCACTCGCCGTCCTCCGCGACGTACGCCGCGGACACGTTGGCCCAGGCGTCCCAGTGCGCCGCGGCGATGCCGCGCCCGGCGGCGTCGTTGCGCAGCGCGAAGAAGCCGTGGTTGAGCGACGACGTCCACGGGTAGGGGTCGCGCGCGACGACCATCGACGCGCCGCCGTCAAACGACGGGCACCAGCCCGCGTCCACGAAGACGACGTCGCTGTCGACCCAGACGACGGCCGGCGCCGTCGTCGCGAGCATGCGGTCGCGCAGCGCCTTGATGCGCGCCCAGAGCGCCGGCAGCACGAAGCCGCTCGCGTCGCGCTGGCGCGACGACTCGAAGGTGTAGGCGTCGCAGCACCGCGACTGCGCGCACCACGCTCTCGTCGCATTGTGCAGGAGCGTCGCCGGGCGCGTGTCGTATTGGAACAGCTCGAAGGCCCGGCTGCAGCACGCCAGGAGCCAGGGCCAGCGTCGCATCATCGTCGCGCGAGATGGCAGCCCATTACACAAGCTCGAATTCACTCAATCATGCAGTCAAGGTATCTCGCTTGGGCTGCCGACAATCGCTGCGCAGCCATGGCGGCCGGCGCCATGGACGGCATTGCGCGGTGGCCTCGGGAATGTTCAAAATGCTTGTTGTGTCTGTTGCCGGCGATAACGGCTCAACAAGTCGCCCAGTTGCACCGCGAGCCTGCAGAGCCGCCTTCGAGCGGATGGAAGACAATACATGTTTTTATTGGCAACGAGACGCGAGACCGCGCCTCGCCGTTCTATACCCCACAAGACACGCCTCTCAGCCATTCGCAGGTGGGACAAGATCTCACCGTCGCATTGCTTACGGAGGGCCGCCGGGGATATTTTGTTGACCTCGCATCTAACGACGCGATCGCATTGTCGAACACGCTTATGCTCGAGCGGGACTTCGGTTGGGACGGTGTGTGCATCGAAGCTAACTCTCAGTACTGGTCTGGTCTGGCTCGGCGCAGGTGCACCGTCGTTGGGGGCGTAGTTGGCAGCATGAACAATGAAGTCGTCACCTTCACGTTTGGAGGGGGTGGGAGAAAAGGCGAACTTGGCTCCGGAGTAAATGACCCCGGTGGCATGGGTGGCATCGTGCGCAAGGGATTCGACAACGGCGTGATAAATAGAAAGTTTGGAGCAACGAAGATGCATACGGTCACACTGAGCGAGGTACTAACGAGGGCCAATGCACCAAATGTCATTGATTACATGTCGCTAGACGTCGAGGGCGCGGAGACGTTCATCGCAAAGGACTTTCCATGGCACCTCTACACTGTAAAACTTCTCACAGTCGAGCGGCCCGACGACCAACTAAAGGAAATCCTTGCTGGCGCTGGCCTCATTTACTTGAAAACCCATGGCACATTTGGGGATCTCATGTATGCTCACCACTCCGTTGTTGAGAAGTACAGGGCTATCTTGCAAGCCAGTGACGGGGGGTAGGTCTGACGTTGGTAAACCGCCGCTTTAGCTATCGACGCGCGCACTGGCGGCTCCAGATGGCGGGGTCGAGGCGCCGCGCGGTGCTCGCCCACGCGTCGGCTGCGGCGCGGTCCGCGTTCCTGCCGCACTTGGCGAAGATGCAGCACGCGGTGGCGGCGGTCGCCGCGAGGAGCGGCGAGGCCCGCGGCCGGTCCGCGGCGCGCACGAGCTCGGCGATCGACTCGTTCATCAGCGCCGTTTTGCCCCCCCGATGCCGGGAGCGCGGGAGGACGTTGTACCAGTCGCCGAGGGGCGGGTCGCGGTCGCCGCGGCCCGCGTTGGCCGCGCGGCCGAGCATGGCCGCGAGCGCGGGCGACGGCCCGTCGACGACGGGCATGCGGTGCGGCTTCTCGCCGTAGGCCACGCTGTAGTCGGCGTCGTTGAGCGTCGCGTGCCACCAGTCGTCGGGGAAATAGAGGATCTCGCCCGGGAGCTGCTCGCAGCGCAGGAGCCCAGCCACGTTCGGGAGCGCGTCGACGGCGTCCGCCCACGCGTCGGCCGGAAAGAGGTAGGGCCCGACGAGGTCGGCGAGGGCACGGGGCCAGGCCCCGGGCGGCAGGAGGTACCAGACCTTGCGGCCGGCGAAGAGCATCTGCCACGTCTTCGCGTGCTTGTGGAAGGGCAGGCCCGACCGGTCGCCGCCGACGAGGAAGTTCCGCGACGCGAGGTCCGCCGAGAAGTAGGCGAGGCTCCGCAGGGCGTCCCAGGCGGCGTCCGTGAGCGGGCCCTCGGAGAACTCGGACACGTAGAGGCCCGCGCGGGTCCCGTTGGGCTGCCAGGAGGCCGCGAGGTCCGCGAGCTTGACCGAGCAGCCGATGCGCGACGGCGCGCACTTGAAGTAGCCGAGGTGCCCGCCGGCCTGCGTGTAGCCCGGCTCCGCGTGGACCGCGACTTGGCCGTAGCGGTCCAGGAACGCGCCGCGGTCGCGGAACTCGCGGAACGCGGGCGCGGCCGTCGTCGCCGGCTCCGCAACGAAGACGCACGGATGGTCGGGCAGGACGCCGCCGTGCGCCGCCGCCCAAGCCGTCAACGCGTAGCGCGGGAGGTCGCACTCCCGTCGCGCCGCGACGCTCTGCGCCGCGGCGGAGAAGGCGGCCTCGAAGCCGCCGCTGGCTCGCCACGAGGCCGCCGCCTCGTCGAAGGCCTGCGCCGGCGGCCGCGTCATCCCCGCCGCACCGATGGCGTGCCACACGGCGACGACGCGGACGAGGCCCATCGTCCGTTTGGCGGTGGTTGCACCAAAAAAAATAGTCAACGATTATGGTGGGGCTGCCTCGACGCGCCCTGGCGCTGATTGCCGCGGTGGTCTCGGTGCCGGCGGGGGCGTCGTCGGTCGTCGCCGATCTGTTCCGCGACGGCGGCGTGGAGCGCAGCGCGACGTGGCAGCGATTCCACGATGCCATCGCGTCGAACCAGGCGGCCTGCGAGACCGTGTGCGTGTGCAACGTCGAGGGCGCGCAGCTCGTGTCGAGCATCCACGGCGAGGCCACGTGCCTCCTCGAGGCCCTCGTCCGCAACTGCACGCTCCTGGACACGTCGGCGGACTTCCTGCGCTCGGACCAGTGGCCGGACTGCCCGTCGGGGCGGCTCCACGACTGCTTCCTCGAGCCGCTGGCGTCGTGCGACGCGCCGGCGCTCGCGCGCGCGGCCCGCACACGGATCACCGCGACGCAGTACTACGGCCTGCTCGGCGAGCGCTTCCCGGACGCGGCCCTCGCGGCGCGCTTCGGCGTCCGGGGCCGGCTCCGCGCGTTCGCCGAGGTCGTCGGCTACGTCATGCGGCCGCGTCCCCGCGTCTCCGCGGCGGTGGACCGCGTCGCGGCGGCGCTGGGCCTCGCCGACGACCCGCGCGACGCCGTCACGGCGCACTCGCGCCAGACGGACAAGCGCGAGACGTACCACGGCGGCGCCGGCGGCGACGGGCCCGCGACGGCGCTCCTCGCCCGCCACCAGGCCTGGACCCTCGGCCTCGGCGCGATCCACTTCATGACCGACGCGCCCGAGCACGTCGCCGCGATCCGCGGCGACCTCGCCCGCGAATCCCGGGGGCCGAGCGTCCGGCTCGCGGTCCTCGACGCGGGCCGGTCCGAGGACTGGGTCTCCGAGTTCCTCGGCGAGTGCATCGTCGCCGCGCAGGGCGCGGCGCTCGTCGCCCCGCTCACGTCGAACGTCGCGCGGGTCATCGCCGAGCTCATGGCGCTCGTCGCCTTCCCGCCCCTCGTCGACGACCTCTACCACGAGGCCTGGGTGCCCGGCGCGGAGCACCTCGTCGCGCCCGGCCGCCCCCACGTCACGGCCGCCGCGGCGTGGCGCCTCGGCTAGCCCTTGTTAGATGAAGCCGAAGGAGCGCGCGAGGTCGAGGGGCGGCGTCCCCTCGACGACGAGCGCGGCCTCGAGCTCGTCCCGCGCGCGCGTCGCGTACGCGCGCTTGAGAGCGCCCACGCGCGCGGCCGCGAAGGTGCTGGTGGGCGCCATCGCCGGGAGGAACTCGGCGCCGACGTCGGCGCCGAGGCCGCGCATCTCGTCGAGCACGGCGGCGGCGACCTGGCCCCGGTGCGTGACCTCGACGAACTCGAGGACGGGCGTCGCGAGCCGCTCGACGACGCGCTCCGCGAACGCGCCGCCGGAGAAGAACGCGCCGACGGCCTTCTCGAGGTCGCGGAGCTTCGCGAAGCGGGGGTTGAGGAAGATGGCGCGCAGCAGCTCCGCGCGCCAGAACCCGGGCGCCCAGACGAAGGCGTTCGACTGCGGGAGCTTCGCGACGCGCGCGACGGCGGCCGTGCCGACGGCCGTCCGCGGCGCGCCCGCGAACTGCTCGCCGTGGTCGACGAAGAGGAGCGGCGCCCCGGGGAAGGCCCAGACGCGCTCCGAGGCGCCGCGGCGGCCGTAGCCGCTCCACATGCCGTCGGAGTAGGCGAGCGCGAGGCCGAGGTAGGCCGGGTCCGCCGCGGCCTCGCGGCGCGCGCGCGCGGCGACCGCGGCGAGCCCCCGCGCGTCGACGACGGCCCAGGGCTGGATGTCCTCCGGCGCCCAGAAGATGAGCTCGCCGTCGGCGCAGCCCGCGGCGCCGAGGAGCGCGTCCATCGTCGCGCGGATGCCCGGCGGCGACGGCACGGCGACGAGCGACGCCGCGTCGTAGGACGCGTTGACCCGGCCCCAGACGGGCGCATCGAAGGCGCCGGACGCGTTGAAGGGCACGTAGAACACGAAGGGGTGGTCGGGCCAGAGCCTGGCGTAGGCCAGGAGCATGCGAGCGACGAACGGCAGCCGCGCGCCGTAGCTGAGCGTGAGCGCCGGTATCCTTCGTCCGGGCGGGGCGGCGAGGCCGGCGGCCGCCGGGACGGGGGGCGCCGTCGGCACGGTGAAAAAATCGGCGACGCAGCGCTCGAGGAGCCCGTGCTCGCGCTCCGTCTTCCACCCGTTCGCGTCGAGGTGCTTCACGGTGCCCCGGCAGTTGTCCTGGTTCGAGTTCTGCGCGTCGCGGGGCAGCGTCGCGTAGGCGCCGGCGAAGCGCGGGAGCACGTGGGCGACGAGCTGGGCCTGGCTGGCCCACTTGCCGCCGTGTTTGCAGACGCGCCAGTTCGAGTCGGCCCGGCCGCACTCGGCCGCCGGCCCGAAGCCGGCCCAGTGCTCCGATACGTTGGCCCAGAGCGCCCAGTGCGCGCGCGCGATGGCGCGACCGACGGCGTCCATCTTCAACGCGAAGAAGCCGATGTTCACGGGCTTGCGCCACGGCGGCGGATCCGCGGAGAAGATCGCGGACACCGACGCGTTCGCGGCGCCAAAGTCCGGGCACCAGTCCCGGTCGACGAAGAAGGCGTCGCTGTCGAGCCAGACGACGGCGGCCGCGCTCGTCGCGTCCACGCGGTCGGCAAGCGCCTTGACACGGGCCCAAAGCGCGGGCAGCCCCACCGGTGGCGTCGCATAGGCGTGCAGCAGTGTGTAGGCATCGCAGCACGACGACTGCGCGCACCACGCTTTCGTCGCGTTGTGAAACAGCGTCGGCGGGCGGTCGTCGTACTGGACAAGCTCGAAGGTCGTCGGCGCCGCGGCGGTCATCCACGCGAGCGCGGCGGACGCGGCCCACCGGGCCATGGGCCCCGGGCTGCCAGGGTTTCGTTTTTTAGCCCCACCCGGGGGCCTTGGGGGGGTTTTATGGGCCCTCAGCAACCCCCCCACCCCCCGTCCCGGCGGCCCCCGGCGGCCTGGACGCGTACTGGGGCGCCGTTTTCAGGAGGCTTGTCGCGTCCGGCCCGAGCAGAAGTCGACCCCCCCCACCCCCGTCAAAACCCCCCCAAGGCCCCCCCAGGTGGCCAAAAAACGAAACCCAGCTCTACAGCAAGGTCGTTGCTTTAAAAAGCACTGTGAGGGATAACAAACGGTTAAGTTGAAGTCCAAGCTTAAGTAGGCGTAGGCGGGATGTGTCGCCTAATGCGCTAGAGAGAGGAGCTATGCGACGCTGGCACTCGGCGTCGCTCACGCTCGTGCCCTAAGTCCGACTCGAGCCCGGGCCGCGAGCCGCTGGGCTGCTTCTCTCGTCGTCCCCCGCCGTTCGAGGCGAGCGCGCCTTGGCAGTACGGGTTTGCGTGGAGGAACCTGAGGAAATGGAGGTTGATGGCGTCGTATACGCCGTCTGTGGTGTGCCAGCCGTCATAGTACTCGCTGGCGCTGGCCGGGACTGTCACCTCGGCGGCGTCGAAGACCCGCGTCGGCCCGAAGACGGCTCGGGCGTCCGAGTCCGCTCGCGCGGCGGCGCGGCTTCGATTTTCGAGCCCCTGGACTCCTGCGTTGAGCGTGGTCGTCTTCCAGAGGGCACAGGGGGTCGTGGATCGAGCGTGGTCGCGGAGCGCCGCGAGGAGGTCCGTATCGTTGACGCTGTGTGCGTCGCCGCGGAGCCAAGCGCCCTGGTTGAGCAGGATCACCGTCGGGTCGAGCCTCGGGACGAGGCGTTCGACGGCATCGAGCCACGACAGTTCCCAGTCGAGGCGGTCGAAGGCGCCGCGGAACGCGCCCGAGAGCAAGGGCTCCAGCATACCCGACCGATTCAGCTTCTGGTACGTCGACTTGTAGAACGCGGCCGAGTTCTCGCGGCGGCCCGTCGTCGGCGCCCCCGGGGATGGTTGCGCCGTCGGGTCACTCCGCGGCCAGAAGTGGCCGACGAGCGCGTGTTCCGGGCCGTAGACGCCGAGGAAGGTCATGCGGAGCCCACTCGGGTGGCGATAGTAGCGGTTTTCGATGATCGGCGGTGGATAAAGCTTGAACGGATGGCGCACGCAGTCGCAGAACTCGTGGCCGTGCAGACCTTTCGAAGTCTTCTCGTAGAAGTCGTTCCAGACGCGAAAGGCATCGCCGCGGAGGACGTCGCCGCGGCCTTTGCCGTACTTGAGGCGCTGGACGGAATCGGTGCCCACCCGCATCCGCTCGCCGAGCGGGTTGCCGCCGCGTTCGATGGCCTCCACCAGGGACAAATACTGGTACCGCATGAGGCTGTCGCCCATCATCACCAGATGCGCTGTCGCCGGAAGGCACGTCGCGTCGTTCAGTCGGTCGAAGCATGCCACGGCATTGATCGTCGAGGAGTTCCCCGGGACGCTCAAGGCTTCGGAGCTTGAGACCAGCGTGACGACGAGGAGCAGGCACCGCGTCGACCATTCCGCGACGCCTCGGGCCGCGAGGTCGACGCGCTCTGCCACGAAACCAGGGGCAAGACCTACCACAAGTTCCAGGACGCGGCGGTTCGCATCGACTGGCAGCCCGCGCACGTCCCGATTCGCTGGGGACTCGAGAAATTCGTCACGCGCATCAGCGAGCTCACGGACGTCGTCCTCGCGTACGACCACGTGTTCTTCGGCTCCCCCGTGGACCACGACCTGTCCTACTCCTTCTACTTCAAGTGCCAGACCGGCAGCCTCGACGACGCATGCTTGGCGGAAATGGCGCACTGGGAGGCGAGCGGGGACGCGAAGAACTCGTGGCGCGTGAGGCCGCTCAGGACGTATCACCGAAACCTGCTCACCGTGGCGCGGTGGTTCAACGACCTCCGCGCGGCGAAGCCGACGCTCTCCATCGTCTTCGGCCTCGGGTCGCACCCCAGACCGACCCCGCCCGGACAGCCCATGTACCCCAACCAGCGATTCAACCTCCTGGCGAGCGCGAACGCGCTCGCGCGGGCCGTCATGGCGGACGCGGGCGTCGCGGTCCTCGACGTGTACAGCATCACGGCGCAGGCACCCGCGGCTTGGTACGTGGACACCGCTCATTACCACTACTGCATCCAGAGCGACAAGAACTTCTCGGGGGGCGTGAGCCACCCGCGCGCTACGGCGGAGTTCCGAGCTCGGGCGAGGTTCAATTGGTTCAAGCGGACGCTCATGGTCTTCGGGCCCAAGCCCCCTACCTCGTGATCGCGGACGCCCGGCAGCGGCGTCTCCCGCCACTCGCCGTGGCGCGGCACGCCCGCTCTAATTTATGGCCTGGGCTCAGGCTCGCTGGGGAATCGGAGCGCGGTCGCGGCGCGGCGGCCAGCGGGGCGGCGCCGCGCCGGGGCGGTAGAGGCGGTGGGCTCGGTCGATGCGGTCCGCGGCGACGGAGGTCGCGGCGCCGGGGACTCGGACACGCGGCCCCCTGCCGACGGCGCCCGTCGGCTTTACGTCGGCTACTGCAGCATGCGGATACAGTCGGCAACTAGAAGTGTATTTGAACTCCGATGAGGATGGCTGCCATCGTCGCTCCATCATGATGCTCGCGTTGGCGGTCGCCATACTTTCAGCTGTGCTCACCGATGCAGGCGTCGTCGAGCCTCTCGACGGTGCGGGTCTCGTCGACGCGGTGACGCGCAACGGCACGCGGCGCGCGTTCTTCGTGGTCATGTGCCGCGTCAAGAACGAGCGCCTGCTCCTGTCGGACTTCGTGCCCTACTACCTAAACCAGGGCGCGGACCACGTCGTCGTGCTCGTGGACGTCGGCTCGCAGGACGAGTATCCGGCGTGGCTCGCGTCCCATCCCGACGCGACGTTCGTCCGCGAGCTCGGCCCGTCGAAGACGCGGCACCATTCGCAGCTCTGGATGTCGCGCCTGGCGTACCCGGCGCTCCGGCCGCACGTCGAGTGGCTCGCCTTCGTCGACGTCGACGAGTTCGTCGTGACGCGGGCGTCGCCGAACCGCACGGTCCGCGACGAGCTCGCGGCGCTCGGCGCCGCGGCCTGCGTCTCCGTGCCGTGGCTCATGTTCTCCCACGGCGGCCTCGTCGACGAGCCGGCGTCGCCCATCAAGGAGCTGACGTCGCGGCTCGACCTCGACCGGCACCACCGCCACCCGAGCGCGCTGCGCAAGTGGAAGGACGCCTACGAGACCGTCGACGTGAAGACGATCTTCCGGATGGCGCGCTTTGAGGGCACGGAGATCCACCACCCCTGCGCGAGGCACGACGCGACGCAGCGCAAGTTCGGCGCGCGGTGCGCCAACCGCGGCGTCGCCTGCGTCGACGGCGTGACGGGCGACCGGCGGCCCATCGGCTCGAGCCGGAGCACGCCGCGCGAGGCGGAGCTCGCCGCGGCGAAGCTCGTCATCCACCACTACCGCTTCACGTCGCGGCGGAAGATCCGGGAGAAGTGCGGCAACGGCGGCCGCGTCTCGCCCGAGTACGCGGGGCCCCAGTGCGTCGAGAACGCCGTGCTCGCGGACCCGGCGGAGATCGAGGACGCGTCGCTCGCCGACCGCCTGAGCTGGCCGCTCTGGGACGGCGCGGCCGCCAAGGACCGCGGGCGCACCGCCCTCGCCGCGCGCGCCATGGGACGGTGGCAGAGAGACGTCGCCGCGGCCTGCGGGGGCGCGCGAGACCACGGCGCGATCCTCGGGGCCGCCGCGCCGCCGCGGCCCGCCGGCGCCGGCTTCGCCGCGTGGCGCCGCGCGGCCCGTCCTCCGGAGCTCGTGCCCGCGCGCAACGCGTCGCCCGGCGTCCCCGTCGCCGCGACGCCGTTCGAGGCGCGCCGCCCGGGGACGCCCGCCTCCGCGCCGCAGGCGTCGCTGCGCGTGCTCGACGCCGGCCTCGGCGCGGCGGCCGCGCGATGGGCGCACGACGTCTTGTGCGCCCAGGGCGTGGCGAGCTGCGCCGCGAACGACGCGCGGGGGCCGTCGTCGCGCGGGTGCTGCCACGCGCCGCCCGAGGCGCGCGCGGCGCACGCGGCGCTCCTCGCGTGGTACGCCGACCTGGAGCGCCGCGCTGGTTCCGGCGCGGAGGCCAACGGCTCGACCTGGGCGAGCGCGTACGACCGCGGCGTCTCTCTCCTCGCCGCGGCGGCCGCGAGCGGCCTCGTCGCCGCCGCCGGCGCGCCGTACACGCACTTCCTCCCGGAGCTGCTCGCGCTCGTCCCGGACCTCCGCGTCGCGCAGACGCTGGGCCCCGCGGAGGAGTGGGCGTCGCGGCACGCGGCCCCCCGGCGGGACGGCGCGCGCGGGGAGTCCGTGGCGTGCGCGGAGGACGTCGTGCGCCGCTTCGGGCTCGCGTCCTACTTCGACCTCCGCTGCCTCGCCGCCGACCGAGCGGCCGCCTCCGCGCCCTTCGTCCCGCTTGCGTCGCTCTCCGAGCTCGCCGAAGCGCCGGCGCCGCTCGCAGCCAAGTACGCCGCGCACGGCGACCACGCGCGCGCGCTCGTCGTGCCCCGGGAGACGCGGTTCCTCCCGCTCTGTTCCTTCAACCTCTCGCATCTCGAGCCCATGGACGCGCAGGCGCGCCGCCTCCGCGACTTCCTTCGAGAGTCGCGCGCGGATGGACCCGGAACCTAGCGCAATTCATTGAAGTGAAACTTACACATCAACGTGGTCGACAATTGCAAACTCAATTGCAACGGGCCTTAAAAGGGGCTTGGCGCAATGGGGCTGCTCCGTCTGGGCGTCGCCTCCTGCGCGTGGCGCGCGGCGGAGGTCGCCGACGGTGGCATCGACCGCGTCCACTACTCGCATTGCCGGCAGGAGCTGCGCATCGTCGTCGTCGAGCGCGGCGGCGACTGGGACCCGGCGACATCCGCGCTCCCGGCCCTCGCGGGGCGCTACGGGCTGCGCCGCGACGATGGCACGTACAGCTACCGGCGTGCCTACGCGCGCTACCTCGAGGACGACGCGGCGGCCTGCGCGGCGTCCCACCACCCATTTGGCGAGGAGTTCGAGCCCAAGTTCCGCGCGCCGGCGGACCGCGGCGGCTGCTACGTCGCCGCGGCCGTCGAGGCCGCGTGGGCCGGCGCCGGCGCCTACGCGCTGTCGCTCGCGCTGCCCGAGCCCGGGCGCTCCTACGCCGTCAACGTGCTCGGCGGCTTCGACGGCTGCGCGGAGCCCCTCGAGGCCCTCGACGCCGCGCGGTTCGCGGCGGACGAGGCCGCGTGGGCGAACCGGTCCGCGCCCGCGGCGCCCTGCGCGGGCTACGCGCGCGGCGACGCGGCGATGGGTCCCGTGCTGGCGACCTTCGAGGTGCCGGCGGACGCGCTCCACGCGGCGCCGCGGCGCACGCGGTGTCGCTTCGAGTCGATCCGGGGCGCGTACGCGTGGCGCCGGCCCCACAACCACAGCGCGCGGTTCCTCGGCGTCGACGCCTGCGCGCCCCTCGAAGACCGCGGGGGGGCGCCCTTCTGCGCCGGCGACGTGAAGCGCGCGTCCATGGCCGCCGTCGGCGACAGCAACACGGGCTACGTGCTGGAAGCCGTAGATGGTCGCGACGCCCGTAAATTTGACGAGCGCGCTCCAGGCAGCGTAGGAGCAGCAGGCACAGGCCAGGTAGGAGCTCGCGTATATCGTCAGCCCGCAGGCCTTGAAGTAGCGCCCCCGCCACGCGGCCGCGGCGTAGGCGATGATGTAGACGGCGACGGCGGAGAAGAAGGCGTAGGAGGCGAAGTTCAAGGCCATGAGCAGCGCCGTGGGCATGGCGAGGGAGTACGTGAAGATCGACAACACGCACCTCGCTAGGTGCAGAAAGCCGAAGCAGAGCGCCATGAAGATCATCTCGCGGTGCGCCGCGCGGCGGAAGCGGTGGATGAGGAGCCAGCCCCGCAGGATCGGCAAAGGGCCCCATATGATGTAGGTCGTGTACCAGAAGACGTCGTTGGCGAACTGCCCGCGGGTCAGGACCTCGGACTGGAACGTCCAGTAGAGCCAGACGATGCCGTAGACGTAGGAGACGATCCCGAGCGCGATCCACACCCGGATCGCGAAGGTCGAATCCCCGCCCATGTAGCCCGCCGAAAGCACGGCCTCCTCGGCGCCCTCGGCGCCGCGACGCATGAGACTTCGCAACTCGAGGACGCGCACGTCCTCGAGCGCCAGCGTCGTCTCCTTGAACGGGATCGCCGTGCGGAGCCCGTCCTCCAGGGACGCCACGTGCGCCAGAGGGACGACCTTGCCATCCATGTCGGCGTCGGTGTAGTCATGCGGGCCGGCATTCTTGCGGTAGTTGCTCATCGCGCGAGCACGTCGTGTCCGCGCAGCGCATACAATTTGCAGCAGCCCACCAGGTCCTGTGCGGAATGCTGGAAGTGGACACTTCATCATCTGACATTGACGTATATAGTGCATCATACAACCTAGCCTACGTATACGAGTCGCCGAGGGTCGCGAGGAGCGTGTAGAGCGCCCGGGCGAGCTCGTCGGGGACGCCGGGCATGCAGTAGTGCTGGCAGTCGCCGTAGCGCCCGATGCCGCCGTTGAAGGTCGGCGCGCCGACCTTGGCGAAGCCGAGCGCCTCGACGCCCGCGAGCGAGAGGACCGCGTCGACCTTGCCCGCGAGGGGCGGCGCCGCGACCCAGCCCAGCTCCCCGGCGCGCCGGGCGTTCCGGACGGCGGCCCGGCAGCGGACGTCGCTGGCGTTCGCCGCCTGGAGCGCGGCGAGGAAGTCGCCGTCGTACTCGCCGTCGCCGTCCCGGGACGGGAACGCGGGCGGCGGCGTGACGAAGACGACGACGCGCGGCCGCACCGCGTCGTCGAGCGCGAGGATGGGCGCGAGCCAGCGCGTGATGCCCTTGGTCGATCGCGCGACGGGCGCGTGGACGCCCGCGCCGACGACGACGACGTCGCGGCGCGTCAGCGCGCCGAGCATCTGCGTCCGCCGCCCGACGTGGACCTTGAGGCCGTAGGCGGCGTCGGCGGCCCGCTCCTCCGGGTCCGTCAGCGCCGGCGGCGCCGGATCGCCGCCGAGGCGGAAGGACGACCGCTCGAAGAACGAGTGGGGGCCGCCCGGCACGCAGTTGGGCTCGCGCGCGCACGCAAAGGAGCTCGACCAGCGGACGCTGAGCTGGGCCGGGGCCACGAGGCAGCCCATGGCCTGATAGAGCTGGCGCGTGAGCGAGTCGCCGTAGAACAGCACCGTGCGGTTGCCGACGGCGCCGAAGAGCGCGCGGCCGCCGTCGCCGAGCTCGACGAAGCGGCAGCCCCGCGGCGCGAAGCGGAGCCGCGCGGCGGCCGCGCGCGACCCGTCCGGCCCGTGGCGCATGCAGCCGTACTTGGAGAACTCGAGGGGGCACGACAGGTTCCAGTACGGCGGCGCGCGGGCGTCGCGCACCCAGGCGCCGTCGAGCTCGCCGAGCCGCGGCCCGGGCGCGCCCGCGCCGTAGCACAGCGGCAGCGCCGCGCCGCCGCCCTGCGGACGGTCGCCGGCGGCGCACAGCGCCGCCGCGAGGCACGTGCCGACCGCCGCGAGCCGACGCGAGACCATTTCCTACATTTGCATCACCATCGTCGCGCCAAACGTAGCCGACACGTAAACAAAACGCTGGGCAGTTGAGCTTTAAATTCAAGTGGGCTTTAGTAGGGCCGACATCGAGGCACCGCGGGCTCCGGCACGACGACGCCGGGCCCGCGCGTGCCCGTCGGCGGCGGGCGGCACCGCAGGTCCCCGGTGCCGTTGACTATGAAGCGCTTGATCTGGCCCAGGGCCGCGTCAAAGTTGAAGTGCGACGCCGAGAAGCGCTCCGCGTTGGCCTCGAGGCGCTCGACCTCGGCGTCGGGGAGCGCGTGGAGCGCGTCGAGGAGGTCCGCGAAGCCGTCGATGGACGCGTTGAAGCCGACGTCGGCGAATCGCTCCGGGTAGGGCAGCCAGGGCGTGTCGGAGTAGACGTGGATGGGCACGAGGCCGAGGTTGATCGTCTCGGCGACGTGGTACGACGACCGGCCGAAGCCCCGCGGGCAGAGCGAGAACCTCGAGTCGGCCATGACGCCCCGCCAGTCCTCGGCCTTGCCGACGAAGACCTCGACGCCCCTGGCCGCGGCGAAGGCGTGGAGCGTGTCGTTCATCGCGTAGCGGAGCCGGCCCGGCGCCGTGTGGAGCGAGCCGACGAACGACGCGAAGTAGCGCCGCTCGCGCGGCGGCCGCCGCGCCGCGAGGGCCTCGGGCTGCTTGAGGAGGGGCACGGGCACGTGGCCGTAGCCGCCGGACGAGAGGACGAGCAGGTTCGGCGCGTCGGCGGCCGCGTCGAACTGGTACGCGCCGAGCCGCTCGCGCGTGAAGTCGCCGGTGACGCCGCAGTTGGTCTGCGACACGGTCACGTAGGCCACGCTCGGCCGCAGCAGCCCCAGGAGCTTTTCGACCATGCCCGGCGGGTAGTGCCACATCCGCGGCGCGAGCCACTCGTCGAGCCACGGCACGAGCAGCGGCACGAACGGGCCCGCGACGTCGCGCAGCGACCCGCCGGCCGCGTCCGCGCGCGCGAGGTCCGCCCGCGTCGCCGCGATCCAGCGGTTCTCGATCCACGGGCCCCGGTAGCCCGCGAGCCGCGCGTAGGACACGTGGCTGTAGTTGTCCAGGGCCCGGTGGATCTCGTCGAAGTGCGCCCGCGCGTCCGGCGGGTACGCCAGCGAGTCGGCGCAGCTGCGCAGGCACGCGAGCGCGCCGCGGGACGGGGCCGGCGCCGCGGCGGCGAACGCGGCGGCCAGGGCTGCGCGGAGGACCGCGGTGGCGCCGCCCATCGGATTACTGTGAAAGGTGCACTGCAACGCGGCGTCAATGAAAAGCTACACGCTTGTTGAAGTTCATTCGATGGGCAGGCCCGCATCCCAGATTCCGAGACGAACCGGAGCCTCTGCGACGCTACGTCTCCGACGTCTTCACCGTCCGAGTTCAGCGCGACTTCATGCTCTTCGAGCTCGTCAGCGCATCCCTCGAGGCCACCGTACGCGCCGCGTCACCGACTCGGCATTCCAAGACGACCTCGCAGACTTTCGGCAACGACAGGCGCGCGTCTAAGGCCCGACCTACGACGACGCGACGTGTTATACCGTGAGTTGCGAGAGCTTCGCGTCGAGGCGGTCGACCGTCGCGGGCGGGAGCAGGTCGGTCCTCTGGACGATGTCGTAGCAGAAGGCCTTGAGGAGGAGCTTGCGCGCGTCCTTCTCCGAGAGCATGCGGCTGTTGAGGTAGAAGAGGCCCTCCTCGTCGAGGTCGGCGATGGTCGCGCCGTGCGTGCACTTGACGTCGTCCGCGACGATCTCGAGGCTCGGCATCGCGTTGACGGTCGCGCCGTCGTCGAGGAGCAGGCTCTTGCAGATCTGGTCCGCGTTCGTCTTCTGGCCCGTGACGGGCACGGCGATGCGCCCCTTGAAGGTGAGCTTCGCGCGCTCGCCGGCGACGTTGCGGATGTCCTGCACGCTCTCGGCGTCGCCCGCGGTGTGGCGGAGCGCCGTGCGCAGGTCCAGGTTCTGGTCGCCGGCGCCGAGCTGGAGGCCGAGGAAGTCGAAGCGGGCGTGGGGCCCGAGGATCTCCGCCTCGACCGCGACGCGGCCGACGGCCGCGCCGTCGGAGATCGCGCGCGACCGGAACTCGCCGTCGCGGCGGACGCCGCACTGGACGTGGTGGACGTGGACCTGGTCCGCCTCCTGCGAGTCGAGGACGTGCGTGAGGACGCCGCCGGCGCCCACGCGGCAGTTCGTCCGCGCGTTCGTGAGCCGCGACCGCTTCTCCGCGGCCGGGCCGACGGCGACGAACGACTCGCGGAGCGCGACGCGCGCGCCGTCGCCGACGTGGACCACGGTGCGCGGGTGGAGCACGCCCGTCGCGCCGGCGGACCGCACGTGGACGACGTGCAGCCGCGCCGGGGCCGCGGCGGCGCCGCCCGCGGCGACGCGCGCGCCGTCGTCGTCGCGCGCCGCGGCCGCGGCGGCCGCCGCCGCGTCCTCGCGGGCCCAGACGACGACGCCGTCGCCGGCGCAGGCCGCGTTGAGCGCGCACCAGCACCCGGCGCCGAGCCGATTCCGCATGGGCATCGTCTCCTCGAGGTCGAACTCGGGCAGCGCCGCGAACGCGGCCGCGACGTCGCCGAGGACCTCGTCGGGCGCCGCCGCGATGGACCCGCACCACGTCGCGTCGCCCGCGCCGTAGCCGCAGGCCCGCGACAGCGCCTCGTCGACGACGCCGTCGACGACGACGACGACGGCCTCGCCCGACGCCTCGTCGGGCACCCAGCCCGCGAGCGCGGCCTCGCCGACGCCCGCGGGCGCGCCGCGCGCGTCGACCGACGTCCCCCAGAGGTGCTCGAGCTTCGTGAACCGCCAGGGCTCCTGCTTCTTGAGCGGCAGCGCCGCGCGGCCGAGCGCGTCGGCGCCCGCGGCGCGCGCCGCCGCGACGGCGGCGCTCTCCCGGGCGCCGCCGGCCGCGGCCAGGGCGCCGTCGAACCACTCCCGGGCGCGCGACGTCGCCGCCGGCGCGCGCTCCTCCTCGTCCTCCTCCTTGAACGCCTCGGCCTCGAGGAACGCCGCGTCGACGGAGTCGAGCGTCGCCGTCATGAACGCGCGCGGCCGCCGCCAGGGCGCGACGCGCCGCGGCGGCGACGACTTCGGCACGCTGTCGCGGAACGCGAGCGGGCCGCGGAGCACGGAACAGGCCACCACGAGGCGCAACATGGCTCCGATTCGCGGGCCACGCCTGCAGTCGCTCATCGGTGCCTGGTGCAACCCACGGCTCGATCGGTGCAAGCGCTGGCCGTCGCTTCAACGCCGGCGGCCGCGTCGACTTCATCGACGGGCTGCGCCTTCCCCCGTGGGATGATGCGCCGCCTCGTGCTGCTCGGGCTCTGCGGCGGCGCAGCGTCCGGCGGCTCGGTGGCGATCCTCCTGTCGGGCCACAAGACGAAGTTGCACGCGGCGCGCAGCTGGGGCGAGTTCGTCGTGTCGCCGCTGTGCCGAGACGGCTACGACGTGACGATCTTCTGGTGCGTCGGGAACCACAGCAGGTCGGACGCCGGCTACGAAGACGCCGGCCCCGCGCTGGCGGCGCTGCGCGAGTCCGCGGCGCCGCGCGGCGCCGCGGTCGTCGAGGCCGACGCGCCGGGGAGCTTCCGGGAGCAGTGGTCGCGCATGGACGACTGCTTCCGGCGCGCGCGCCGCTGGCCCGCGGCCTTCGACGTCTACCTGCGCGGCCGGCCCGACGTCACCTGGGCCGAGCCGCTCGCGCCGGCGGCGCTCCGGGCCGACGCGGTGTCGCTGAAGTTCCGCGAGATCTTCTTCCGGGACGAGACGCGCGTCGCCAAGTACGCGCTGAGCGTCCCGCGGTTCTGGAGCACCTGCGGCGCGACGTCCCTCGTGCGCCGCCACACCCCAGCGGTCGTCGAGCGCATGCGCGCCGCGGGCCTCGACTACTGCGGCATCGTCGACGACCAGTTCGCCGTCGTCCCGGCGCGCTTCGCGGCGGCCTACTTCGCGCTCGAGCGCGGGTTCCCGGCGCCGCCGTCCGTCGACGCGGAGGAGGCCTTCGGCGAGGCCGCCGGCCGGCTGCCGGCGAACGCGAGCCGCGCCTTCTTCCCGATCTGCTACGAGACGACGTGGACCGACGTCTTCGAGAAGACGTGGCGGCGGCGCGCGCCGGCGTCCGCCGCGGGGCCGCGCGCGCGGCTCGACGCCGGCCCCCGCTAGGTCCTACGACGCGTCCAGGGGCCACGGCCTCCTCGACCCGTGCTGCGAGTTTCGCCTCCAGTGGCGGCTCGTGGGGCGCCGCGTGCCCGTGGCCATGGCGCCGTTCCCGTTCATGGGCATCGGCCCGCCGCCGCAGGGGGACTGGTCCACGATCCCGTGCTAGCCCCGGCGCGCGCGCGGCGCGGGCGGTCGGAGCTACCTCCGCGTAGAACGGCGACGAATTAACACGCGGCGCTTATGACCGCACTACCCGCGACTCTCCCACGCGACTCGACCGCCCCACGCTCGCGGCGCATCGCGTCACGTCGCCTTCGACTTCTTCCCGACGGTCTTTCTGAGCTTCTCCTTCACCGTCGCCAGACGAGTGTAGGCGCTTTTCTTGACCTTCTCGTTCTTGTGGTCCTTGCCCAGTATGCCCTCTCGCAGCCCGTCCAGCATCGTTTTGTTGCGCATTCGCGTGCCGTGTCGATTCTTCCGGTTCGCCTGCGAGCCGCCGCGGTGCGTCAGCGTCTTCGCGGCGAACAGTTCCCTCTTCTCGTACATGGTGTCGAAGACCTCGGGGAAGTTGGAGAAGGCCTCGAGGAAGGCGTCCCGGCGGATGTAGAAGAACTTGGCGCGCGAGAGCGCCGTGACCGTGACCTCGGACTCGGAGTTGACGCCGAGCAGGCACAGCTCGCCGAAGGAGTCGCCGGCGTCGAGGGTCCGCCTCTGCTCGCCGACCTCCATGACGACCTCGCCGGTGTGCAGGATGAAGAGCGTCACGTTGATCTCGCCCTTCTGCACGATGATCGCGCCCGTCTCGAACGTCATGTTCCGCACGATGAGCATGATCTTCCACAGCGACCCCTCCGGCAGCTCGTTGAACAGGCTGTGCTCCAGGATGTAGTCGTGCAGCAGGTACGTCGAGATGGCCTCCTGCAGCACGGGCGACAGCCGCTCGAGGATGTACTGGTCGTCGATCGCGGAGTGGTCGGCGTAGAACTGCTTGAAGAAGCGGCGCACGCGCCGCTTGAGCGCGGGCTCGAGGCCGTAGTGGTCCATCCAGCTCGACAGCTCCTCCATCTTCTCGAAGTAGACGGCGTTCTTCGTGTCCACGCTCGACACCATGGACGACACGGACGCGATGATGTACGAGTAGAACGACACGCCGATGAGCATCGCGAAGATCGCGTAGACGCGGTCCATGTCGCCGGCGGGCGTGATGTCGCCGTAGCCCACGGTCGTCATCGTCGTGAAGGCCCAGTAGATGGCGGCGAGGTACTGGCGCTGCCAGCTCCACGCGCTCGCGGGGTCGTCGTCGTACGCGCGCGGGTCGTACGTCCGCATCCAGCCGTCGCCGCTCATGGCCATGAAGCAGGCCAGGAGGTGGGCGATGAGGAACGACGACATGCTGATGGAGATGACCTTGCCGAAGAGCGCCCCGGACGACGACGTGATGAGCTCCTCGACCTGCGTCGCGAGCTCGCTCTCGCCGTTGAGCAGCTTGAGGAACTTGCCGATGCGGAACGCCTTGAAGACCTTGGAGACCTTCGTCAGCTTGAAGACCTTGGCGAAGCCCATGTTCGACGCGCCCCCCGCCGACAGGCCCAGCAGGCTCAGGCAGACCGTCATGACGGGCGTGATCGACGACGCGAAGTCGAGCAGGAACCACGTCCGCGTGTACTCCCAGGCCGCGAGCTTCGGGTCCATGATCAGCACGCCGTCCGTCGTGTAGTAGCCCGTGCGGAAGTTCAGGAACAGGTCGACGAGGAAGATGCAGTCCATGATGTCGTTGACGACGCCGATGGGCCGCCCGTGGCGCTCGATGCGCTCGTAGCGGCCCACGCGCTCCCCGCCGTAGGTCTGCAGGTTCGACTTGGGCCGGTCCGGCTTGCCCTGCCAGAAGCCCATGGACAGCGGCTCCGTGATGAGGACGAAGAAGATGAACAGGGCGATGACGACGTCCCACGCGAGCCGGAAGGGCCCCGACGGGTTGATGATGCCGCCGAGGCCGCCGAGGAAGGAGCAGCACCGCTCCCGCGCCGTCCGCTCCACCGCGGCGTCGCCGCCGTCGACGGCGGCGGCCTGGTCGTGCATCTCGAAGGCGTGCGACAGCAGGTTCGACTCCTTCTTCAGCGACTTGTCGTAGGGCTCGACCTTGGCGCCGCCGGACATGCCGAGCGTCTTCCGCAGGTCCGAGGGCCCGTGGGCGCGCGGCTTCGCGACGACGGGCGGCGGCACGAAGTCCGGCGACGCGGGGTTGTCCGGCGAGAGCACGGACGTGCGGAGCTTCGACGGCGCCGACGCCGTCGTCGGCGACGGCGCGACGACGAGGTACTTGCCGCCCGCCTGCTTCTTCGACGTCTCGGCCTGCTTCGACTCCGACGTCGTCGCCGCCTCGGCCTCGGCCTCCTCCTCGTCCTCCTCGATGGGCATCGCCGTGAGGTCGTGGTGGCCGTTGTCGAACGCGTCGTCGGGCTTCTCGCCCTTGACCGCGAGCGAGCCGAAGGACTGCGTCCCGCGGAGCGCGGGCTTCGGCGAGCCCCTCACGGAGCCCTTGGCGCTCGCCGCCGGCCGCGCGACGAGGGCCGTGCGCAGCTTGGCCGCGTGGTCCGCGAGCGCGCCCTCGACGCGCGCGAAGCGGTCGATGACGCGCGCCATGCCGTCGGCGTGGTCGCTGTAGGTCGCGAGGCGGAAGGCCAGCTCGATCTGGTGCTCGGCGTGGTCGAGGAGCTGGAGCGCCTCATCGCTCAGCTCCGCTTCGGCGCCGTCGCACATCGTCGACGAAGATGAACGGAGGAGGAGGCGCGGCCCCGCGTCGGCTCCCGCACGTCCCACGGCCACCCGACCCGCAGCCCGCCGCCGGAAGGCCCCGGAACTCCGCGCGCCTAGCGTCCCTCGGCGCGCATGCGGCGGGTGGCGCTGTTGTCCGGGGAGCGCCGTCCCGAGCGGGTCGAGGACGGGGAGAGCAGGTGCTGCGTTAATAGAGATATAAACGATTCATTGAAGCCTAGCGTCGCGGCTTCTCCAATAATCGGCGTCCAAAGTCGCCGCCATTTCTGTGTAGCACCACAGGATGCTCGGCCTCCCGGGGATGATGGGCATGGGCGGCATGATGGGTGCGCCGCAGCAGCGTCGCCGTTTGTGCGCGATCTCACGTCTTCCGCGCAGGCATGCCGGGCATGGGCGGCTTCGGCATGGAGGAGGAGCTGCCGATGCAGCTGCCGATGCCCGACGCGACGCCGGACAAGCCGCACGACGTCTGCAAGGACGGGAGCGTCGTCAAGGTCAAGGTCGAGGCCGGGCCCGAGGGCCCGCGCGGCCGGCGGCCGGACGTCGGCGACGAGTGCGTCGTCACGTGGACGGAGAAGCAGTCGACGGGCAAGGCCGCGGCGCCACGCGAGGAGTCCAAGGAGGCGCAGAGCGACGACGACGACGCCGGCGACGCGGCGCCGGCGCGCGACATCAACGGCGGGTCGCGCGCGCCCGTCGACGACGCGGGCTCGTTCCTCGTGTCGAGCTCGGGCAAGCCGCGCGCGATCGTCATCGGCGACCTGGAGGACGAGAGCGTGCCGCCGGGGCTCCACGACGCCATCCCGACGATGATCAAGGGCGAGAAGGTCAGCCTGACGCTGGACAAGGGCAAGCAGTCGAAGCGGTGCGTCGGCGCGACGACGTGCGAGTGCGAGCTCGTCGCCGTCATGCCCGTCGACGACTGCACCAAGTTCAAGGAGCGCACGGTGCTCAAGAAGACCCTCAAGCCCTCGAGCGAGTGGAGCAAGCCCAAGACGCGCGCGCGCGGCGCGCTCGCGATCGCCGGCCGCGCGCGACGCCCCGCGCCCCCGCAGGCTCGACGAGGTCCAGCTCCTCCTGCGCAAGAACGTGTCCTGGAAGGTCGGCGACCCGGGCGCGCGGCGCCAGGACGACGACGTCGTCGTCGAGAGCGAGCGCTTCAACGGGATCCTCGGCGACCTGCGGCCGTCGCAGCTCCAGCTCGCGATCTGCCGCATGGCGCTCAAGGAGGAGGCGCTCGTCCGCGTCGGCGACGAGAAGGAGCACACGGTCTGGAGCGTCGTCGTCGAGTCGTTCCAGCCCGTCACGGACTGCAGCGGCGAGGCCCAGGACGGGAGCGTGCTCAAGAAGGAGGTCAAGGAGGGCGACGGCTGGGACATGCCGACGGACGAGTTCGACGTGTCGCTGTCCGTGACGTCGGCCAAGTGGCTCAGCGGCGCGGGCCGGGCGCTCGGCGACGTCGAGGGCCTGAGCCCCGCGCCGCGCGAGGTCCCCGAGGTCCCCGAGGGCCAGGACCCCGTCTACCCGGAGCTCGTGCACGTGTCGACGCTCGACCCGCCGCTGCGCCTCGCCTGCCGCGCGATGAAGAAGGGCGAGGTCGGCCACGTGACGGCGTCGGTGGGCAGCTTCACCAAGGGCGGGTCGACGGGCGTCGCCAACCTCCCCGAGGGCGACGCCAAGGCCGTCGCGAAGATCAAGCTGGTGCTGCACAGCTGGCGCGACAACGAGAAGCTCACGGACTGCGGCACGGTGCTCAAGAAGACGACGACGGAGGGCGGCGACGACTCGCGCAAGGCGCAGCAGCTCGACGGCGTGACCGTCCACTTCCTGAACCTGGAGCTGGGCCTGGGCAAGGAGGACGGCGCGGACCCGGAGGCGGAGCAGAAATGGGAGCCGGTGGAGAACTTCGCGCCCTTCACCGTCGACTGGACCATCGACGAGACGGACGCCGCGTGCCCGGGCCTCGAGGAGGGCGCGACGGCGATGAAGGTCGCGGAGGTCGCGGAGGTCACGGTGAAGCAGGGCGGCCGCGACGGCGAGCAGGGCTACCCGGCCGAGGGCTTCGACTTTTCCCTCGAGGGCCGGTCCCACTTCTCCGCCTGCGCGGGCCGCGACGTCCGCGCGACGCTCCGCCTCGACGACATCCGGCGGCTGCCGCCGTCCTACGAGCTCGAGAGCATCCCGAAGCTCGCGCGCGCCGAGGAGCTCAAGGCTAAGGGCAACTACTGCTTCGCCGGGCGGCGCAACGTCGACCGCGCGGTCCGCCGCTACGGCGGCGCGATCGACTGCATCACGAGCTGCAGCGAGAAGGACCTGAGCGACGCGCAGAACGCGCAGAAGGCCGGCCTCAACGTGTCGCTCCACAACAACCGCGCCCAGTGCTACATCATCCAGGAGGAGTGGCAGAAGGGCAAGGGCGACTGCGACCGCGCGCTCGAGGGCGACCCGACGAACGTCAAGGCGCTCTTCCGCCGCGGCCACTGCTGCTTCCACCTCGACGACTGGTTCGAGGCGAAGAAGAACTTCAAGCGGTGCCTCGAGCTCGACCCCAAGTGCCGCGAGGCCCACAAGGGCCTCGTGACCATCGCCGCGCGCGCCAAGGAGCAGAACGCGAAGGACAAGGGCAAGTTCGACGGCTACAAGCTCGCGCAGGCCATCAAGTCCGACAAGCCCGACATCGCGCCCAAGCCCGACCCGGACGAGGCCGTCGACGCCGCGGAGAACGGCCAGGAGGACGGCGACAAGGACGGCTGCGTCGAACCGGCCGCGGGCGGCAAGCTCAAGATCGCCGCGGCCGCGGCCGCGCTGCTCGCGGGCGGCGCGCTGTGCGCCTGGTTCTTCCTCAAGGACGAGTGAGGCCGCGCGACGTAAGGCGCGGGGGAGCTTCGGCGGTGCGGGCGGTTTCGGCCGCGAGGCGGCGGTGGCGGTGCCGGCGCGTGGCGGCGCGGCGCCGGGACGCCTCGCCGGGGGTCTCGCCCGTCCACACCCCTCACTGGGCCTCGGAACTGGAATGTCCCTGAATTTCCCAATCGCAACAACACCGGGGAGGTTGGGGGGGGCACGTCTTTTATATGCTAGGCGGTATGCTAGATCATCGCCGGCGCGGGGAGGGGGAGAGGAGACGGTATGCTAGATCATCGCCGGCGCGGGGAGGGGGAGAGGATTCTCGGTGCCACAGGCCGAATTGCGCTCGCCATACGCGTCCTTGAGTTCTACGTCGCACGACATGCGTGCGGCGTCCGTCGAGGAACGTCGCGCGCGCCGCACGAGCGCGTAGACGACGAACGAGAGGAGAATGGGCTCTCGAGGCCCAGCGTGTCCTTGTCGCCTTGGCCCGTGTAGTAGTACGCGTTGTTCCCCGCCGCGTAGGCCGCCTTGTCGTCGCTGATCTCCTGCTCCAGGAAGGCCATGTAATCGAAGGTGCGGTCCGGCGCCGACCCAGCCTGAGTCGTCGTCACGGTCATCGAGTCGGGCAGGATCGCGTGCACGCTGTGGAAGAGCACGTAGGAGCGCAAGAGCACGCGAAACGCCGTGGTGGGCCCGGCCATCTCGTGCATTCCCCGCCGGCTGGACAGGAAGCTTTAAGGAGGTGCATCGTGCGATTGACGTTCAAGGTAGCTTTTGCAGCCCGGCACGATGGCTGATCTCTCGCGATCGCACCTCGCCATCCTTCTCGCCCTCCTCTGCGACTTCGACAGCGCGCGCCGGTCGTAGGGAGGTGGGCAGCATGCGCGGCGTTTGGGTCTGCGCAATTTGGGCGGTGCACGGAGCTGCCCGCTCTCTCAACGCGACGGTGCTCGGCGCGTACATCTCCGGCAACGCCATCACGCACCTCGACATCGGATCGAGGAACGGCGGGTCGATGCGCTGGCTCACGAGCTTCCTGGGCGCCCGCGGCATCTCCGACGTCGCCGTGGCGGGCATCGACATCGATCCGGCGAACGTGGCGACGTGCGAGCGCCGCGGCTTTCGCTGCGTCGTCGGCGACGTGCGCGTCCTGAGCGCCGAGGGCGCCTGCGTCCGAGGCGTCACCGTCTTCCACGTCCTGGAGCACGTCGGCGCGCGGCGGCCGCCGAACGCCACGGCGCCGGGCCCGCAGGAATGGTGGGCGCGGACCTACGCCGCGGAGCCGCGCGCCGCGCACGAGCTCCCGGTCGTGGGCGACCAGGCGCAGTCCGAGGCGGGCTCCTTCGACGTCCGCGACGCGTCGGCGGCGCAGGGCGTCTTCCGCGCCGCGCTGCGGCTCCCGTCGTCGTGGCTCCTGATGCACGGCCCGTGCTTCGACGGCGACGCGGAGCTCCGCGCGCGCGGGTTCGTCCGCTCTTTCGCGGCGTGGCGGCTCCACAACGCTCACGTGACGTCCGCGCACCTCGTCGACGCCTTCGTCGCCGCGGGGCGCCGCGGATACTTCTTCGTGACGGCGCACAACCCGATCGAGACCTCGGACCACGCGCGGCTCCAGCCGATCGTGGAGACGTCGTCCGGGGCCGCGCGCCACGCGGAGCGCGGCTGGCTCTGCTCGGGAGCCATGTGCGACCAGCATCGCTACAACGCGTCGCTGCACCCGCCGAAGGCGAGCGTCGCGTTCGGCCGCGCCCACTACGAATTCGTCAGCGCCGTCGCCGTGTTCGGCGACGTCGCGGGCGAGGCGGCCCTGGTCCTCGCGGCGCAACGAAAGAACCTCGCGAAGAGGCGCGGGGTCCACGTCGCGTGCGTCGCGCCCGAACGGGGCGCCTCGCGCGACCCCGCGACCTGCGCCTCGCTCCTCGCGGGGCTCTTACCCAGGTAGTGTACGCCGAGGTCGCGCGCCGCGTGGAGCAGCGCCGTCGCCGAGTTGCGCGGCTCCGACGCGTGCGGAGCTGTACGGCGACGCGTCCGCACAGGTCTAAAGTTCCCCAGGGGCTCCAGTGCACTGGGAAGCCGATCCGATGGGCAGCGCCCGACTTTGACGACCGCGTTCGGCGGCTCGGTCCGCCGGGCGCCCCGGCGGCCTTCGAGCCCGCGCCGCGCCGGTGGGCGATCTTCGACGCGCCGCTCTCGATCTCGAGAGACGAGCACGATTTCGGGGCGAACGGGGCCTCTGGATCCGGGCCATTTCGACGCGTCGAGGGGCGATATGTCGGTCCAGGGGCAGCAAAAAGGGGGCGGCGCGCAGGGAATCGCGAAGGTATAGTGTCACGATGGGATTCCCTGAGCGCCGCTCCCTTTTTACGTCCATCATCGTGCGCGCGCGCGTGGCAGCCCCGGCGGTGCGCGTCGAGCGCTCCGAGTGGTCGTGGCGGTCAGCGCCGGGCCCAGAGGACGATCTACGCGGCTGAGGCACTCGAGGGGTGTCTGAGAGGGCCTCGAAGCGGTCGCAGGTGTCCCCAATGCGCTTTTCTCGGGTCGTTGACCAGGTTTGAGCCGCGGCGCGCGTCGTGCTTGGCAGCCCGTCCACAGCCGAGTTTCGGCATGGATGGCTGCTTTTCAGCTTTGGTCCTCCAGAGGACATGTTGGACGGACCCCTGATGCGCTGGGGTCCAGCGGGAGGGTCGCCAGGGGGTGTTTTGGCGCCCACCATAATCACTGTTCATGACTACTCAGAGAGTCCAATCGATCAATGGTCTATCAGTTGACTCATGAACTGTTTAAGCACAGTTGATTCGACTGAGCGGAGGGGGACTCGTTGAACTTGAGGGGGAGGTCAAGCGGGGCCAGGGCGTGGTCTAAAAGGCCTGCCGTCGGCCCGGGGGGGGACGGCGTCTCCCTCGGCTCTCCTCCACCGACGAGTGCGTCCGTAGATGGCACATGCGTCGGTGTTTTAAGTCGAGGCCCGCGCGAGGCGCGCGGGACTGGACAGCGCGCGCCAGCTCTTCGGCGAAGGCGTAGGTACGGCAGATGATGTCGCCGGGGAAGGTCTGCTTGGGCTCGGCGTAGCCCACGCCGCAGAGGCTGGCGCCGTGGGTCTCGGACGTGCACGCGGTTGCCCTGAAAGCCCGCCGCGCGGCGGCGAGCGATTCGGGCGCCGCGGAGAGTCTCGAGCCAGCGCGCCTCCATGGAGCGCGGCACGGTCGTGCGCCCCCCTCGAACGCGGAAGTCGGCGGCCTCGAGGGTCCGAACCCAGAGATGCCAGAGGGCGCCGAACCAGCGTGCTCGCGCACGACCTGAAGTCGCCGCCGCCAACCGACACTGGATGGGGCGGAAGCCCGAATGCGCCGCCGTCAAGCCGTGCACGGACAACGTCGCGCCGGACTCCCAGACGAGCAGCGGGCCCGCCATGGTCGGGCCGGGGGGGCAGCGACGGCGGCGCGTCATGCTTCACGAGCGGCTGGGCTGCTCCCTGGTGTACTATTTTTTAGACCTGTGTCCGGACGTCGTCCCGAAGCCCGGTCTTCGGCACCGTGACGCCAAGCGGTTGAGCAGCTCTCGGTTTGGACGCCAGCGCCGTCGACCGCGCTCGAGCCGTGCGCCGCAGCCGACGCAGTCATGGCCGTCAAGAAGGTGCACGCGCCCACGACGGATGCGAAGCAGTGCATGATCAAGACCGGGACCGTGAAGCGGTGCGCGACGGCGTCCCCGCGCGCCGTCGCGGCGCCGGCGGCCCGCGCGCCCGCGCGCCGCGCGCGCGGCGCCGGCGCGCGCGCGCGCGCTCCCGCCGCCGCCCCCGCGCCTTTGCCGCCGCGCCGCGCGGCCCGCGCGCGCCGGGCGCCGCGACGCGCGCGGTCGGCGAGCGCGCCGCCCGCCGCAGGCTCGTCAAGGAGGTCGCGCACTACAAGAAGGAGACGGCGGAGAACGAGGCGCGCGTCCAGAAGATGCGCGACGACGGCAAGGACTCCTACGACATCAAGAAGGCCGTCGAGGTCCTCGAGGAGACGCGGATGATGGTCCCGGACGCCGAGCGGAGGCTCGCGGACGCGCTCGACGACCTCTTCACCTTCATGGGCGACCACGCCGACAACGCCGAGGTCAACGAGTGCAAGCACGCCGCCGAGGCCAACGCCCTCCTCGAGGAGCACGACGCGCTCATCTCCTCGTGAGCGCGGCCGCGGCCGCGAGCGCCGCGAAACCGAAGCGTCCCGTCGCACGGTTCGCGCGACGCGCGGCGGGGACGCGGGGGCTCCATCGCACGGCGCGCCCCGGCGCCGCCGTGGCTCGTCGTAGGACGCCTCCCCGACGTTAACTCGCGGCCCAGACCTCGAAGGCCGCGTTGTCGGACGTGCGCCGGTTCGCCATGAGCTTGTCGGTCGCGCAGAGGTCGTCGACGGCCGCCCCGACCTCGGCCTTGTCCGCGTCCCAGCCCGACTCCGCGAGCGACGACCGGAGCTTGCCGACGTTCTGCGGCGCGCCGTGGCCGAGGATGACCGCGAGCATCACGTCCCGCCGGAGCTTGTCGCGCCGCGCGTCGGCTGCGGCCTCGAGGTCGCCGAGGTTGTGCGTGGAGCCGTCGACGGGCGGGCCGACGGCGTAGTCCGCCGGGTAGGCGAAGCCCGACCTGCTGTCCGCGAAGACGCCCGCGCCGCCCGCGAGCGACCGCAGGCCCCTCGCGAGCTCCGGCTCTTCGTCCTCGGGCTCCTCCTCCGGCGCCGCCGGGACCTCCGGCGCCGCCGGGACCTCCGGTGCCGCCGCGACCGCCTCGGGCTCCGCCTCCACCAGCCCGTCGATCTTCTCGCGGAGCAGGTCGCGGCTCGAGTCGCCGGGCGGCGGCCGCGCCTCCTTGGCGAAGATGACGCCGAGGTCGTCGTCGTCGCTGTAGTCGCCGTCGGCCGGCGGCGCGAGGCTCGACCTGGGCCGCCGCGGCGGCCGGCTGCCCGGCGGGCCGAGCCACTTGCGGACGTCGACGCGCGGCACGAGCTCCGGCGGCGGCTCCTCGTTGAGCT